GTGATAAACACTTTGTTCATGTACTTATTTTAAATTTCTTGTTTCTAGATTTAAATAAAAACAAAAATTCATTTCAGGTTCTGTCAATTTGCTATTTTACAAAATGGCAATCAGAATAGGCCACAAAAAAACTAAGATAGCTTTAGAGAACAACAATGTCAAACAAACAAAACAGGTCACTCAGAGCATTAGGATTAAGTAAATTAGAAATTAAAAGAGTTCAGACAAAGCAGGGTGAATCTGCCTTCAGCTACTGCACCCACCGCTGCTGGAATCAGCTTCCAGCTTTCTGAATGAGCACATTTTAATAATTTTTATTCTTAGTTGCTGTTTTTAAAAATTTTTATTCTTTGTTGTTTTTATTTTTTTCTATACCTCTTTCTTTTATTCTTGTTTATGTAAAGCACTTTGAATTACCATTGTGTATAAAATGTGCTATATAGGCTGCCTTGCCTAGAACAAAAACCTGCAACAGAACACACATGTGGTTCTCATCTATCAGTCACCTGTAAGTCTCTGGAGCTGCTGTGCGCCTCTTTCTCCAGCTCTATGCGGGCTCGTTTGTGACTCAGCTCCATCTGTTGTTTCTCTTGAGTGAGCTGAATCAGGCTGGTGTGGGAACGAACGCGCTCGGCAGCCTCCTCCAACTACCACACATAAAAACACAATTCCCATAATAAAATAAGAGATTTCCATGAAAGTAAGGACCAAGATGGTGAAAGCAGCCCAAGACTCACCTCCACTCTTTTAGTATAGAGCTTCTGAAGGTCACTTCTTCCATAGGCTGGCTCAGTTTCCAGCAAGGAACGTTCTGGGCATGATATTAAACTCTTGAAAGATTTAAGCGTTGAGAAGATTGTGGTGTCATCCTCTATATCGTCCATACTGATAAAACCTCCTATTAAATATAAATACATATAAAGACATATAAAGGCATTAATAAGCACCCTCAGTGATCTAAAGAAAATAGTAATCCAAACAGATAGAGAACAACAACATTTTGGGCAGTTTATACATTCTGTGGACCTTGCTATAATTAACATTTGTCAAGTTGATTATTTGAGATGTAGAATGAAGTATAATTTTGACACATTTAACATGCTTTCTATGTGCATAAAGTCTCTTTTGCAAACATAACTTGATGCAAAAAACCAAAGCAATAAGCCAAAATATTAAATCAGCACATCTGGAAATGTATGATGAAGAATTTTTCATATAAGAACAGCATAAAAGAACATTATTAATTAATGTAATATAAAAATAAGATATATTATCACAGGGGACTGATGGCTTAACCCTTTACCGCATGGTATTGCCATATGGCAACAGGATATTCATGTTTATTTCCCTGCCACTGTTTCTTTAAAACCAATGTTCTATTATTTTTTTGGAAAGAGAAGACCTTAGCTTGGCCATTGATGTGCTTTGGTTAAGTCACATGACATGCAGTGTTTTTCTGTGGTGCGATTTCTGACAGACTGGCGTTTATTGTGAGTAGCTGCTGAATGCAAACGTAAACGTCAATAAAAACAAAGGATCAAGTCATGTTAAATTCACAAAATGTCTAAAACATCACCTCCAGTAAGTTATGATGACATATTCACAACTCAAAAAAAGTTATCAAATTAGTTTTTTGTAAATCGATCAAATGCATGTTTTGCCAACACCGTCCAATAGTGGAACGTGCATATTGCAATGGGTTAGCTAGCTTGCAAGGTCAGCAGTGACGTTTTAAGTTGTAACAATAACACATGAATGCTACTAATATAATGTTGATTAGTCATGTGTTAATGGCATTTGCATTATGGGTAAAATCAAAGTTTAATGGTAATACTTTTGATTAGATATAAATACAGGGAACGGTGTATTAGCAAGCACCACCATGTTCTATGGTAAGTGAAAGTAGTAAAAGACAGAACTGGCTCTTCCTGCAGATGAAAGTGAGGATGAGATGGGTTCTAGTGACCTTGAGAATGATACAGACTGGACATTTGATAAGAGCAGTGATGGAGACAGTTCAGGTAAGTTAGCTCAGAGGCAGATAAGACAGGCGTTAATATAGAATATAGTATAATATATAAATATTGTTAGCTAGTAGCTACATTATTTTGATGCATCTGGATAAATTAGTTATTTATTTGTCATAATATTTACTAGAGAAAATATTTATATTTACTGTATGTTGTATACATGAAAATACACTTATATTTGTTTTCAATAATACTGAGTAAACAAAAAATGGTATAAATGAAAGCTGTTGGAATGGAAAGTATGTATAAGGTGTCATTTATAAGTTTTGTGTTAAACCTTATAATACTGCTACACCTATTAAATCATTTCAAACAACAAAATTATTAATTATAAGGAAAAAAAATAATTAGAGGTTTCTAAGTTATATAGCGACATATCATAAAAGTACCTTAAAAATGTCCAAAAAAAATGTTTTACAGCACTTCAAGGAAAAAAAACATTCTACGAAAAGAAAAAGTCTAATATTTTCTTATAAGTTAGATCTGTCAAAATGCGTGCAGTAGAGGGTTAAAAGATGACACTTGTTCACTTGACACACACATACACAATGACTGAGGCATTATTTTTCTAAACTACATCCATTAAAAAATACCATATCATAGTATTTTGCTACATACACTAGTACGAAATGTCTAAGTTGCCAAATTAATATATTCTGACAATTAATCGACATGATTCGAACATTCTTTAAAAAATACTATGATATATTCAATTTCCTTTTGCACAAAAACAAATACTATGAATACAAACATAATTTCTTAATAGAAATATTAAATAATACCAGATTAAAACTTATTTAAAACACTTATTTCTAAGTATAAAATACTAATATAACGCTAAAAGCGCGAATAGATCAGTGCGCTTAGTTAGCAAGCATTCGGCTAACTTTACCTCTCTAATGTTCCACAATAAACCGGTTTTACTCTCAGAATTACACATAAGACGAATGTAAACCATGTAACACACTTGTATCCTTCCAAAATAACAGATGATATTGAACCCCGTGCCTCACACTTACACTCGTTTCTCTCTTGTCGCTGAAGCCTCCAGTAGTTTGAACTTGCTGCAGTTTTGTTTTCGTTGGTTGAGAAGCCGCTACTTCTCATGTGTGGAGGAGAGCAGCGCGGGTTCACGCAACGACACAACAGCGCCATCTCAGTGGATGGGCGGACTGGATTTCTTTACGCTAGATGGCAAGCCAAACTAGCCATGACTACTCGTCTTAGCATTTTAAAAAAATAATTAAATTTTAGAACTGTTCAGTTCCTGCTGTTAATAAAGACAGGTATCTAAATCAATTATTGCTACAATTTGAGAGTTCTCCTAAGGGACAGCTAACTCAAAATTGGGTTAATTTACTCACCCTTTGTGTAAGATATATGCTTTTTCCTCCCAGTTGACAATTAAAGATTTTTAGCTGAATTGGAGATTCATATAATGGGAGTCACATGTTACCGTTATTCAGCATTGAAAGTAATATATGCGTTCATGAACGAATTGTTCTTTTTAACCAGATCTTAAGTGAACCGGTCCAACCAGTTCACCAAATTGAACTGAATTGTTTGAAATGGTTCGTGTCTCCAGTTAGCACTTATTCACAAATTACATTTTTAACATACCTGATGATACTCTGACTCGAAATAAAACAATTACCTAAGTTATTCAGTGACTAGAACAGTCCACTGAGATTAGATTTGAGAACTGGTGAACTAATACTGTGCATACGTGATTTAGCAAACATGAACCAAACACAAACAACACATGACAGCCTGTTGGAACTGAACCAAACTTGGACAAATAAGTTGGACAACAAAGAAAGTGAAATGTATATTTATTTCATTATATAAAATCGTAGTGGAATTTTATTAGCAAGCGAATTATGCTTCATTTGGGTTGCAAAATGTAATTGTAAGAAAATTTTCAGATCATAGTGATGTTTTAACAGACTGAGGTTGTGATTGCTGACTATATATTTTGATATGTTGAATGGGATTGTCATTCCGTCATCGTGGCGTATAGAGTATAGGCTGATTTATTCTTTTGCGTCAAGCGATTGATGTGACCCACGGCACATGCCTTGTGCATAACTGTGCATTTATACTTCTGCATGCTGCTTGTGTTGCTCTACAATACACCTCCGAAAAGTTGAGTTTCTTCGCGGGTGTTTTTAATGCTACTGTAAAGGAAATGGCAGACGTGCAACATCTTTAATCAAAAGGTAAACACAAATAAAAGTTTCCATCTGCAGCGCCTCCATGGGATTCAACACTTACAAACACTCGCTTCAACAGGCTCACTGCTCTCCTGCAGCTCGCTCCAGCTGAGAAAACTGCTTAAACCAGTCTAATCCGGTTGGCTGGTTTTAGCTGGTTGACCTGCCTGGTTTTAGAAGGGTTTTGGCCATTTCCAGGCCGTTTTCCAGCCATTTCAGCCTGGTCTTAGCTGGTCAGGCTGGAAAATGACTGGCTTAAACCAACTAAAACCAACTTAACCAGCCTGGTTTAAGTTGGACATCGCTGGTTTTGGCTGGGCTTCCAGCCTTTTTAGGCTTGTCAAGCTGGATTTAGCTTCTCATCTCCCAGCCTGACCAGCTAAGACCAGGCTGGAAACAGCTGGAAACCAGTCTGGAAATGGCCCTCTAAAACCAGGCTGGTCAACCAGCTAAAACCAGCTAACCAGCTAAGGCTGGTTTAAGCTGTTTTTTTTTTTCAGCAGAGGTGGCTCCGCATACGCTTCACCGCTACCAAGTCGACCAATCGCTTGCACCATGTGTTGTCACGATTTGTAGTTACTTTTTTGAGAGGTGCAAGTTTACAGCGAGAGGTATGCAACTTATAGGGCTATAGTCAACCTTAAATTGATCTGTGATTCATAACTGCTGCTGAAGAGCTGTCCAAAAGATCCGATTCGCGGAAAAGATCCGAACTTCCCCGCACTATTGAAAGCTAAGTTGGCTTGCCATATGCAGCACTTACATATAAATTTGAATTGGTCGCATTGTCATTCACTACAATAACAACGTGGCCCATACATAGGGAAAACAGGTTATCCTTCTTATTTATGAAGTTGTTTGTCTGCTGTTGGCAGATGTTGTACACGTGGAGGTCGCTCACTCTGACGTACAGCTCTGGCGCTTCAATACACTTCCGACAACACGGAAGATGTGACGTTGCACTGCTGAATGAATGAACTGACTGCCACTGAGTCTTCATAAAACTTCATACAGAGGAGATATTGATTTCTAAAGTTTCCAAATATCACAATGTCTGGTTCTACCGTGGATTCGACAACGCTGTGTCTGTTTGACGTGGACGGGACTTTAACAGCAGCTCGTCAAGTGAGTGAATTAATGCGGAAGGCATTAGCTAGCTATGTTAACTAACTGTTAATCTCATATCTCCTAAGATATGGCTGCAATCGATGATAATGATTGATTTACAATCGCTTATCTATGGACTGACAGTTACCTTTAAAACGAAAGTGACGCGGAGTGACTGAAATAATGTGAAATGATCCACTTTATTAACATTATCTGGTTTTCTGTGTAGTAAAGTGAAAGACGAAATTACTTTTCAATACAACTTTGCATTTTACTCCGTGCAATAATGTGTTTCTTATAATTTTTTGTTTCTTCTGAGCAAAATACATGTTTACCATCATTCACAGAAGATGCTGAATTATGAAATGTCATTCAAAACACCATAAATATTTGTTGAATAAAACAAACCAAAATTGTACCTCCAAAATTAATTGACATTTTAAATCTTTATACTTTGCCATCATTCAAAACACTACTTGTACCTGTGTCGTTTATTAATATTAACTAAAATTTAATAAAGCAAATCCAGCGTTATGGATGTGACATTTGCAAATCTCAAAACATATATTCACAAAGAAATTGTACATTAAAACTTTAGTTTATTTTTTCAGAACAACTGACCACAGAAAGCAGAAAAATATTAAATTAAAAATATAAAATTGAGGGAGCAGAAAAATATCAATCTGTAAAGATTTTTTTATATTTTAAATGAGAAGAATAAACATGTGTTATGGATGTGATCAAAAAAGTCTGTGAGTTGACAGTATACAACATAATTTGTAGAAATTCTTATGTTATAATTATAGAAGTTCTTTATAGAACTTAAATGATTGATTTTATTTTTTGTAATTTTTTTGCATTTATGAAGAAAAAGTGTTATGGATGTGACAGATATGAAATTGTCACTTGTGCGACTTTGGTAAATTAAATATAATTCTGTAGTTTGAAAACATTAACAGAAACATTTTTGAGTGTTTCTAAAGTACTGCAAAATACTTGCTTACACAAAAAACTTAAGGTTTCCAGATTTTAGTGGAAACTTTTTTTCATGGCACGGTTGACATTTGCATGGAATTGCTCAATATGATCACTCATCTTTATATATTTTAATATGAGCAGTTAAAAATTACATTTTTGCATGTGTTTTGCTATATGGTAATGGATGACTTAATTGCATTTAATATGCTTTCAGTGGATATAAAAATCACTTGCCAATATAATTTGATGCTGACACCAAAACCAGATACCTAATTTTTTACTCATTACCATCACGTGACTTTTGATTGCTGTAATCAGATGGAAATCAGACTGTAAATGTATGTTTATGAAGTCAAAAATGAATGTGTGAGTGTAGTTTTGTGGCTGTAAAACTATTTTATTATCTGATCTTCTTTCTTGGCACATGCTAAATGACATACTACTGTTTATGGCTATTACAAATACCTCCTATGTTTAGCCTGCTTGTGGTATGAAGATGTTATATATAAACAGAAGTATAAAGATAGTCATGAACTGACCTTTTAAACATCGCCTGGTACTGTAAATAACGATTGAAAACTTGACTCATGTAGACATGTATATATATGACATGTATGTTTGGTATAAAAAAAGATGATACAATTTTTATTCTTTCATTCTCCTTGGGCTTAGTCCCTTTATTTATCAGGGGTTGCCACAGAGGAATGAACCACCAACTTATCCAGCATATGTTTTACACAGCGGTTGCCTTGATGCAAATTTCATTTTGGAAAATATTCCAGGTCTAGACTTCTTAAAAATGAAAAGTACCTCAATTTTTGGATTTATTTTTAGGAATGAATGTATTTATTATTTTATTTAAATGTAAAATAAGTCATCTTGAGGCACTCTTGAACATTAAAAAACAAGTCTGTAAGTTTTGCAAGCTTTCAGAAATGATAATTATCTATTTCAAAGGGAAAGAGGATGATTAGATGTCACACCTTTTACTCCATTATATATATATATATATATATATATATATATATATATATATATAATCTAACTTACAAATAGATGAACATACTGTACAGGTTGCTATTATTACTACTAATCAGGGATATGCAAATAGAGATGTACATAATATACAGGTGGTTATTAAACCACCAGATACATTTATTATTGTTATTTAATTTCTTTATGAGTGCATACCTTCAATCGTGGCTCCAGAAAAACAGTTTTTAGGGCCTAGTAAAAAACATTTACCTCTCTTTGAGATATTATATGTTACAACTATATTCATATCACTTAACTGAAGATGTGGTGGGTTTTTTTTAAATTAATAATCACATAATAAAATGTAGTTAGTTACCTCGTGTGTGTTTTTTGTCTTCAGAAAGCCACCGCAGACATGCATGAGTTTCTGTCTAAACTGAAACAGCGTGTGAAAGTCGGAGTGGTTGGAGGATCAGATCTGGACAAAATCAAAGAGCAGCTTGGAGATGATGGTGTGTATAATGAATACAAAATAAAGGAAGCACAAACCGCTCAGTATATTTACAGTCTCTGTGTTGATGTCTTTCCAGTGATTGACAGAGTGGATTACGTGTTTGCTGAGAACGGTTTGGTTGCGTACAGGTTTGGAAAGCTTCACTCTGTGCAGGTAATTGTAATTCCTTCTGTATTGTTTATTAAATTCAACAACTGTTTCTCATACTGTCCCGCAAATAATTACTGATTTCAGAATATTCAGGCCTACCTGGGAGAAGACATTTTGCAGGAATTCATCAATTTCTGCCTCAATTACCTTTCAAAGATTAAACTGCCTAAAAAAAGGTAAGGTTGACAGTTTGTCCTTTGCATATTTTTATTGCATCATATAGATTAGTACATACTCACCGGCTACTTTATTACATACACCTTACACCTTACTAGTACCTTGTTAACCTTGAGAACTGCCTTAATCCTTTGTGGCCTAGATTCAACAAGATACTGGAAATATTCCTTAGAGATTTTGGTGCAAATTGACATGATAGCATCACACAGTTGCTGCACATTTTTCGGCTGCTCATGCATGATGCGAATCTTCAACCACATGTCAAAGGTGCTTCTTTAGATTGAGATCTGATGACTGTGGAGGCCATTTGAGTCCAGTGAATTCATTGTCATGTTCAAGAAACCAAATTCTGACCCTAACATCCAAAATTTCCAATCTTCTATTGTCCAGTTTTGGTGAGCTTGTGCAAATTGTAGCCTCAGTTTCCTGTTCTTAGCTGACAGGAGGGGCACCCGGTGTGGTCTTCTGCTGCTGTTGCCCATCTGGCTCAAGGTTGGACGTGCTGTGTGTTCAGAGATGCTCTTCTGCAGACCTCGGTTTTAACGAGTGGTTATTTTGAGTTACTGTTGCCTTTCTATTAGCTGGAACCAGTCTGGCCATTCTTCTCTGACATCAACAAGGCATTTGTTCCCACATAACTGCCGCACTCTGGATATTTTCTCTTTCGAATCATTCTCTGTAAACCCAAGAAATGGTTTTGCTTGAAAATCTCAGTAGATCAGCAGTTTCTGAAATACTTAGACCAACTCGTGTGACACTAACAACCATGCCACGTTCAAAGTCACTTAAATCACCTTTCTTCCCCATTCTGATGCTCAGTTTGAACAGCAGCAGATCGTCTTGACCATGTCTTCATGCCTAAATGCATTGAGTTGCTGCCATTTGATTTGACATTTGCGTTAACAAGCAGTTGGACAGGTGTACCTAATAAAGTGGCAAATGAGTGTATTTGATAAGGTTGAGATTATAAAACATACACAATTACAATTTTCTAAAGGATGTTTTACAATAACATTTTGTGCATATACATTATATTAGTCAGTACCAAAGCCAAAACTGGAACTAATCTAACAAAAAAAAAAACTGAACATCAGAGTCCAAAAATGTGCACACCCAAATTAGTGTTGAGGAAAAATATTAAATAAAAGTTTAATAAACAAGATAAATCAAGAGAAGCATAAAAAATATTAAAGTTTTAGTTAAAAAATCTTTTTTTTTTTTTTTTTGCAATAACTCAAATGTTTCTATTCCTGACTAAACTCTTATTTTGATGGATTTAACTGCTTAATAAAACTGTTTTGTTTAAAAAGATCACATTTTCTATTTTCAAAAGGGGGTGTACTCATTTATGCTGAGCACTGTATATTACTTTTATTCAATATATCAAATGTATTACAATTAAAAATAAGCTGACTTTTTTTTTTTTTTTTAAATATACATCTATGAGGCAGCATGGTGGACCCCGCTGGGCCAGTTGGCATTTCTGTGTGGAGTTTGCATGGGTTTCCTCAGGGTGCAACTAAATTGGCCGTTGTGGATTAGTGCGCGAGTGTATGGGTGTTTCCCAGTACTGGTTGCAGCTGGAAATGCTTAAACGTATGCCAGAATAGTTGACGGTTCATTCCACTGTGGCGACTGCTGATAATTAAGGAAAATAAATTGATGAAATATAAATCTATATTCAATAGTTTTTGGATAAATTTGATGAAAGGTTCCAATTCAGAATGTGATTTTAATTTGCTGTACATTTATTTTATATACATAAACATTTGTAATAAATAGATAAACCACAATATTTATGTTATTATTACGTTTCAGAGGCACATTTATTGAATTTCGGAATGGAATGCTGAATGTCTCTCCGATCGGTCGAAGCTGCAGCCAACAGGAAAGAATCGAATTCTTTGAACTTGATAAGGTTGTTTGTTTTACACATGTATCAACACACAATGCCCTAATCTTCTTAAAGGATGCCATCTAAAGTTTAATTAAATGTATGTTTTTATGCAGAAGGAGAAGATTAGAGAAACATTTGTCTCCGTTTTAAAAGAAGAGTTTGCTGGGAAGGGACTAGCTTTCTCCATTGGTAAGAAACGAGTGTTAATGAATCTTTTAATGTGCCGTCAAATTATTTTTCTAAATAATACGAAGTTTGCACTGAATATATTTGACATAATACTGTCATTCTTACACTAAATTACAGACTGTGTTTTCTGTAAATCATGCTATAAATATATGAAAGTCATTATTTTACATGCATTTAATCTACATGAAAAAATGTAGCACTGCTACTTTCTTCCTTGAAATGATGCTTGTCTTTGACTCATGTATGTATTTTTCCCTGCAGGTGGACAGATCAGTTTTGATGTGTTTCCAGAAGGCTGGGATAAGCGCTACTGTTTGGGAATTGTGGAGAAAGACTCCTATCAGCACATCCATTTCTTTGGAGACAAAACAATGCCTGTGAGTCCAAGATGCAGTTTCGACTAATTCAAGTATTCATACACGTACTTCATTTACATACTGCACTATTCCAGACTAGCCTAATGTCAATATTTATCTTTAGCAAAAATTTTATTCTTGAGGTAAACAATTTAATTCACTAAAACCTCTTTTTATTTTGGTTATGTTTATTCAAAATCGAGTCATTTGCTTCCGTCCTGAAGTGACACTCCTCCTCTGATGAGTGAAATATGTTTAGCCACGCCCTTCCAACTACTACTATGCTGCGAAAGATGAGAGGAGGAGCATAAAACCCCGCCCCTACTCAATATTCAGTTTCAGATATAAATACGTCATCATACTAAAGCAAAAATCTGGATCAACTTCTAGTTCACGTAGACTCTAAGCAGTTTAATCATGTTATTTTTTCCAAACAGGGAGGAAATGACTACGAAATCTTTGTAGACCCCAGAACAATCGGCCATGAGGTCAAATCTCCTGAAGACACACAGAGGATCTGCAGGGAGCTCTTTTTCAGCTGAGAAAAGACCCTGAACACAACCTCTGCTATCTAGAATGAAGTATACAGAAGACTACACTGTCTATGAATCGTGAAACTATGAATGAAAGTCTCACTATTGACTTTATTGTCTTGTATATGCACATGCTTGTACCTCATGACAGGTGCTTATGATAAATCTGGGTTACTGTGTACAGTATGCATTTATTTTTATAGGTAATGTTATGCATTACATACAGCTTTAAGGATCATTGTGGGTGCTAGGGTCATTATGTCTGAACTCCTGTGCCTTAAATCACATCAGTACTGGACATTCTAAAATCTTCTATTGATATTAAACACATTATAATCCAAATAAAAGGGAAGATCTTTTTTTAGTTAAGGCACTAATTACATTGATATTAAGGGTGCTTTCACACCTACATTTTTGTTTTGGAACGTGTCTCGATTGCCCAGTTAGCGCGGTTTGTTGGCATATGTGAACAGGGCAATCGCGCTCTGTTCCGTGCCAAAGTAATCGCTCCGAGATCGCTTGAATGAGGTGGTCACGGCTCGATTGCAGTGAGAAAGCGATCCGATCCGAGCGCGGTTATATCACAGTGTTTTATGGATATGTAATAGGCTTACGGCTATATGAAGAGAGAATTATGAGTAGGGCGGGAAGTTTCGCGAGTCTCCGGATGCCCACAAACGAGTGATGATCTCCCAGTAATCTCGCGTCTCCCTCCCGGTCCTCAAATAGGCATCGTCGCGCACCCTTCTCACCCCTCCCCATCGCATCTCTCCCCAGACACGTTGCATGCACCTTGTCAATCACCACCAAACCACCACCTTTCCTGACAGCTGAGCGGGACTCTGCTAAATAAACCCTGACACTCTGACCAATGTGAGGAGAGTTTACTCGCACGTGACTTGTTTTAGCTCTTTTGGTCCGATTAGAAACTTTGCAGTGTAAAAGTGAACCGCTCCAAGAGCAAAGAGCAACAATGTAACATTTGTAATCTCTGTTTCGGAACAACTGAATCGATTCACAGGTGTGAAAGCACCCTAAGATGCACTTTGGTTTGTCACAGGGAGACGTTCTCTTTTATTCCTGGTGTTTAATTCTATCCCTATTGTCCAGGTTTTATGAATGAAAACTTTTAAAAACTCTTTTTCTGATATTCCGATGTAGTATTAGCTTATGCTTTTGACACGTGTTAGGATCACAACTGCGATTTCTGTTCTTGCAAGTGGTGTGAACATTGTGCTGTTTTGTACTTTTTTTTTGTATATTTAAACCAGGGGTCACCAAACTTGTTCCTGTAGGGCCGGTGCCCAACAGATTATAGCTCCAACTCTAATCAAACACTCCTGAACAAGCTAATTAAGGTCTTACTAGGTATACTTAAAACATCCACACAGGTGTGTTGAGGCTAGTTGGAGCTAAACCCTGCAGGGACACCGGCCCTCCAGGACCGAGATTGGTGACTCCTGATTCAAACCAATCATATCTGACAACCATGCTTCATTAACCAAAGTGAAAACCTGACAAGTGTTTACACTACTTAATGAAGCCAGTTTAAATTTGTTTTTTTACATTTACACCTGTGTTAGTATTGCCCACTTGTGTTCAGATTGACAAAAATAATCAGATTGAGTAAAATAGCTGTAAACAAGACCTAAAATAGCATGATTTTCTAAAAAATTGTACTTTTTCTTTTTACATTTAAACCAATCATACCTGGCAACCTTGCTTCGATATCCAACTGGTAACCAGTAGGTGCAAAGTAAAAACCTAATAAGTGTTTACACTGCTAAATGAATCCATGTGTGAATCCATTTTTTTTACATTTACAACTGCTTTTAGTATTGCCCACTTGTGTTCAGATTGACAAAAATGAATCTGCTGTAAAATAGGTGTAAACAAGACCTAAAATATGATGATTTTCTAAAAAAAAAAGTTTTACATTTAAACCAATCATATCTGGCAACCTTGCTTCAGCAATCCAACTGGTAACCAGTAGTGCAAAGTCAAAGCCTAATATGTGTTTACACTGCTAAATGAATCCTGTTTGAGTTTTTTTTTTACATTTACACCTGCATTTAGTATTGCCCACTTGTGTTCAGATTGACAAAAAATTAGCTGGTTTAAGCAAGACCTAAAATAGGATGATTTTCTAAAACAATTTTTACATTTTTTTTACATTTAAACAAATCATATCTGGCAACCAGGCTTTAACAACCCAGCTGGTAACCAGTAGGTGCAAAGTAAAAGCCTAATAAGTGTTTACACTGCTAAAGTAATACAGTTTGAATCCATTTTTTACATTTACAACTGCTTTTAGTATTGCCCACTTGTGTTCAGATTGACAAAAATAAATCAGGAGTAAAGTAGGTGTAAACAAGACCTAAAATAGGATGATTTTCTAAAAAAAAAAATAAAAAAATGTTTAACATTTAAACCAATCATATCTGGCAAGCAATGATTTAGCAACTTAACTGATAACCAGTAGGTGCAAACCAAAACCTAATAATTTTACACACTACTAAATGAATCCAGTTTGAATCCATTTTTACATTTACACCTGCATTTAGAATTGCCCACATTTTTTATTGATAAAAATGAATCTGGTGTAGACAAGACCTAAAATAGGATGATTTTCTAAAAATTATTTTGTTTTTGTCTCAGGAGCAAATGTGATTTTTGGTTATACTCATTTTACAACCAAATCCAATGGTGAAGGTGCAACAATTCAGGTTTTTTTAATAAGAAACATCAGGTCAAAGGGTTTATATGAGGATTAACGGATATATTCTTCTGGGATTTATCCATTTTTGCTTTAAACTGAACTAGTAGTTAAATTGATGGTTGGCAGTTTAAATCCACCTGCTGAAGTGGAATAAGCTGTATAATAAAATTATATTCTGATTGGTATTAGGCATTTTACTGTTGTAGAATATGATTCACATGTTTTAATGTATTTTAAAATTCTAAGAAAAGCTACTGAAAAGTTTTTGTTTTTTTATTAGCAAGACATTTAAAAAAACCATCTCAATGTTTTTAATAACTACATGCATGCAATCATTAGTTTAAAGAACAAAAGAATTTACTAAACAGTGTGTTTCAATAATGTACCAATTCTCTTTGGAAAAGAAAGAAAGAATGTCTTCACTTCAGGGAATTGTGAGTATAAAAAGTGTTTAAACTGCTTCTTAAACGGTATATTGAATGACCACAAATGTTGCATTTTTCCAAAAATATATTTGATGGTTTGTACAATATTACGGTTTATAATGTATGACTGAATTTAGCTGGAAAAACACTCTTTAAGCTTCTCATTTTACTTCATCTGTACAAGCACTTTTAAAGTCCATATCAAAGCTAAAAATATTTTACAATATCCATAAGAGTTCAAAAGTTTGGGATTTTTGTAAAGTTTTGAAAAGAAGCCTATTCTGCCGACCAAAGCTTCATTTATTTGATTTGAACTGTCAAATAATTGAATAATATTACATTACATCATTTATATTTATAGAATGTAGTTTAAAACAGTGTTTCCCAACACTGTTCCTGGAGGCACACCAACAGTACAGATCCTTTATCTGACCCATTCATTTCATTTCATTCTCTTCTAATGTTCTGATGAGTTGATTCAAGTGTGTTTGTATAGGAACAGAGTGAAAATGTGTATTGTTGGTGTGCCCTTAGGAACAGGGTTGGGAAACAATGATTTAATATGTGTTGAGTCAAAGCTGAATTTCCAGCGTCAATGCGTTCAGCCTTCAGAAATGATTCTAACATGATGATACGCTGTTCTATTATGACCGATTCTTATTGGTTCTCAATCATTAATATTTTTAATAATCAATGTTGAAAACATTTTGTGGAAACTAACAAATTAAACTTTTTAGTTCAAAATAACAGCATTTATTTGAAAATGTGAACTCTATATTACATATTACAGCTATATTGCTATATTACAGTTTCCACAAAAACAGGAAACAGCTCAACAGCAACAGATAATGGCAATAATAATGAAAATAATAATTATAATAATTGTTTCTTGAGCATCAAATTATAAATTAGGATGATTTCTGAGGGCATTTCTGAAGTGACACTGAATACTTTCCGGATGCACTAAGTCTTTATAGCGCGTCACCTTTTCCAAGAGGGGTCTGGCTGCAGACCTGGTTCAGTGCAATCTGAGCTGCATCCAATGCTTTTTAAAGGGCTCACCTAACCCTAACCCTCACACTGACATCACTTGCTCCATTTGAGTGCATCGTGTCTGACATTGCATTGCTGAGTGATGCCATCTCAGCTTGCATCATAAAGGCTGCATCCAGATGCTGTTGTCTTTTCCACATTACAGCCTTATTTCAAAATGCATTAAATTGATTTATTTCCTCAAAATTCTACACACAATACCCCAAAATGTCAAGTCTTTTTGAATATGATGCCACAAGCTTGGCACACTTGTTTTTGGGAATTTTTGCTGGAAGATGAACCGTCACTTCAGTCTGAGGTCAGGAGCACTCTGAAGCAGGTTTTCATTCAGGATGTCTCTGTACATTGCTGCATTCATCTTTCCCTCTATCCTGACTAGTCTTCCAGTTCCTGCTGCTGAAAAACATCATCAATCCACAGCAAGATACTGCCACCACCATGCTTCACTGTAGGGATGGTACTAGCCTGGTGATGAGTATTCTCCAATTGTATCGCCTGACATTTACTTTAAAGGGCCATGAAACCCCCTCGTTTCAGCAGGGTGTTTTCACACCTCTTCTTTGGAAAAAGTCAGAAAAGTGGGGGTGTCCAGCTCTGTTTAGGGGGGAGTGTCGGAGAAACTAAAGTGGGAGGGTGTGGGAGTGTCTATTTGGGCACGCGCGAGTTTCAGTCAAAATACACAGGAGAAAGGGATGGTGTTTAACCTACATGGACATCTGTAGTCGAATTATTTGCCAAATTATTAAATGTCGGACTTTAACTGCAGTTCGGCTCTTTCATTCAGGGAATTCATTCATGCCCCTCGCGACAAATTAGATATTTGTTTCGAGGAACTGCTCTAAGCGTGTATTTTTCATGCAATGTTTGATACCGCACGGCGAATGACAGAAAAAAAACCTCCGCATTTGCCGGAAACTTAGATGCACACGGCAGGTAGCGTCCGAAAGCCGCGTGTGTTATTCCGGTCACAAAATGCGGTGCTAACATGTTTGCACTCAATGCAATAGTTAACTTATTTGATACGAACAAACTGAATATACAAAGAGCACTGGTCGCTCACTTACCAAATCTGTAGAGACAGGACAATCACCAGCAACTAGAGCCGCGTCTTTATGAAGAGAAGACTACATCTGGAATCCGGATTTCAGCGTTTGCAGATGAGAACAGCTCTCAGGTAAACAATAATCCCCCTTAGACACGTAAATTATTGTTGTCGAGCGTCGCGTACACTGTAATCCACACGTGATCCAGATAAGCTCTCACAGAGAGAAAATGAAAACGAAACTTAATGGCAGCAAACTATAAAAGCAACACTTCACGCTTGTTTTGCCAACACAACGTGGCGTCTCTGTGGTGTAAAGACGGTGACACTAATGAATATTAATGAAGTTGCACAATAGAGCGCGCTGATTGGTTTGAACCAAGCCTTGCTCATGCATTAATGCATCACACTGTAAGACGTAATAAGGCACACTCTGGCACAGACGTCCAGTCTGCACGCTGGTATACACGCTATTATGTCATGACCGTGACGCAGCTTCAAAAATTCGTTTCAAACAGGAAGTACGAATTTGCTTGAAATAACGCAAAAACAACCAATTTACACTTTTTAGTGAAATATAGGTGTCCTAATAGTGTTTTTAGCAGTGTGGGACACATATACGACTGTCAACAGCTCAAAAAATGTGTTTTGGTGTTTCGTGACCCTTTAAAGAGTTCAATTTTAGTCTCATCAGAGCAGAGAATCTTGTTTCTTATGGTTTGAGAGTCCTTCAGATGCCTTTTGGCAAATTCCAGGCAAGCAGTGGCTTCCGTCTGGCCACTCTACCATACATGCCTGATTGGTGGATTGCTGCACAGATGGTTGTCCTTCTGTAAGTTTCTTCTCTCTCCACAGAAGAATGCTGGAGCTCAGACAGAGTGACCATCGAGTTATTGATCACCTCTCTGACTAAAGCCCTTCTGCCCTGATCACTCAGCTTATATGGCCGACCAGCTCTAGGAAGAGTCCTGATGCTTCCAAACATCTTCCACATACAGATGATGGAGGCCACTGTGCTCAGTGGAACTTTCCGAGCAGCAGAAATTTTTCTGTAGCCTTCCCCAGCCTTATGCCTTGAGGCAATTCTGTGTTGGAGATCTACAGACAATTCCTTTGTCTTCATGCTTGGTTTGTGCTTTGACATGCATCGACCCTGGGACCTTATGTAGACAGGTGTATGCCTTATCAAATCATGTCCAATCAACTGAATTTACCACAAGTGAATTCCAAATTATCTGCTGAAACATCTCAAAAATGATCAGTGGAAACTGAATGTAGCTGAGCTCAATTTAGAGCTTCTCGGCAAAGGCTGTGAATACTGATGTACATGTGATTTTTCAGCTTTTTAATTTTTAATATATTTGCAAAAAAAAAATTTTAAATGTTTTTTTTTATTTTTTGTAAAATGTTGAGGAAATAAAATGAATTTAATCCATTTTGGAATAAGACTGTAACATAAAAAATAAATATGGAAAAAGTAAAGCGCCATGAATACTTTCCGGATGCACTGTAAGCAGCAGTGCTCAAAATTCAGCTTTAAGTGATATAAATAAATGACATTTAAACCTCAATTCTATAAAAAAACATTTATTTTAAATTGTAATATTATTTCACAATTTTTAACTCTCTTAAATCAAACAAACGCAGCCTTGACCAGCAGATTATCTTCCCAAACATTTGTACATCCCCGCATATAATATGACTAAACCAAACATTATAACAACATCAATTCAAACCTCATGAACAGAAGTCCAGTAGTCGGGACGTCCCGCTCAGCGTATGGGCCGGTAGGGGAAGGCGATGGAGGCGGGGTGGAAGGCGTGTGGAGAGAGGGCCGGGTGTGTGGCGTGGGCCGTCAGCGGGCGGTGAGGGGCGAGTGCAGGGTGTGTGGGGTGGGCTGTCAGGACAGTGTGAGGGCTGTGAGGGGAGGACAAGGTGGACTGGTGTGGGCTGTGGGGGGACAGAGGAGACGGGCGACCTGGGTGGATGTGAGGGTACATGTTGGGCTGGAAGGGGGAGCTGTGAGGAGGAGGTTGAACCACTGGCCCGGACATTACAAGCTGTAAGAGACTGCAACACAAAAACACAGAGTTACTACACTGATATGATGTAAGGTTGCTGGTGAAGTAGTATAGATATTGAACAAAATAAAAATATGAATTATTGTTCAAATGTTTTGGAATTTGTTCTTTAATACTTTTATACAGCAACAAAGCATTACTCTAATCTAAAGTGACAAAAGACGGCTACCGTCACTATTCAAAATCAAATAAACTTTAAATAGCACAATTTTTGTAATGAGCTTTTTAGTAAATTTGATTTTATTATTTATTCTTATTATTATTTTATGAAAAATCTATGTTAAAGGTTAAATAATAATATTACTAACTACAATTATATTATTATTACATTCCAATAGATAAACTACATTGGAAAAAATTGCTAATTTTAAAATACAAATAAATGTTTAATTAGTGATATTATAATTGATTTATTGCATTATTACATTTTATTTAATAATTATAATTTAAATATTATTATTAATAATAAATGTAAAATGAATTAATATAAATATTATAATAAATATGAAATATAATGCAATAAATAAAATATTATTATTATTTATTAAATAAATTTTATCTTATTTTTATTTAATAATTCATTATAATATTACAAATAGAGTTATTACTAAATTCTTTATTTTTAATTATATTTTAAAATATTTGTTACAATTTTTGTCTATGTATATAAGTATACACACACACACACACACACACACACACACACACACACACACACACACACACACACACACACGTGTATGTACATACATGTGTGTGTGTGTATGCATATATATATATATACACACATATGTATGTATGTGTGTTTGAATGTGGCATACATACAGTACATCATATATTTTTAAAAAGCTACATTTCTGTCTCTATTTCTATTTTTAAACAAATAAATGAATAAATGACAAAATCTTGACCAGCATCTATTTTTGCATCATAACTATACTATAATAACACTTAATTTATTGTATTTACATGTGTTAAAATGCAAAAAACATACTCATTTATATAAATATTTCAATTCAGACAGGCTTATCGTTCCAGCAGGCATATGATTTCAATATTCAAATCATCAGTGACTTACTTGTTGTGAGGCAGTCTGGAGCACAAAGCCCGTAGATCCTCTGAGGAGTAAATGACATGACAGGAAGAGACATCAATGGAAGGCTGCTATTATCATATGAAACCTAAACGGCTGGTTATGAACTAAACTGTACCTCTGGCGCAGAGAAGGGCTCCGGTTGCCATGGCGACCTGTAGAGCCTGTGCCAGCCTGTCCAGAGCCAGCTGAATGTGACTGGCGTCGAGAAGCGGCGCGAGCTTTTCACACAAACGACCGACCTCCTCGATCAGAGCGGCTACAGACTCCACAGGAAGAACAGTCAGACGACAAAACATATTCTTCTCGGTCAGGTGCACCTGCAGGAGTTCAAAACACACACAAAAATACATCAGAAATCAACCTTTAATGGCTTAAAGGTTTAATGCCTTTCACATTAACCACAATTGGCCTGCTTTTAATAAAAGTATACAAAACCTTGAATGGTTCGCTTTTTACGTATATCATATATCATTTCCTTTTTATTTATTTTTTACTACTGTAATGGTGTTGTGTGTGACACATTGGTGCAGTAGGTAGTGCTGCCATCTCACAGCAAGAAGGTCGCTGGTTTGAGTCTTGGCTGAGTTTGCATGTTTTCCCCGTGTTGGCGTGAATTTTCTCCAGGTGCGCTGGCTTCTCCCAGAAGTCCAAAGACATGCGGTATATGCGGTGTATGAGTGTGAATGAGCGTGTATGGATGTTTCCCAGTGATGGGTTGCAGCTGGAAGGGCATCCCCTGCGTAAAAACCAAAGACTGTAAAATATATGGACGTAGCATCCGTGACGTCACCCATAAGTTTCTGAAGAGCGCAAAAGAAGCCACAAGTAGGCGCGGCCAACCATCGGCATTTTGTTCGCGCGTCATCGGACCCACGGCAGGATACCAAACAAGGGCAAAGAGGCGGAGAGTGAGCGGAGCTACAGACACCTGCTGGCATTTGGCTTGGACCTGGTTTAGACACACTTTACTTTGGGAGAACGCTTAATACTTTATCACCTGCGACTCGTTTGTGCTCTGACCACATGTGCTTGGCTGTACACTATATCAATAAAGTGTTTAGACTTTTAAAAACACTGCTGTAATACATTGAGCCACTAAGTTTTGTTCTTATGACGTTTTTCAACAGGAGGAAAACGCGAATTACTTCCAAACACTTCAGATATAGTCTGTGTTAGATAATGTAAGACTATTGATGAAATCCAGCATAACACTGTATGACAACGCTTCAGATGACTGTTCTAGAGGCTACAGCTAATCAATCTGATGGATTCTGGAGTGCATTACAGCTCTAAATATAAACGATAAATCATCTTAAATAAAACAAATACATGTATAGCGATGGTATATAAGTATATAACTTTACTCACATGGGAAACGGAGGCCACGTGAATGGTTTGTGAGCACAAGTAAGTGCACATAGCATGCCATGCTATTTGATAATTGTAGGAAACAAGTCCAAAAGGCAGTTGACTGTGTAAAGCCACATAAAACAACACAGAAATACGATAAATATGCCGAGTTCAGTGGCTAATCTGCCGGAGTCAGCTGAGGTGACATGACTGCGATCAGCGAGACCTAGCTGTCACTCAAGTGGCCACGCCCTTAATTATGCAAACGTAATATAACTTAATATAAAGGAAACTGAAGAGTTATAAAAAAAATTCAGCCTCCTCACAGTTGTCATGAAGGGTAATATTAGCTGTATTAACCAAAATCTTTTTTGTACCAGGCTGTAAACACCTTTTTTTCTGCTGTAAAGTTGGCCATTCAGTGGACTCAACTGAAATTTGCTCTATTATGGAGCCAGGAGCGGCCAGGACTAGCGGAATTTGGGAGGAATTGCAGTTTAGTTACTTCCGTATGGGCTTCCTGAGGAATAGCGGGAGGTTGCCGCTTGGTAAAAACATATGCTGCATAATTTGGTGGTTCATTCCACTGCGGACTAAGCCGAAAAGAATATGAATGAATGGTGTTGCGTGTGCATCCTATACATACACTTGCTGGGCATTTGGACTTGAACCTTGATGTTTGCAGACTGTTAGCTATGCCTCTTCTGTTAAAGACACAAAAGGGAAATAGGTGTTGGGGGTGTTTCTTTGTTGTTGTTGACTGTTTTTCTGTTTTGTGTAAATTTACTAAAAAAAAATTCTGTATGGAGTTTGCATGTTCTCCTTGTGTTGGCGTGGGTTTCCTCCGGGTGCTCCGGTTTCCCCCACACGCCCAAAGACATTCCCCATGTCCCAAACCTACATAGGCAACAAGACTTTTGTCAGGTAGTGTATTTGTTTATGCTAATTATAAAAACACATGATGTATTATGACCCTACATGAAAATAATCAAGCTTCACAAAACGATGCTTGTTGACGCAAAATACCCCACCTGAAGCATGAGAAAGACTTGAAGAACACTCAGGTGTAATTTGGAGTAAAGCTCTTCATACGCCGTCCCCTTTTCACCATCTCCATGGCCATTGGTCATAGCTGACTTCCGGCCTCTGTGATAGGCTAACGGAGCTTTGACACACCACCGCAGCAAACCCAGAAGAGGAGTGATCTCGAGACAACCCAACGGCAGGCTGGAATTGAGTGGGCTGTTGATGAAGGTGAGCAAAAGAAGTCTGGGATCCTCTGTGATCCAACCAACCAGCATTTCCAGGAGCGCAGGGGGTGGAGTCAACTCATCTACAAGCCACAATATTACACATACAGGTGAAGTCAAAATCATTAGCCCTTCTGAGAATTTTTTCTTTCAAAAATTTCCCAAATTATGTTTAACAGAGCAAGGAATTTTACACAGTATTTCCGGTAATGTATTTTATTTTGGAGAAAGTATTATTTAATTTAGAATAAAAGCAGTTTTTAATTTTATAAAACATTTTAAGGTCAATATTATTAGGCCTCTCAAGCAATATTTCATTAATAATTTATTTATTTATTTAATTTTTTAAATGTCACTTTAAGCTGTATAGAAGTATCTGGAAAATATCTAGTAAAATATTATTTACTGTCATCATGGCAAAGATAAAATAAATCAGTTATTAGAAATGAGTTATTAAAACTATAATGTTTAGAAATGTGTTGAGAAAATTGTCTTTCCGTTAAACAGAAATTGGGAAAAAATGATAATAATAATTCAGGAGGGCTCATAATTCTGACTTCAAATGTAAATGATAATAATAAATAAAATAAAAAATACTTCACATTACCACTTTACAATAATGTTCCATTAGTCAATGTTAGTTATGTCTTAGCTAACATAAATAAATGATGAACAGCAAATGTATTACAGTATTTATTTGTCTTTGATAGTTATTTTAAAATAAAGTTGCTTATAGTGAGTTAATATTAGCAAACATACCTTTGGATTTAATACAGCCTTAGTAAATGTTAACTATGTTAACTATGATTTAATAAATGCTGTTTAAGTATTGTTCATTATTATTTATTGTTAGTAAATATATTAAAGGTAAAGTATCATAGATTACTCCTACTATAAAACATTAATGATAGTCCATTAGTTAATGATAGTTAAATAGATAGTTCACACAACAATGAAAATTTCCTATATATTTCACAACAACGTTGGGGAAAAAAAAGCAGTCATTGACAGGAAAAAAAAAATCAACAAAGTAAATATAAACACTGCAAAAATAATATTCTTATTTAGATTTGTTGTCTTGTTTTTAGTCCAAATGACAAAAAATTCTTAAATCAAGAAGCATTTTCTAGGCAAACAAAATATTGTATTGTTTTAAGAAATAATATTCCAAAATGAAGTGGATTTTTCCTTAAAAAAAAACAAAAAAATCTGCTAATATGGAAAGCAAAATAATTTTGTTTATCATTTTGACTTAATATTATTTTGCTTAATAAGTTCTTTCTTAAAACGTTTTATTTCTATAAGGAACTCATTTAAAATATTATCATTTAAATTAGCAATGTGACAGGAATAGAAGAGCCTAAAGTGTGACATTGTGTTCATACAACAGTTTAATGCCAAATGTGTGCAAATAAAGAATAAACCCTTTTTCTGAGAAATTACTTAATTCTGCTACAGATTCAGATTTCTTGTTGATTATTTAAACAGATCAGCAAAAAACTCCCATACTTAAAAAAAAAAGTCACTTTAGCTACAAAGAAAGGAATTACTATTTTTATTGCATTATACAGTCACCGGCCACTTTATTAGGTACACCTGTCCAACTGCTCGGTAACGCAAATTTCTAATCAGTCAATTACACGGCAGCAACACAATGCATTTAGGCATGTAGACATGGTCAAGACGATCTGCCGCTGTTCAAACAGAGCATCAGAATGGGGAAAAAAAGGTGATTTAAGTGACTTTGAATGTGGCATGGTTGTTGGTGAGTATTTCAGGAACTGCTGATCTACTTGGAATTTTTATGCACAACTATCTAGGGTTTACAGAGAATGCAACATGTCAATACCACAGCCTACCAGAGTGTTGTTGCAGACCATGTCCGTCCCTTTATAACCCCAGTGTACTCATCCTCTGATGGCTACTTCCAGTAGGATAACGCGCCATGTCATAAAGCACGAATTATTTCAGACAAATTATTTCAGAACATGACAATGAGTTCACTGTACTCAAATGGCCTCCAAAATCACCAAATCTCAATCTAATAAAGCACCTTTGGGATGTGCTGGAACAGGAAATTTGCATCATGGACTAGCAGCCGACAAATCTGCAATATCTATCTGCATGATGCTATCATGTCAATATGGACCAAAATGTCTGAGGGACATTTCCAGTACCTTGTTGAATCTATGCCATGAACGATTAAGGCAGTTCTAAAGGCAAAAGGAGGTCCAACCCAGTACTAGTAAAGTGTACCTAATAAAGTGGCCGGTGAGTGTATATAGTAATGTCTTAATGATGAACAAACAAAAGATCTTGCTCATAAATAATATAACGTTTATAACCTAGAGAATAGTTGTTCATAAACTGTAACAAAAAGTACACATGGTACCTGTGGAGAAGTCATAGAGCGCCGTGACTGCAGTGATGAGCTGGCAGCAGAAGCGAGGGCTGGCTGAACAGATGTTTTGTAGGGTAGAGATGGCACAGGGCACCAGCGTGCAGTAATCCTCCATCAACACCTGTGCCAAACGCACACACCACGCAGAGTGTGTGCGCTACACAAAAAACACACATAGGAAATCCTTCAGAAAAATGAATTTCATGACGAGCAAACACATTTTCCTCCAAAATTTCAATAATGTGATGTAATCTTCTGTAGAAATCTGCTTACCTATCATAGATAGATCTAACTTAAATTTTTTAAACCTCCCCTAAGGAGCCATTCATACAGAACACGTCTTTGCATCTAAAAATGTCATAAGCATAATGTCAAAAAGTCTCATCACACACCTGTAGCCAGATAGCTGCACACTCTAGTATAGGCACACGACACACAGCTATGGACATAGAAACCAGCTTCCCGAGCATAGCCATGCGGCTCTCATCAGCCTTGTTGCCTTGCAGACTGAAGAGCGCCGAGAAAATGACCTGTCGGATGGCGTCTTTGCTCTGCTCCTGGAAGTAACTGCATATGATCTCCAGCAGCTGCAGCTCTTGAACGCAGCTCATCCTCTAAGTCAAACACAACAGACGATTCACTTCAATCATTTTTCACTCATATGTGGCATATTAGTATAACTGGCACTGAATTTACATGGTAATCCAACAAGATGACCAAGCTTTACATTATGTACTAACTCTTCTTTCAAATTTTCTAGTGCAGACTTTCTCAAATAGTGGTTTGTGATGTGGTTTTGAAGATGTGTGTTTAAGCAGTTGACACTTCTGTCAGACCCATATTAGGCTTGGCCGGTAATACGGTAATATGGTTAACCATGGGATCTAAAAATAGCAACAGTATCAATTCCATTATACCATCATAAAAAACAATATATTATATAGGAGACATATTTAATTAAATATTTAGGATTAAATATTAAATAAAATTTATTTAATGCCTAACAATGTGTATGCGTGGTTGTCATCACGGGACAGTGTGGAAAGTAAGAGGTGAGAAAAGATGGCGAGTTACACACCGAGTGACCTGTTCTCAAAAAAGAACCCAACTTCAGCAGTTTGGCAGTATTTCGGGTTTCGAACGAATGAGAAGGGAGAGGAGGAAAATGCAGATGAGGCAATTTGCAAATTGTGCAAGAAAAAGGTGAGCACGAGAGACTGAAATACCTCGAACCTAAGGTCACATATATGGTATTCAGTTTCTGAATGGTTTAGGCACAAGCCAACAGTTTGGTGATGCTGTATGAGCCTTACATCGTATTTTTTGGTTATGCACAGTAATACCGTATACAGAGGTAATTTGGATACCGCCCAAGACTAACCCAGATTACTATTTTGTAATAGCTGTGAATGATTTGAATGCAGGTAACATAATATTCATTCTTTTAATCAGGAGGAATTCTTATTTCTTTGCACACTTACCTTGATATGTTTGAGAAAATAAAGAAATAAGCAGCTCAGTTTACATAGTAAACATGGTAAGTGCAGACATACACTACAACTTGCTTTTTTATTCCATAGAACTCAATTTAAAGCCAGAAACTTTTTTTGCACACATTTTTTTTAAAAATAGATTCATTAACAGTTCATGATGTTAAAGTGTATTTACTGTGCTGCTTTCGCATTTATAAAATTGCACTTCTTTAACTGTGGTTTTGGAATTGCATATTTTAAATAATAATATTAATATTTATGTTTATACAGCGCCTTTAAAAGTAGCATCTGAAGGTACTTTACAGACATATAAAATGTGCAGTAGTAAAAGATACATACAAGGATGAATGCAAAGAAAAATTATAATAATAAACATAATTAAAAACACAAAATATAATAATAGTAATAGATCCAAAAATAAAATAAAATCAAAATAAAATCAAATAAAAGCTGCCCTAAAAAGTTAACTTTAAATGATGGTTTAAAAACATTAAAGGATTGTGCATTGCGAATATCAGAGGGTAAAGAGTTCCACAATTTAGGTGCCCATGAGGAGAATGCCTGGACTCCCATAGATTTTGGCCGCATTGACCTCCTTCTTTTAGTCTCATTCCAACTTAGTGCAGGAGTGCTATTTAATCGTTTTTTACCTTAATCTATTTATTCATCTGTATTATTTATATTCTATCAATTTGTGTGTCAAGCAATGCTCTCAAACTCAAACTCAACTGCTTAATAGTCTCTAGTAGTCTGGAACACCTTAGTTGGATCGGCTGTGTTTGATTATTGTTGGAACAAAACTGTGCAGAGTTGCAGCCCTCCAGGAATCGAGTTTGAGACCTATGGTGTAAAGTCTTTCAGTTTATTATGTTGATTAAAGTGGGACAGTACTTTTTATAAGGTATTTTTGCTAAGTACATTTACTTGTTTTTAATATGCAGTTCTATTTTAGAAATTGGGTTACTTTAGATGAAAAATAATCATATGGAAAATGTTGAGAAAAACTAATCTAGTGTATAAATTTTTTTTAAATTTGTCATTAGACTGATTTGCCATGAACCTTGAAGCCTAACAAAAAATAAAAAAATAAAAACATGCGTGCAGAACATGTCCAACATTCCACACTGTTCTTTTATTTTAAATAAGTGAATGATCCATTAAAAAGATAGTTTACCAAAAATGATTAATTCTTTCACCATTAACTCTAATCATTATTAGTTCCAAACCTGTTTGAGTTTTTTTCTTCTGACGAACAAAAAAAGATATCTGCTGAAAATATGTTGGAAACCGGTAAGCACTGACTTTCATGGTATTTGTCTTTACTATAATAGATGTCTATGTTTACTGGCTCCAACATTTTTTAGAATATCTTCTTTTGTGTTTAACATATATATATATTTTTTTCATTTTATTCTAATTTAACCAGGAACTTTAGTTGAGATCTAAAATCTCTTTTACAAGACCTGACTAAGGTAACAGCCATACAGTAAAACAATTTTAAAATACACGATTACAACACTTTATCAGTCCTCTCAACAATGCTCACATGCTTCCAATACCACTCTCTTTATAATGTCTTTAAATTCACAGAAAGACACAATTTTATCTAGTTTTAAATCTTTTTGCAAATAATTCCTTGCCAATTGTTTTTCCTAGTTCTGTACAAACTTGGGCTATATTAAAGAGCAATTGAAAATTCATAAAGGTTTGGAACCACTTGTTTAGTAAAAATATTAATAATTAAATAAGTTGTGAAAAAAAAAGAGGGGGGGGGGTAAATATCCCTTTAAAGCGTACCTTCCTCTTCTAAATTTTCAGCTTGAATACACTTGCATTAACTAAACAGTGCTCAGATACACAATGGGATGCACCTTCCCTTCTCACCTTTGACTGAATGTTTCTGTCTTTAGAGACATGAAAGATGAACTCTTCCACCAGCTCCACTGTGCTCTTCTCTAGTCCAGCCGGGGGTCCAGCGGAGCTCTGCAGAGCACTGCCCAGCGAGATGTCCAGATGATACAAAACCTCTTTAGCAGCGCTCAGCGGATCGCGCCGCAGCAATGCATGCCGAATATCACTCATCTCTGCTGTGGAGGAGGAACTACAGCATCAGCACATATACAAGCATCAGTCCAACTGAGAAAAAAATATACAAAAGACATCATTAGGTTAGTAACAAATATGGAACTTAATTGTATCTTTGCACGTAATTCATTGGACAATGAATGGTAACACCATGTTTTTGGATATGCAATTATCGTAATACTACACTGTAAAACCCAACAGTCAACTTTATCAAATGAAATGAGTGTAGATAACTCAAAATTGACTATAAGTTAATTCTGCTAATTTGAAAAGAGTTTTAAACTCAGCGTTAAAGGTAATGAGTTAATTAAATACCTCATTATTCCAAATGGAGTAAGTTCACAGGTTTCATTTAGATTTGTTTTTTTTTTTACTCAAATGGTTTGTAGCAATCGGTTTCCTCAAATGGTTTGAGTTGAACTTATTGGGTTTTACAGTACTCAGTTGGTTTGAGTTCTCTTCATTTATTGGGTTCTACTGTACTTCATTTACTCAAATGGATTAAGTTCACAGCACTCATTAGGATTATTTTTTAACTTAATTGGTTTGTTGCAATCTGTGTCCTCAAATGATTTGAGTTACCTTCACTTTTTGGGTTTTACAGTGTATGTTCTGAACATGCATCAAGCTAATCAGTGACATTTATGAAAAAAAATAAAGATACAAATTGATTGCTAATTAATTGATTGCTAATGCATCATGGTAATACCATGATTTTTGAAAGGGAATCATAGTACTACATGTTTTATATCTGCTTTATGGTAATGCGATATTTTTGTACATGAATCAATGTATGAATCAAAACAAGAATTATGAAAAATACATACAAGAAGTGTATATACATAGAAGTATAATAAGCAAGCAGAACATATCATACCAAAATAACAAAATATGCCATAGTTTTGGACCTAAAGCATGACAATTTATTAAAAATCTTTAGATTTCTTAAAGGTTGAAGGCGTAGTATTTTGCTGTTCAATCTTATTACAATAACAAAAGTGATTATATAGACATCGCAAGCAAATGAAATGCCTAATATACGTCTATTTCATATAAACAACGTGGTAATATGATTGAAATGAGGTTTCACCATCATCACTTATATCAGCATGATATAAGTATTTATTTTAAAATGAAAACATACTTATGACTTGTACTTTTTAAAATATATATTATAACAACTGGTTACACAACATTTTAAATAATTAAAGATGATAACAAATAGGAACAAAAGCCAGCGTTGGGTTGAGCCAAAGTTACAGCAAAAGTAATAGAAATGTCCATTAGTATTTTAGTGATCAAATTTTGATTATTTTTCTATATTAGTTTGACAGGATTTCAAGAATTGTGAGTTATTGTTATACAAAATGATATTAATGTGGTTGTTTTCGGTAAATCAAGACTAAACTGATCAAACTGATGCTCATAAATGTAAACAGAAGATATCCTAGTGTTATAAGTTAATTCCGGACAATCATCATTGGAATACAAACAAATGCAACATATACCACAGTATGTAATGCGTCTGCAGAAAAAATAGCAAAATAGATTGTATTAAATTCACTCTTATTGAATTACACATAACATGGACAACAGACAAGCCACCAGAGCTTTCTATTCTCTATGGTGACACACATTGTTCAAAAGCGATGATGTTTCCACAACGCAAGGACCTTAAATATTTGCTTCGTTCACAATACATGCATAACGTTATTCGTAATTAGAACCGACTTACCTAGGTTAACAATTAAGACTCGCTACATTAGTTTACTTTAATCTGCAAAAGCATATCGCTCATAACTGACAATGTGAAAGTTGTTCCTCGGAAAATAACTACGGAACCCCATAAAAGACATTTGCAGACTCGTTTGAGCGAAGAGAAGAACGGCTGATCAGCGCCTCCTGTGTTCTGGAGTTAACAACAATTAAACAACAACACAACTAAAACAAACAACAACGACAAAACTTCTGCCTGAAGCAACGATTTGATTGAAAATCAACTTCAAATCAAGCATTCTGATTTTTCAATATGAAATACCCCACTAACTGCTCTTACTAATTTTAAATGTATGTTAGATAGTGTTCATATAATAAAATGTTTCAGTTTATACCAGGTGTTATTGTATTTGTTTCAATAAACTGAGTTAAAAAATAAAAAAGCAGCTAACGTAATTAAAATTCTACATTTTGTTTGTTTGTGTTTGTGTTTTGCTTTTGCTGTTAGGCCTTTATTTAAAAAAAAATCTTTTTAATATTTATTTTAATTCATTATAACTATTGCATCCAGATGTGGATAATTCCATTATTATTTGTTTAAAAATAGTCAACTTAAGAAAATATTATATATATATATATATATATATATATATAAAATATAGCCTACATATTGAGACTGCAGTAAGCCAACTTATCCAGCACATGTTTTACACAGCGGATGCCCTTCCAGCTACAACTCATTTTTTTTATTAATAATGATACATTTTTAATAAGAAAACGTTTTGGTTTAAGCTTAGTAACTAGCACCCATATTCAGAAGAGGACTACTCAATGACTATTTATTGAATAATAAAGTATGATTTTGTTTGCATATGCCTTTTCTCTTATACATTCACCACATAAGCTAAACAAAATATTTTATTGCAATTTCAAATTTTATCTATTTACTTATTTATTTTTCCACGTTATTCATTGTCAGTGATTATTCATTTTAATAAGTTAAATGTTTTGGGTTTTAGTTAAACTAGTTGTACTTGCACTTTCTTTTATACGTTCACCATCCAAGGTTAATAAAAATATCTTATTGCATTCATTTATTTATTTTATTTTTGGCTTAGTCCCTTTATTAATCTGGGGTCGCCACAGCGGAATGAACCGCCAACTTATCCAGCATATGTTTTACACAGCAACTGCCATTCCAGCTGCAACCCATCTCTGGGAAATATCCATACACACTCATTCACACACATACACTACAGACAATTTAGCTCACCCAGTTCACCTGTACCGCATGTCTTTGGGCTTGTGGTGGAAACCTGAGCAACAGGAGGAAAAAAACTCCAACACGGAGAGAACATTCAAACTCCACACAAAAATGCCAACTGACCCAGCCGAGGCTCGAATCGGCGACTTTCTTGCTGTGAGGCGATCTTGCTACTCTGCTACCGTGAGGCCCTATTGTAATTTCAAGTGTTTATTTATTTATTCATTTATTAATTTGCTTAGGCCTTAATATTTTATTTTAATTTACGTTAATTCATTCCCAGTTAAAAACAAAAAAATATGATTTAATTTAAATAATATCCCTGCTGTCAAACTGCAGTGCACGTTTGATTTTTGAAGTGTCACTTTAAATAAGTTTCCACCGAGAGGCGCTGTTTTACACCTGGATCTAAGTTATCTGAATAATGTTATGGCGCCACCCCGTCATCGTCTCCTCCTCAGCTTCACTTCTGACGGGACAGCAGACTCCGAGCAGCAGCACAAACAAACCCGTCCAGCTCTCTTCAACTTTACATCCACAGCAGCAGAAAACATGACCATCAACACACTCAGCCAGGATGGCGTGCAGAGACAGCAAATGCCCTGTTTGACCAAGGTAAACCCCACAAAATATGATTTATTTAACCATTCCATATCAAATGTCTGCTTTAGGACGGGTATTTTTGCAAACTAGCTATATTTATAATTCTCTTGTTGTTTTTAGTCAGTATCTTATAGTAATACAACTGAAAATATGTAAAAAATGATTGAAAGACGTCAATTAGTCAAACATAAAAAAGCATCAGCTGTTTTGACTGGAAACACTAACACTGTTCTTGAACATTTTTCATGATGATAGTGTGTTTTGTGAACATGCATGATAGTGGTATCATATTTTCAGTCATTGCTATTACAATTCACATTTTATTTCAATTTTGTTTAATGAATTTTAAGATGTTGATGCTTCAAATCACATGATTATATTATTAGACAAACTGTGAAAATGAGAAATATGAAAGACATTAGTATTTATTGGACATGCATTATGGTGATACCCTGATTATAATCATTGCTATTTATTCATTCATTTTCGACTTAGTCTCTTTATTAACCTGGGGTCGTCACAGCGGAATGAACCTCCAACCTATCCAGCACGTTTCTACGCAGCGGATGCCCTTCCAGCCTCAACCTCTGGGAAACATCTACACACACACTCATTCACACACGCACTTATACACTACGGACAATTTAGCCTACCGCATGTATTTGGGGGGAAATCGGAGCACCTGGAGTAAACCCGCGCGAACGCAGGGAGAACATGCAAACTCCACATAGAAAAGCCAACTGAGCCGAGGCTCGAACTAGCGACCCAGCGACCATCTTGCTGTGAGGCGACAGCACTACCTACTGCGCCACTGCTTCGTCCATCATTGCTATTATATCTCAACTTTTATTTTTATTATTTTATTATTTATATATATATATATATATATATATATATATATATATATATATATATATATACATACATACATATACATATATATATATATATATATATATATATATATATAATTATATATATATAATTATATATTATATATAATTATATTATGTTCAGACGGTTTGTTTGTAAAAACTTCAATATATATATATATATATATATATATATATATTGAAGTTTTTACAAACAAACCGTCTGAACATAATTTTTAAATATATATAAATAATTAAATAACATAAATAATTAAATAATGTTTAATCCCTTTATTCAATGTAAAAATAGCTTTAAAAGTTGCATAAAGTTTGTATTTAATTATTATTATTTTTTATTTAAAAGACATGTTTCTCATTTTCACAGTTTGGCAGAAAAAAATCAGTTGATATAAAGCTCAAACACCCTAAAAGACAATTCATATAATTTAATAAAATTCAATAAAATGAAATGGCAGTTGGGGCGACACAGTGGCGCAGTAGGTAGTGCTGTCGCCTCAAAGCAAGAAGGTCGCTGATTCGAGCCTCGGCTGGGTCAGTTGGTGTTTCTGTGTGCAGTTTGCATGTTCTCCCCGTGTTCGCGTGGGTTTCCTCCGGGTGCTCCGGTTTCCCCCACAGTCCAAAGACATGCGATACAGGTGAATTGAATAAGCTGAATTAGCCATAGTGTATAAATGCAAGAGTGTATGGGTGTTTTTCTGTGTTGGGTTGCAGCTGGAAGGGCATCCGCTGCATAAAACATATGCTGGATAAGTTGGCGGTTCATTCCACAGTGGTGACCCCAGATTAATAAAGAAACTAAGCTGGAAAGAAAATGAATGAATGAATGAAATAAAATAGCCATGACTACAACACAATATCACCATAATGCATTTATAAAAACATAGAATTACCACGAAACATGTTCAAAAACCAGCATTACTGTTTAAAAGACGTAATGTATTATTACAAATACATTTTTCTTTTTTTCTCACAGTTTGAACCACATTTTATTGCATGAAGTTCACTTTTTGCACTGAGATGAAAGCGTTTCTAATTGAACAATATTTAATTCATACCCACAAACAGATGGAGCGCATGATCATTTCTATGCAGGACCCCGATATGGGCATCAAGCTGCGCAACCAGCGTCTGCTTATTACAGTCATCCCACATGCAATGACCGGTAAGGCTTTACATCTCTCTCTGTCTCTCTCTCTCTCTCTCTCTCTCTCTCTCTCCATGACTGCATCAAACTTCACTCACTCTCGCTTGATAATCCCAAATGGATGAAAGTGCTCTGCTTATTTTCCAGCCCCGGACATGTTTTGGCACGATTAGAGAGACAGCTGAGGCACTAACTACAATAGTTACTCTGAAAATACCATGCATTTAATATCAAAACGCATCCACTGTATCTGGGAAAGTCTGGAGTGCGCATGAGGACAGTGAATCAATAGTAGCTTGCGCAGTGAAATTAGACTCCTGTGTGCGCTTTCGATCTCGGTGCTCATTTTTCTTGTTATTAATTAGTCTAACAGTGCATGTTTTGCGCCTTGCACTGCTCTCTCAGAGGACACCGGCCTGTGTGTAAATAAACAAATCACTTTCTTTGGAAAATCAAAGAAATGTACATGGTCAAATGTGATGCTTAGGCAAACGTTTTCCCTGTTTATGTATGGTAGATGGGGCGAAGCAGTGGCGCAGTAGGTAGTGCTGTTGCCTCACAGCATAAAGGTCGCTGGGTTGCTGGTTTGATCCTCAGCTTAGTCGGCGTTTCTGTGTGGAGTTTGCATGTTCTCCCTGCATTCGCGTGGGGTGCTCCGGTTTCCCCCACAGTCCAAAGACATGCGGTACAGGTGAATTGGGTAGGCTAAATTGTCCGTAGTGTGTGTGAATGGGTGTTTGTGGATGTTTCCCATAGATGGGTTGCGGCTGGAAGGGCATCCGCTGTGTAAAAACGTGCTGGATAAGTTGGTGGTTTATTCCGCTGTGGCGACCCTGGATTAATAAAGGGACTAAGCCGACAAGAAAATGAATATATGGTAGATGTTTTATATTAAAAACAGCAGATTATTGCAGATTATTAAGAAATTTATATCCTCTCTGAGCTTGCTGCTGTCATTAAATGACACCTATTTTACCCCTTTTACAAGATGTAAGATAAGCCTTTTAGTGTTTCCAGAATGTGTTTGTAAATTTCAGCTCAAAACACCCATCTGATTATTTATTATAGCCTCTAGATGATGCCCATTTTGATGTCTGGGTACAGTGTAGCTGTTTTTGTAGCCTGTGGCTTTAAATGCAAATGGACTGCTTCTCCCCGCCCAACGTTTACACACATATCTGCTTCTTATCATGTGTTAACGTCAGATAAACAGCTGTCAGTGACAGAGACAGACTCGGATGAAGCTGAAATAAAGCTCATTAGTCAAAATACCAAGTTTATGTCATGTATTTGTGGTGGCGTTTAATCAAGCCTTTCTGAAATGATGAGTCACACACAAATGGCGTTTGCCATTGGCGTTGGCAATGCCAACACACACATTAGCATTTACTGACACCATGTGGCCGTGGTGATTATAGCGGTTAAGAATTAGATAGCGATTTTACAGTCTTTATTACAAATATGCTCTGTTTTAAATACTTTTTAAACTTATTAAACATATAAAAATCACAGAGAGTTCTAACAAATATTTGAATAAAAAAAAATTTTGAAAAAAAAATGTTCAGTGGAAATGTGTATGCATGTTATTATGGAGACATAGCGTCTGTCAATCAATTCAGTGGGTGGGGAAAACCACACTCCTTATGTCACGTTGCTGTGGGCCTCAAAGTCACTGGGATTTAGATTGTATTTTAACGTCAGGAAATTTTTAAATAGAGACTTGCTGTGTTTATATCACTTCAATGTGACTGTGGACATACTATACCTACACACAGTTCTGTCCAAATAGCTTACAAAAGTTGATTTTCATCATAGGTGCCCCTTTAATTTTATACTCTGCTATTTGCTTACTGGTCAGTTCTGCTGTTAGAAAGATGTGTTTATGCATGTGTTTATGTTGATACCAGTCTTCTGTGATTTTAGGTGCAGACATTGTTGAATGGCTGATTAAGAAGTTAACTATTTCTGATGAAGGTACAGTAAGACATGAATATATTATATATATATATATTATTCTGTAATTCATCATTTTGAGATGATATCATGCAATTCCGTTTTTTGTACGTAATTATTTTTTACCACAGAACTGTAAATTTCTTAAGATTTACAATATTGTGAAATTAACATTTAATTGCAAGTTTACTTATAGCAATTCTGAGAAAATAAATCATATAATGTATCATATCAAAGATAACTACAATAAAAACTCAAATAAAATCTATATTGAAAAATACATAATTATGTATATATATCCACAGTAATTAAATGTAATTAAATATTTTTTAAATATAAATTCTATTTGAGTTTTTGTTCAATATATATTTTATTTGAGTTTTTAAAACTCAAATAAAATATATATTTAAAAAATATATATAATTTTATATATATATATATATATATATATATATATATATATATATATATATATATATATATATATATATATATATATATATATATATATATATATATATATATATATATATATATAATATTTTTTTTTTCTAAATGTTTTTCCCATATTTTCACATATGAACTACATCTCATCCCAGAAATATGACTTTTTCTTGCAATTCCGATATTTTCTTATATATATATATATAAGTCATATTTCTGGGGTAAGATATAATTCATAATATGTGAAAATATTGGAAAAATATATAGAAAAGTGACTTATTTTAGCAACAGGTATTATAACGTCTATTTATAGTGGAATGGGTGGGATGTTTCAGATTGTAGAGAGCATTTGATTGGACAAAAGATTTGAAGTGCTGGATGATGTCATCAAAATATTTGCACAATAGTGCCAGAAGTAAAAGACTAAAGTAATTAAATATCTTCATTTTCTAAATGCAAATGTTGTAACTTATTTGGAGCATACTTGCGTATACATAACCTTTAATAACAAAATTAAAAAGAATTGGATAAAAGAAGTCCTTACATTCTTACAAATTTTTAAAGTGCATAAAAAGTAATACATTTGATATTAATAAAAAAATAATAATAATAAGTTTCTATGTTGCTCCTGCATCTTTGTAGATTTGCAGTGTGTAAATCAGAGGCTGTGTGTGTAATAATTTCCATGCTATTTCTGCTGTGGTGATTTCCTTTAGTTGTCCAGTCACCATTGTGTGGTTTACACAGTGTTCTCTGGGGACAACATAATTCTCTATGTGCCTCTTGAGGGACTACAAAACACATATACAATCCTCGGGGAGTGAAATAGCTTATTAAAGTGGCTTTGGCACATTAAAGTCAGATTTTATATAATGCGAGCGAGTTGTGTGCGAGTTTTTTAATAATAAATGCAACAAACGTCACAGCGAGAACAGGCTGTGTGGTTCAGAAAGCCCTAATAAACAAGCTGTCCTGCACACAGCTGTGACTGGAATAAACAAGACTCCAGAGAGTTTGGAGGATCTGAGTGCCGCACTGAGGAAACACCTTGTGCAGGCAACGCTTAGACTGAATCGGAGGGATTTTTGTTTAAATAGAACTACCACTGGTTTAGTTTATGTTCTCCACTGGAAATGTTTGTGTGTCAGGAAAATAACTACTGTAGATGCCATAGTTCCGTAGTGATTATTTAAGCTGTGTTCCTGTAGCTCAAACCATAGAGGGTGGTATCAGCGCTGCTAATGGATTCGAACTCCAGAGAATAAATGAACACAAAACAAATTTACATATGTGTAATCCAAGCTGGTTGACCATCTTGGATAAGCAACAAAATTAGGTGATCAAGTTGGCCTTTTAAATATGTTCTGCAGATTGAACTGGCTAGTAATAGTATTGGATAATATTATTAGGAATAGTATCGGATGGTAATATAATTGAAAATAATATTTTTATTTTATTTTTGCTAATTTTACATATAATCAAATGTGTTATTTGTCATATTTTTTACTATAAAATGTAGCAATTTTTAAGTTGAAACTGTCAAAGGAAATCATGGACTTTTTTGTGTAAATCAGGGTAAATTAACTAAAAACAAAGCCATTTTTGATATGGATATTACTGAAATGAAGTAAAAAAAAAAAAATATATATATATATATATATATATATATATATATATATATAATATGTTTTATGTTTTAGTCCAGTGTTTCTCAACCATGTTCCTGGAAGACCACCAGAACTGCATGTTTTGGATGTCTCCTTTGTCTGTCACACCCATTGAAGGTCTTTCAGTCTCTGCTAATGTGCTGATGATCTGAATCAGGTGTGTTTGGTTAAGGAGACATGGTAAATGTGCAGGGCTGGTGATCCTCCAGGAACGCGGTTGAGAACAACTGTTTTAGTAAACTTGATGAACTAAAATAAACACTATTATCAGTTTGGAGTGCACATTCTAGTTTTGTTTCCATCTAGTAAATTCTTAATAACTTTTTCTGAAATGAGAATGCATGATCATTTATTTGTTCTTATTTAGAAGCAGCGCACATTGGACAGTTTCTCGTGAAGTATGGCTACATTTACCCTTTAAAAGAACCCAGAAACCTTATTCTGAAAGCTGACGAATCAGCATATCGTTTTCAGGTCAATACACACAAATGTACACTATGTTGTATCAGCATAAAATTCTATATTCAAAAAACGACACCTTTTTAATTCTCTGCCTTTCTCAGACACCGTATTACTGGATGTCTACACGCTGGCCTGCTTCAGAACTAGACTATGGTAAGTGAAATTCTCACTTATTAACTCTTATGTTATTCCAAAAAGCATTTCTTTGCATTAAGAATACAAAATCCTGACATTTCGGAAGGCATGTTTTATTTATATATCTATCTATATGTGTTTTAGCAATCTACCTGGCCAAGAAGAATATCAGAAAACAAGGAGAATTAATCGAGTATGAAAAGGTATGTGGGTAAATGCAAAACCACACCATTTGGCAGTGGTGTATACAGTACTTAAAAGCCAGACTTGAGTAAAAGTAGAGATACCTTACTTGAAAATGACTTTGGTGAAAGTTTAAGTCACTGTTTGGCATATTACTTGACTAAAAATACAGATATTTTACTAGAAAATGACTAAGGTAAAAGTTAAAATCACTGTATAGAATTTTACTGGAGTAAAAGTACAGAAGGGGCGAAGGAGTGGCGCAGTAGGTAGTGCTGTCGCCTCACAGCAAGAAGGTCGCTGGTTCGAGCCTCGGCTCAGTTGGCGTTTCTGTGTGGAGTTTGCATGTTCTCCCTGCGTTCGCGTGGGTTTCCTCCAGGTGCTCCGGTTTCCCCCACAGTCCAAAGACATGCGGTACAGGTGAATTTGGTAGGCTAAATTGTCCGCAGTGGTATGAGTGTGTGAGTGAATGTGTGTGTGGATGTTTCCCAAAGATGGGTTGCGGCTGGAAGGGCATACGCGGCGTAAAAACTTGCTGGATAAGTTGGCGGTTCATTCCGCTGTGGCGACCCCGGATTAATAAAGGGACTAAGCCGACAAGAAAATGAATGAATGAATGAATACAAGTACAGATACCTTGCTAGAAAAGGACTTTAGTAAAAGTTAAAATCACCGTTAGTCATATTACTTGAGTAAAAATACAGATACCTTGCTAGGAAATGACTTTGCTAAAAGTTAAAGTCACTGTTTGGCATTTTACTTGAGTTAAAAAACAGATACCTTATTCGAAAATGGCTTTAAAATCACTGTTGAGAATATTACTTGACTAAAAATACAAATATCTTACTAGAAAAGGACTTTGGTAAAAGTTAAAGTCACTGTTTACTGGCATATTACTTTATTAAAAGTTAAGATATCTGATATTTACCATACTTAAGTATTAAAAGTATTTTTACTATTTACTATTTAATGCTTAAGTAATGAAAGTAAAAGTAAGGCTGTAAATAAAAGCTTAATCTTTTTTTAAATGTAGCCTAAACAAAACAAAAAATCAAAGGAGTAACAGGTGCCACTGCTGTCTGTCTTATTGCCATTGAGGCGAAGTTGGTTTTATATTCGCACATTCAGACTTTCTCCATAAAAATATAATTTCAGAAAAGTATTCATGCTTTTATCAGCAGCAGGGTGGATTACTGTAATGGACTCTTCACTGGTCTTCCTAAAAAGACAGTCAGACAGTTACAGCTCATCCAGAATGCTGCTGCCAGAATTCTGACCAGAACCAGAAAATCAGAGCACATCACACCTGTCCTCAGGTCTCTACACTGGCTGCCAGTTACATTCAGAATAGATTTTAAAGTATTGTTACTGGTCTATAAATCACTAAATGGCCTAGGACCTAAATACATCACAGATATGCTTACTGAATACAAACCCAACAGATCACTCAGATCTTTAGGATCATATAAACTAGAAGTTCCAAGAGTTCAGTCAAAGCAGGGTGAATCAGCTTTCAGCCACTACGCCCCCCGCTGCTGGAATCAGCTTCCAGAAATGATCAGATGTGCTCCAACATTAGGCACATTTAAATCAAGACTGAAAACACATCTGTTTAGCTGTGTCTTTACTGAATGAGCACGGTGCTGCGTCCGACAGATCGCACTATTATGTTTTTCTCTTCTTCTTCATACTTTTATATCACATTTTACCTGTTTTTGTGTTTTTTTTACTAATTTTTATTTGTTTTTATTTTTATTTTACTTGTTTCTTTTATTCCTGTTTTTGTAAAGCACTTTGAATTGCCACTGTGTATGAAATGTGCTATATAAATAAACTTGCCTTGCCTTGCCTTGCCTTACCAATTCTACATGGTGAAATCATATTAGCAGCCAATGTCTATCAAAGTTGTTCACAGTCAAATAAACAGTGCTAATGTTGTTTTGAAGTCATACTTGCATTTGAATTTGGATTAAATATTCAACAACAATATAGGGAGCTTGTCACTGAACTATTGTACAAATATAAAACCAACCTTCAGAAACCGCAACACTCAAGTAAAGTATAGATACTCACAAAAAAATGCTTAAGAACATTACACCTGTACAATGTTAACCCGTTGTTTATGTCTCTGTCTTTGTAAGGAGTGCTATAATGCTTTACATAAACGTATCAACCACACCTGGGACTTTGTTGTGATGCAGGCAAGAGAGCAGCTCAGGTAACTCTACGTTTCCATCACACACACGCGCACACACACACATACACACACACACACAAAACACTTAGGATCAGATTAACTAAACAGGGAAAATCCCACAGATGGGAGTGGAAATTTCTACAAGTAATCCACTGACGCTGCATGAATTACAGAGCATAGATGCAGCCGCTTATTTTCATAATGTCTAACGCAGCACATAAACCTGCACAAACAAGGGGGTAAACAGCAGAGCTGATGGTAATAAATCGCATGTATACTAATAACAACATCTAGTAGGTGCCAAATGCCAGAATGAGCTTGCCTTCTTCTTTCAGTTGCACCTCCCTTTTAAACATATGTGACACCAGATCCACCAATCACTTTGAAATGATTTAAATGATTTCTGAAGGCCTGTGTGACACCGATGCTGTGTTGATGCCAAAAATTCATATCACAGGAATAAATTAAATTGTAGTGTACAGTTAAAGTCAGAATTATTAGCCCCCTTTGAATTTTTTTATTATTTTTTAGATATTTTCTATTATAGTTTATAGTTTAACAGACCAGGGAAATTTTCACAGTATGTCTTATAATATTTTTTCTTCTAGAGAAAGTGTTTTATTCCGACTAGAATAAAAGCAGTTTAAAATTTTTTAAACACCATTTTAAGGTCAAAATTATTAGCCCCTTTTAGCTATATTTTTCCTTGATAGTCTACAGAACAAACCACTATAATACAAAAATTTGCCTATTTACTCTAACCTGCCTAGTTACCTTAATTAACTTAGTTAAGCCTTTAAATGTCATATATATGTATATATGTATATAAGAGTCCTGAGAAATAGCTAGTCAAATATTATTTACTGTCATCATGACAAAGAGATGAGTTATTAAAACTATTATGATTAGAAATGTGTTGAAAAAATCTTCTTTCCGTTAAATAGAAATTAGGGGGAAAATAAACATGGGGTCTAATAATTCAGGGGGGCTAATAATTCTGACTTAAACTGTACATTAAAATATAAAAGAGCTATTTATGTCATTATATCGATTTTATATATGTTGTCTCTGAACATTAAGGACTTTTTTTTTTACAATTTTTCTCAAAGTCTTACTCAGCTTGAGGTACTTTTGAGTGGTAGAGTAGTAAATACTAAATTGTAAGCTGCTTAAATAATTTATAACAGGAAGCATAACATGGTAAGGGCAGTGTTCTCAGCAGGGGCTGCATCCAAATACCGTCACGATGCTTCTCACTTTAAGCAATTCCTCATTACAATCAATCATTCATAAAAATCTGCATGATTCAGCCTGATTGAAGTTTTATGCTGAAAGAAATATTAATCGTACACTCTGATGGTTATAAAAACAATACAAGCTGATCTAAAGGTTGTTGTCCCAACCTTTTTATAACTATTATTTCATGCTTAGTGTTCAGTGGTCTTGCTATGTTTTATTTCTTGTGTTAAGGGCATCAAAACAGCGTCGGAAGGCAGATCGTATAGTGCTGGAGTGTCAGGAACAAGCGTTCTGGCTAGTGAACAGACCTCCTGTAAGTACTGAACTCTATAAAAGAAAAAACACTAGCAGAACCATAGCACCGTCACCTCACAGCAAGAAGGTTGATGGTTCTAGTCCCAGCTGGGTCAGTTTGCGTTTCGGTGTGGAGTTTGCATGTTCTCTATGTGTTCGCATGGGTTTCCTCCGGGTGCTCTGGTTTCCCCTACAGTACAAGGAGTGTGTATGGTTTTCCAGTACTGGGTTGCAACTGGAAAGACACTGTGTAAACATATGCTGGATAAGTTGGCGGTTCATTTTGCTGTGGCGACCCCAGATTAATAAAGCGACTAAGCTGAAGGAAAATAAATGAATGTCAATAAAAGTCACTTTGTTAAACCGTAGAGTTGAATTTTTAACATCAAATGTCGACAGAGCAGAGATCAACATCCCATAATGCAATTCACAACCGTAAATAAACTGAAAACAGTTGTGAATCATAAAATACAGGAACTGTTCTTTAACAGATAGTCTTTCACAGTGTAGCTGTAAAATGTAAATAAAAATACAATTAGGTAGCACTAAAAAATGTGTTAATAATTATGATATGAATTGAACATGACTTTACTTGATCCATAATAAAAGTAGTTCAGTTTTATCCAAACCTTTCAGAAAAAAAAACTCAATGTCAAAAGCATGAGCCGGCATCTGCACCCGTCTGCCACATGCCCTCATATCTGTATCCTGCTTCTGCTTATGAAATATTCAGCCAGTGAGTTAAAAGCATCGCAAAGCAGAGGAGAAAAAAAAGGGGGGAAGGGGATGAAAGGAGACGACGAGTGCAGACACCAGCGGAAGAAAAGAGAAAATAGACTGGAAGTCATTGGTGCCTCATACATGAGTGCCAAATATCAGTGCACTGCTTAACATGAGCTTAAAAGAAGTGTATGAATAACAGCGTGGAGAGTGATGTGGAAACACTGTGCGTGTGTGTGTGTGTGGGGGTATTTCTCTAATGGTTCCATCTTTTGGCTGAGCGCTTAAGAGGATATTCTGTTACTAAGTGACTGTGAATGTTTGTGTTTGTGTGCGTGTGTGTGTGTTACTCTTACAGTCCTGCGCAGGGGCATTTTAACGAGGAATCCTGATGAAGATTTAATCTGGGATGGATTTAGAGGCCATTTCATTCCTATATTGTCACTGTGTGTGTGTGTTAGTGTTGTGTATTTGTGAAATCTTGTAAATGCACCTGCCATGCAGAATTTACTGGGATTTGATTTAGTTTAAAAGCCTGGAATAAACAAGGTTTACAGAACATTTTTTTATTCAAATATACACTCAAAGGCCACTTTATTAGGTACACCTTACCAGTACCGGCTTGGACACCCCTTTGCCTTCAGAATTGCATTAATCCTTCTTGGCCTAGATTCAACAAGGTACTGAAAATATTCCTCAGACATTTTGGTCCATATTGACCTGATAGCATCACACAGTTGCTGCAGATTTGTCAGCTAGACATCTATGATGCAAATCTCCCTTTCCACCACATCCCAAAGATGCTCTATTAGATTGAGTTCTGGGGACTGTGGAGGCCATTTGAGTACAGTGAACTCATTTTCATGTTCTAGAAACCAGTCTGAGATGATTCGCGCTTTATGACATGGAGCGTTATCCTGCTGGAAGTAGCCATCAGAAGATGGAGACACTCTGGTTATAAAAGTATGGACATGGTCAGCAACAATACTCAGGTAGGCTGTGGCGTTGACACGATGCTCAATTGGTACTAATGGGCCCAAAGTGGGCCAAGAAAATACCACACCATTACACCCCCACCACCAGCCTGAACTGTTGATACAAGGCAGGATGGATTTATGCTTTCATGTTGTTGACACCAAATTCTGACCCTACCATCCAAATGTCGCAGCAGAAATCATCAGAGCAGGCAACGTTTTTCAAATCTTATATCATCCAGTTTTGGTGATGCTCAGTTTAAACTGCAGCAGATCATCTTGACCATGTCTACATGCCTAAATGCATTGAGTTGCTGCCATCTGATTAGAAATTTGCATTAAAGAGCAGTTGGACAGGTGTACCTAATAAAGTGGCCGTTGAGTGTAGGCGATTTGGCTACTAATTAAAATAAAATAAATACGTTTTGAATTATTATTTTTTTTTATGCAGGATGAAATCACCATGATAAAGGAAGTCATTGTCAAGTGACAGCACAGCGATAAAACATAATTAATTAATTAACTAATAGTTATAATTAGTAATATTAATAGTTATAATAATAGTAATAATTAAAAGTTTTTTATGAGTAGGAAAAATTAGTTAAATGGTTAGTTCACCCAAAAATTTAAATGTATTCACTGTTTACTCACCCTCAAGTTGTTTCAATCCTTTATGTGTTTCTGTCTTCTGTTGAACACAAAGAAAGATATTTTAAAGAAAGCTGAAATCCTGTAACCATTGACTTCCATACTATTTGGGAGTAAATGATAATAGAATATTCATATTTGGGTGAACTATCCCTTTAAGATTTGCATGAATATATAACCTCAGCTAGCATGTATTTCGGGTCAAAAATATTTGATTCTTTTTCATTTGTTAATACTGTAAAACGTTTGTAAATTGAATAAAACATTTCAATTGGTTGCAACATGAGTGAATATATACAAATAAACAAGGATATTGTCATTTATCTGCTGTATATCTGTCATTTTTCAGCCGGGGACACTGGATATTATGAATTATGGGCCCGAGAGAAGAACAATGAACACACGCGTGCAGCTGGTCAGTGAACTCAATAAAAACACATCCACAACAACACATGATCCACATACAAATGTACAGTATGAGCAATCATTCACAGCAGAGTCTCTCATGCATCATCTACAGCTTGTGTTTCTCTTTATTTCTGTTTTTACCATGCATCCTTAATCAAGTAAGTAATCTCCAATACACTGCCTCATTTCCTGCTGACATTTCATTTCACTGCAAGATCGTAAAGTTTAGAGACAGAAGTGTTTAATAGCCACATTTGAGGAATCCTGAGAGGTGTTTTGTGATTGTACATTTCAGAAAAGAATGCAGAATTCTACAAAAAAGAGGTGAGTGTTTGCTTTATTAATAGCAAGTGTTGGGTTCAGTAATACATATACTGTATCTAATTATTATTAGCACATATATTTAGCATACATATAATTATATACATACTGTAAAAGATTTACATATAAAGATATATAGGATATTTTCAACGTTAATGATAATAAAAAAATATTTGAGCCACAATTAAGCATATTAAATGATTTCTGAGTGTGAATATGAGCAATATCACACAGGAAGCATTGCAATGTGGCTGTATATGGAAACTAGTGGGACGCTAAGGCACTCAGCCTGCTACGAGTGTGATATTGTGTTTATACAACAGTTCGATGGCATAATCGTGTGTATAAAAAAGAAAATCAAACACAGAGTCTAAAAACCTTTCTTTCGCCATTCATTTTCATTTGCAACTGACGTCAGAACAGCCATTACTAATTCACTAATGTCACTTTAAAGCTAGTGTTTGAATGATTCTATAGCGCAATGTCTGAAGTGATGGTAAAACGTGAATTTGCTGACATTTTAAGATTATAAAGCTGAATGTGACATGAAATGCCATTCGTCTACAGATATCTCCCTACAGTATGACAGTTTATATTATTTCTCTTTTGCAATCGGGATATTACAATAATTAACGCCGAAAAAAGCAACACAAACACTACCAGATTGCTGTTGTGTTTGCGATAAGGAAAAACGCTAAAAGAAAAGCCGCCATTTGTTCTGTTTCTGCCAACACATATGCCTAGGATTGCCACCCGTCCCTTAAAATACGGAATCTTCCCGTATTTGAGAATGAAATTGCGTGTCCCGTTTTGAATCAATACGGGACGGGGTTTTGTCCTGTATTTTTTTTTTTAATCATTTTCTAAAAGTAGCTTTTTATTTTTTTTTGTTAACATCTGTTTATTGAGTTTTTCAGAAAACAACGTAAAACAGACAAAAAAAAAAAACAAGTGCAAATTTAAAACCCACTCCCACCCATCCCACCCCTGGTAGACTTCAGAAGATGAATTAAAAGAGAAAACAATGAATAAATAAACAAATCAAATAATAAAAGTAGCTTTTTTTATGCAAATCATCCCACACGCATTTTATGAAGATGCCTCATTTCCTACCTTTGATTGGATAATACTTGATGTCATCATTAGTTTGATTGGTCTTTTTAACTGTCCAGTAAGGAGGGTGGGTCTAAGCAGAGTCTGTCAAGTCTTGACAGAGAGTAATAGCAGATGCTTCTCTAGTAACCCTCCGCGTCTTAAAGTTTCAGAGTTTAAACGCACGCAACTGCAAAAATACTGCGGAGAGTGGGAGGAAACAAACAGCTGGCTGCAGAGTGTTGGAAATTCTTATTAAGTTAACTGCACGATTTGTCGGAGAGCGTTCTCTGTGGTCTGTGGGGCAACATGCCTCTGGCGAGCAGCATTCCCGCAATGACAGAGCTTGCAAAAATCAGAGCAGTCAGACAGTTTCTTCGTACCTCAAGTCTCTCTCGAAGCAGACATGGTAATAACAGTGTAATCATTATCAACATTATTTGGGTTAATTGTTTAATAATGTTAAAAATTTGACCCAGTCTGTGAAAATCTAGCTGGAGTCTTTTTTGTTTTGTTTTGTAATTTACTGTTTTCTAAACGAAATAAAGAACAGTCTGTGAAATTAATACTAATGTATTTAATATTAACTGAGTAAAACAATGTCAACAACTGAAATCACAGGGACATGAATCATTGAACTTATATTACGTTAAACTGACTTAAAACAGCTTGCAAAACTTAGAAAATTAAGACAGAGCATGATTAACTTAGTTCAGTTTTTTTTTTTCCCAATATGTTTATTGATTTTTTTCCTTTTCACCCCATCAACTAGGCATACAGACAACAATGCAGCCTACACAGCACATATCTACACCCTTCTTATGTATATACACCCATACATACAAAAAAAAATAATAATAATTATAATAATAAATATAAATATATACATATACATATATATACATGCATACACACATATACACATATACATACATACACATACATACACACATATACGCACATACACACATATACAATATTTGAATTATATATATGTGTGACGTAAACAATAACACAATAATACAAAAGGAAAAAAAAAAAAAGAAAAAAGGGGAAAAAAAAAAGGTATTAATAAATAAAAAACATGTTTACAAACACACAATTTACATAATATTCATATATGGTTCCCAAAGATAGTCAAAGTTCTTCTGCTTGCCTTTGATAATATAAGTTAGTCTCTCCAGTCCAATACAGTTCAATATTTCTTTTTTCCACATTTCTATGGATGGAGCATCCATGTGTTTCCAGTATAATGCTATAGCCCTTCTAGCTTGAAGGAATAACTTAGTTCAGTTAAAAAAGTTAAAATGGCCTAAAAACATATGCTGCCAGGACAAATTGATCATATAATTTTTTTACAGTGTAGCTAATGTTTGTATCTAGTTTATGTACTGTTTCCATGTTTGGATAATTGTTACTGCAAATAATGACAAACATTTTAGTCAAAATCTGTTATCAGTACCACACTTTAAAACTAGGTTCATTAGTATTTTCTACTCGCCTCTAGGTTACAGCAGCTGAGTTAAGATCAGCTATATCAGTGCTGCAGAGTTGTAAAAGAGAAAGACTGACTGCACAGATTTCAATAAAAGACAGTTTATTTTAATGTCCAAGTGATCATACATTCCTGAAAACATATTTTAATTTGCGATTTACCACCACTGCCATGCTATTGGGCCTGTGATCACTGTGGTCTCTAGGCCCCCAAGGGATGTGCCCACCGCTGCAGTATGCGTCCCTTATTTTTTTGTATCAAATGTGGCAACCCTACATATTCCAGTCCCATCCACACTCAATACACTACAGTTATAAGGTATAAATACAGCATTACAACATACAAATGAGAGAGATCGACTTAGAATATCACTTACCTGTTTAATAATGATTTGATTAACTGTAGTTAGAAATTGTTTTAGCTTCTTAGGGCTTATTATGCGTCTCTGTCGCCATCTTGTGGATGGACATCGTCTTTAGTCTGCAAGACAAGCTAATGGCTGCCGACGCACTGTCTCTCAGAAATTATAAATATTTTAAAATAGGCACTACACTTATAAACAAACTGCATAAATACAATCTACACAACTACATTCGCGACTAAAAGGCCTCAGAAGTACATTATGTTCCCCAAAAGCAGCAATATTTGTCAAACTGTAGAGCGTCCTCTGCTTGTTGCTGTATGTGGGCGGAGTAATACACAAGGGTGAAGGGTGAAAAGGCTGGACGAGTGCTGTTACTGGCAGAATATTGTACGGCTATCAGATTCAAGAACCAGACAGAACTGTTGTATAAATATAAATACTTTTTTTTATTTTATATATATATATATGTATATATATATATATATATATATATATATATATTTTTTTTTTATTATTATTATTATTTATTATTACAGTTTATAATTTATTTTTACAGATTTTTTTAAAGAAACCTTAAAAACAGTGATTAAAACAATGATCATGCTTTCCACAAATTTGTGAAGGATGTTTTCAACATTAATTATAATAAAAAAATAGTTTTTTGAGCCGCAATTAAGCATATTAAACGATTTTTAAATTTGACACTGAAGAATAAATATATTACAGTAATATTTAGTATATTATTTATAATTACAATAATATGTACTATTTTCTTAATAATATTTACTATTTAGTATTTAGTGCTGTTTTACCTACCCCACACTTTTGAATGATGCACAAATAAAATATATACAGTATATATCATATAATATAATTGTACATTAAAAAAAAAAATATATATATATATATATATATATATATAATTTAAATACTATCATGGGCCTTTGAATACAGTAAAATTGGCTTCTTTCAAGCTTACTTTTGCTTTTTTTATACAACAACTTCAGATTGAACACAACAGGATGAGCCTGGCGAGGAATCGTGTCAAGTCCTCAATCTGCCTTGAGAGGTACTGAGTGTGTGTGCGTGTATTAATGTGTGTTTTAGTGTGTCTACTCTGCTGTAGATTCAGTCTCCAGGCAAGAACTAATGCACTCTCCATTTAAAAAGCAAGAAGTCTCACTATAATCCTTGTGCGTGCATGCGTGCGTGCTTGTGCTTGTGTGTGTGTGTGTGTGTGTGTGTGTGTGTGTGTGTGTGTGTGTGTGTGTGTATGTGTGCAGCTATGTGAAGTACTGTGAGCAGTACCAGCCTCATGACCCCATAATGCAAGGGTGTCTTCCCAGCAATCCCTGGATTACAGATGATGTGCTGTTTTGGAACATGAACTCTGAAGCGTGAGTCACAACAACACACACTAATAATAATCTTGATTAAACTGTGAGCTATGACAGATCATTATCATTATATTCACAAATGCCTCAAATTGACAAATATGTTCATTCATTCATTCATTTTCTTTTCTGCTTTTCTTTTCTGCTTTCTTTTCTGCTTTCCTTTTATTAATCTGGGGTTGCCACAGCGGAATGAACCACCAACTTATCCAGCATATGTTTTCGCAGCAGATGCCTTTCCAACTACAACCCATCACTGGGAAACACATATACGCTTTTACATTTACACAAATACATATATGTTGTTATTATTGTCACTTCAACATACAGAGAATATTGATTTATGATTAAACAATTTTCTGTTTATTTTAAGGATATTTTGATTATTGTTTTTGCCATGGTGCTCATTACTTTATAGGCTATTTATTATATATATATATATATATATATATATATATATATATATATATATATATATATATATATATATAGTAGGTAATTGGTCTAAAACAATTCTGAGATATTAATTGAAAATACTCTGGTTACCTCCAGCTGCTCTGGTTTCCCCCACAGTCCAACATGCGCTATAGGTGAATTAGATAAAAAAAAAAAAATGGCCGTAGTCTATGAGTATGTGTGTGAATGCAAGAGTGTATAAGTGTTTCCCTTTACTGGCTTGTGGCTGGAAGGGCATCCGCTGTGTAAAACATATGCCAAAATAGCTGGTGGTTCATTCCACTAAGCCGAATGAATGAATGTAAAACGCTTTAGCAATTATTATTGTAACAAGAAAATGTGATGCCTGATAACAAACATTTCAGATTTTTTGGGGGGAAGAATACATGAAACATGGATGAATTTTAACAGTATATTGAACGTTAATGTGTATAACATTCTATTATTTTACTGAAGGCGAGGCAGTGGCGCAGTAGGTAGTGCTGTCGCCTCACAGCAAGAAGGTTGCTGGGTAGCTGGTTCGAACCTCGGCTCAGTTGGTGTTTCTGTGTGAAGTTTGCATGTTCTCCCTGACTTCGTGTGGGTTTTACCTGTACCACAGTCCAAAGACATGTGGTACAGGTTAATTGGGTAGGCTAAATTGTCCATAGTGTATGAGTGTGTGTGCGAATGTGTGTGTGGATGTTTCCCAGTGATGGGTTGCGGCTGGAAGGGCATCTGCTGTGGAAAAACTTGCTGGATAAGTTGGCGGTTCATTCCGCTGTGGCGACCCCGGATTAATAAAGGGATTAAGCTGACAAGAAAATGAATGAATGAATGAATGAATATTTTACTGAACTCCTGCAGTATATTGATGTCCAGCCTGCAGGTCAGTGTTTGCTCTGTTTAACTGTGTTTTGCTGACTCAGGGTTACTGTTCCCACTAAACTGCGTGTGGAGCGCTGGAGCTTCAGCTTCACGGAGCTGCTGGACGACCCGATGGGCAGAAAAGAGTTCCTCATTTATCTGGAGAAAGAGTTCAGCGGTAACTTACTCTATTATGAAAAGTTAAAATGCTTATCAATGCTTTTCTAAACAACCTTTAGGAAATGTACTGGTGCCATGTTATAGTTTTTTAGAGTTGGTAATAAAAAAATAAAAAAAAATAAATAAATAAAAAATTATATATATATATATATATATATATATATATATATATATATATGTATGTATGTATATATATGTATGTATATATATATATATATATATATATATATATATATATATATATATATATATAAACAGTTTGTTTCTTTTTAAAAAAAATTCCAAATGATGTTTAACAGATCAAGGAATTTTTTACAGTATTACCTTTAATATATTTTCTTCTGGAGAAAGTCTTATTTGTTTTATTTTGGCTAGATAAAAAGTTTTTAATTTTTGAACGAACATTTTAAGGTCAATTTCATTAGCCCTCTTAAGCAATATTTTTTTTTGATTTACTACAGAACAAACCAATGTTACAATGACCTGCCTAATTACTCTGACCTGCCTAATTAACCTAGTTAAGCCTTTAAATGTCACTTTAAGCTGAATACTAGTATCTTAAAGAATATCTAGTCACATATCACTTACTGTCGACATGGCAAAGATAAAATAACCTTGCTGTGAGGCGAACATGCTACCCACTGCGCCACCATGCTGCCCCTAAAATAAATCAGTTATTAGAAATTAGATATTAAAACTATTATGTTTAGAAATGTGTTGAAAAAATCCTATTACTGTTAAACAGAAATTGGAGGAAAAAATATTCATGAGGGGTAATAATTCTGACTTCTAACTGTATATATAGGAACCATACTACTATAATCTCATTCCGGCATTAAAATAAAGGAACTTTGCTACTGTACCATGGCTGCAGAATAGGTAACTACATAACATAACATTATATCATTGCATGTAAAATCATGGTACAACAAAAAAGTTCCTTTGTTTATTTTGCCAGAGTATAGTTCTTAGCCATGTCTGGAAAGAAAATGGCACCTTTTCATTTTCCGTTGGTCTTAGTACATGATGTAACCAAAGAAGAGTCAAGCCTTTAAGAGGAAAATTATCATAACTCTTTTTTAAAAATGTTTTTTGAGCGATGCTAATGGTCTAATCTGATTCAATGATTTATGCTAAGCTAAGCTAAATGTGCTCCTGCCAGACCCTGAGACTGGCTGAATGCGTTTAAAAAATGGTAAAACTCAACTATTTAAATAGGGGAAACTATTGAAAGTGAGGCTATCTGCAAAAACAATTGTTTCTTTAAGCAATTTAGTATTTGGTTTGGGATCAGCATGGTGGCTCAGTGATTAGTGGTATAGTGTGAATTGGGTAGGCTAAATTGCCCGCAGTGAGTGTGAATGAATGTGTGTGGATGTTTCCCAGAGATGGGTTGCGGCTGGAAGGGCATCCACTGCGTAAAAATTGGCTGGATAAGTTGGCGGTTTATTCCGCTGTGGCGATCCCTGATTAATAAAGGGCCTAAGCCGAAAAGAAAATGAAAGAATGAAATTTTCCGTAGTGTATGAGTGTGTGTGTGTGTGTGTAAATAAGAGTGTATGGGTGTTTCCCAGTACTTGGTTGCGGCTAGAAAAATATATAACGGAATATTTGGCAGTTCATTTCGCTGTGGCGACCTCGGAAATAGAGACTAAGCCCAAGTAAAATGAATGAATATTTGGTTTACTGACAATTGGCGCCATCTGGTGGGTATAACAGCCAACAACGCTATCAAACAGTGTGCTGCTTGAAAATATTAATTTCTTTTTGTGTAGTAACAAGTTATAAAGGCACAAAAATGTATATAATTTGTACTTATTTATAGCTTTATATATTTTATATTTATATATTTACAATTTCAAAATATGAACGAATAAACAGTAACACACAGTATTTATTTATTTTTTATTTATGCTTGTAATCTGAAAAAAAAAATAACAATAATAATCCCATGGTACATTATAAAAATATTTATTAATACCTTTTTATTTTAGGCGCCTTTCAAAGCACTCAAGGACAACTTACAGCAGAGCACAAGCACATCATAAAAATACAAGCAGTAAAAACAACAATCAGCATAATATTAAACCAGCAAATGAAAAAACGGCAGAACGTGAGATCTTACTAATATGAGAACCAAACGAGAGCATGCCCTCCCGTATAACCCCAAGACTTTTCACGTGGGTTGAGAAATTGACTGGGAAGTTATCAATAAACAGAGTAAAAGTTTGAGCTTTAGATAAAACCAGAAGGGCTTCAGTTTTACTGGCATTTAACTTAAATAAATTATTAATCATCCATATGTTAATCTCATGTAAACATATAGTAAGGTCAGAAGGGGGGTGAGATGTTGTAGGTCTTGTGGAGATTTAATCTTGGATATCGTCTGCATAAAAATGAAAATGTATGCCAAAAGAACGAAATATATGACCTAGAGGGGTAAGATATAAATAATAAATAAAAGTGGCCCCAATACTGACCCTTGAGGAACACCATGAACGACTGAAACAGGATCAGAGCATCTATTCTTTATCTGTTTTCTGTCACTTAAATAGTAAAAGAACCAGCGAAGTGCATTATCAGCTATTCCTACAGAAGCCAGTCGTTCCAATAATAGTGAATGACTAATAGTATGAAAAGCCGCAGTGATATCTAAAAGAATAAGTATAGACAGAAAACCAAAATCAGCAGCTAAGAGAAGATCATTTACAACCTTAGTAAGGGCTGTTTCTGTGCTGTGTTTGGGGCGAAACCCAGATTGAAAGTGCTCAGAGATGTTATTACTTTGAAGATGTGAATGAATTTGAATATTTATTGTCACTTTTGATCAATTTACAGCAAATTTTCTGACCGGAAAATGATTTGGTATTGATATTCAGTCATACTAAAATAATACTGATTGATAAGCTACATTTATATATTAAATTTACCTCAAAAGAATATTTCTAACATGTTCAAATGAAGTCTTCTGTTATATAAAACTGTTTCTTTCACTTCAACCCAGTTCTCCATGGCGTCCCAAAACTGTCGTTCCCTTTTGCACTTTTGGAGCTTTAATAGATTCCATTTTTATCCTGCTGCGCTCTCTCTGTGTATGAATAATGGAACGACTTTTCGTGTTTCTGTCTCCCCTGTTCCCCTTCTCATTCCTCCCCTCTCATCGTCTTCTTTCGTCCCCTTTCTTTGCTGTTTGTTTGGCTTTTCCCTCATTATCAGCGGAGAACTTGTGCTTTTGGCAGGCCTGTGAGGACGTTCGTCATGGAGAGAGCTCCAAAATTCCCGAGAAAGTGGACGAGGTTTACAAGTATGACCTTAAATATTTATCCCTGACACTTGTTGATTTAAAGTTGTTTTTAGGTGGATTTGCAAAATGGATTTGCAGAGTTTGCTAAATATTAATATTTAAGTATTTTTTGTACAAAATGTTTAAATAGATAAACTCACTGGCCACTTTATTAGGTACACCTTACTAGTACCAGTTCAGATCTGCCTTAATCCTTCATGGCATAGATTCAACAATGTACTGAAAATATTCCTCAGAGATTTTGGCCTATATTGGCATGACAGCATCAGATTTCTCAGCTGTACATCTATGATGTCAATCTCCTGTTCCACCACATCCCAAAGGTGCTCTATTGGAGTGAGTTCTGGTGACTGTGGAGGCCATTTGAGTACAGTGAACTCATTGTCATGTTCAAGAAACCAGTCTGAGATGATTCACGCTTTATGACATGGAGAATTATCCTGCTGGAAGTAGCCAACAGACGATGGCTACACTGTGGTCATAAAGGGATGGACATGGTCAGCAACAATACTCAGGTGGTCTATGGCGTTGACACGATGTTCAATTGGTACTAATGAGCCCAAAGTGTGCCAAGAAAATATCCTCCACTCCATTACACCACCCCCAGCCTGAACCATTTATGCAAGGCAGGATGGATCCATGCTTTGATGTTGCTGACGTCAAAATCTGACCCTACCATGCAAATGTGGCAGCAAAAATGGAGACTAATCAGACCAGGCAACGTTTTTCCAATCTTCTATTGTCCAATTTTGGTGAGTGTGTGCCAAATGAAGCCTCAGTTTCCTGTTCTTAGCTGACAGGAGTGCCCCATAGTGTGGTCTTCTGCTGCTGTAGCTCATCCGCCTCAAGGTTGGACATCTTGTGCATTCAGAGATGCTCTTCTGCATACCTCAGTAGTGACTTTCTCCTTTGACCTCTCCATTCTCCTTTGACCTCTGGCATCAACAAGGCATTGGAACCCACAGAACTGCCGCTCACTGGATATTTTCTCTTTATCGGATCATTCTCTGTAAACCCTAGAGATGGTTGTGGTGAAAATCCCAGTAGATCAGCAGTTTCTGAAATACTCAGACCAGCCTAACTGGCATCAATAACCATGCCACGTTCAAAGTCACTTAAATCACCTTTCTTCCCCATTCTGATGCTCGGTTTGAACTGCAGCAGATCATCTTGACCATGTCTACATGCCTAAATGCATTGAGTTGCTGCCATGTGATCAGCTTCTGTTCATCTGGCAATCTTGGAATATGGAGTAGTTATCAATCTCCTGAAAGTGGTTTTGTGGTTTATATGTTTAAATTTAATGTCTCGCTTATGATAGAAATTTTTGTTTCACTGAAGTGTTGTTGTTGTAAGTGTACGTAACATTGATTGTTGTTGCCACAGAAGTAAAGATTTAATAATAATAATACATTGCTATATCATATAATGTAGAGTGGTGCAGCGTTGTAGCCTCACAGGAAGAAAGTCGCTGGTTCGAGCCTCAGCTGGGTCAGTCAGCGTTACTGTGTGGAGTTTGCATGTTCTCCCCATGTTCACATCGGTTTCCTCCGGGTGCTCTGGTTTCCCCCACAGTCCAAAGATATGTGCTATTGGTGAATTGAATAAACTAAACTGGCTGTAGTGTATGAGAGTGTATGGGTGTTTTCCAGTACAGGGTAAAACATATGCTGGATAAGTTGGCGGTTCATTTAACTGTGGCGACCCCTGATGAATAAAGGGACTAAGCTGAAGGAAAATTAATTCATTCATTTTCTTGTCAGCTTAGTCCCTTTATTAATCCGGGGTTGCCACAGCGGAATGAACCACCAACTTATCTAGCTTGCTTTTACGCAGCGGATGCCCTTTCAGCCGCAACCCATCCCTGGGAAACTGAAGGAAAATGAATTAATTAATTTTTGAAGGCCAAAAAAGCATACTGAAATATGAAATAAATACAGTCAAGCCTGAAATGACTGGCAAATTCTGACAATGTTTTTGTCAAATGTAAACAAAAGCTCCGAAATATCTTTTTCCCACAGTGACTCCTCTTGTCCATCGTCTTATTATGTTTTGGGCGAAGCCTGTGTCATTACTGGTAACAAATAAATTAAATAAAGAAAATAATTAGTTAAATAAAGAAAGTTTAAGTCAGAAATTAAGTCCAAATTTAAAGTCAGAAAATAATTAGTTAAATAAAGAAAATTTAAGTCAGAATTTGCCAGGGTATGAATTATTTCTGGCTTGAGTGTATGTATAATTTTTTAACTTTGCTACTCTCCTTGACATATTCAATAACGTCTTTCAGTGCCTCTGAGTTTTCTTCTGTTTGTGATCTTTCAGGCAGTTTCTGGCTCCTGGTGCAAGTCGCTGGGTGAATATCGACAGCAAGACCATGGAAAAAACCTTGGAAGGGCTCAAGCGTCCTCATCGTTTTGTTTTGGATGATGCTCAAATGCATATTTACTTCCTCATGAAAAAGGTAGAGCGTTTAACTGTTTGCTCAAAATCGAAAAGTCTCTTACACTTACCAAGGCTGCATTTATCATTCATTCATTTTCTTTTTGGCTTAGTCCCTTTATTAATCTGGGGTAGCCACTGTGGAGTGAACCGCCAACTTATTCAGCACATTTTTTACACAGCGGATGCCCTTCCAGCTGCATCCCATCACATTCATACACACTCATTCACTACAGACAATTTAGCTTACCCAATTCATCTGTGCCATGTCTTTGGACTGTGGGGTAAACCGGAGCACCCGGAGGAAACCGACGCGAACAAGGGGAGAACATGCAAACTCCACACAGAAACGCCAACTGAGCCAGCTGAGGCTCGAACCAGCGACCTTCTTGCTGTGAGGCGAATGTGTTACCCACTGCGCCACCGTGCAGCCCGCTGCATTTATCAGGAAAAAACAGTATTACTTTTAACTTCAGATACATTAAATGGATGTTAATAGTGTAAAAAATGCTTTTATTATGTAAAAAGATGCTATAAATGCATTTGATTATTCTTACCAGAGTTCAACAGACGTGGTTTGGGTTTTTTGTAGGATTCGTTCCCTCGCTATTTGAAATCTGATCTCTACAAGAGCTTATTGGCCAGAGCCATTGTGCCACAGGAGACCAAGAAAAGGTAAAACCGCACACACATACACAGCCCCGTAGCCAGCCTGGTAAAAGGGGTGGTTCTTTTCTCTCAAAAAGTGGACCATTTGCAGTTATTCGCCCATTTTAGTGATATTTTAAGCACTGTTTTTAGCTGAAATAACTTGTTGGATGGTCATCATAATCACACTTTTTGATTTAAATATGATATAAAAATATTTCCTAAAGATTTAAATAAAGACATTTGAGACATACTTAGTTTTAAAATACATATTTATTGCATCATATATCATATAGAAAAAATTAGGAATCTGTTAAAGTTTTAAATTAAAAACTGTAGTCTATTGTCATTTAATAGGAATATAACAAACTGGACTTTCCTTAGTTTGAACATTGGAAAAAAAAAACAATAATAGTAGTAGTAGTAGTAATAATAATAATAATAATACAAATAATAATAATAATATTGTAGAACTTTACTGTTTTTCTAGCCTCGCTTGTAAAAATTGGTAAAAATCACCAAATTGGTATTCAAATCAATTTCAATATGGTCCACTTTTGGTCCTTCACACCATTTGATTGCTTATTTTTTGTTTTCAGCATAAGGTCCAAGATTTAGAATAAAAGTTACTTGTAAAATTTTTTCTCTGTTTAAAAACAATGCAGCAGCGAAAGATGACTTAACTTACGTCAGATTGCAAAATGAAATATTGGTTAGCATTGGCCAAAACTGAATAACTGAAGTTGCAGCGAAGCGACAGCCAACAGAGGATTCCGCTTGGTCTTAAAGCCTTTTTGGATGGGTTATTTTCACTATTTATCATAGCAGTCAAAATAGGACAAACGAGCTCATATATGGGATAAATTTTGGACCTTTGTCAGTGAGGGGTTATTCTTCCGAACCACTCGAACACCCCCCTGGCTATGGGCCTGACACAACAACCGAAGTATACAACCGGAGCTCGGAGTATATTTCAGTTTTACAGAGCAAGTGTCCACAGCTCCATCCCCACTAGACTCTACCTAAGCATCTTGAGCTTAAGAATACAACTGTTATGAATCATTTCAATCATTTCGAGTCATCAAAGACCACAGTTTCAACAAAAGTTTGTGTGTGTGTTTGTGTTCAGTGTGTTCCCGTTCATGCGTCGGCAGCGCCACTCCAGCCCCTCGCCTGCTCTCGTCACCCATACCACAGAGGATGATGGGAAGGCAAAAAACTCAAACTCTGTCAAAAGCAATTCTGGAACCGCGTCCAGGCTGTAACACAAAATATTTGCTTGTGCTTAAAACACTTGAATTTATTTTCTGCCGTATGTTGTTACCTAACACACTTGGGAAAGGAAACTACACTGTTTCCTTTTGTGCTCCACAAAGCAGATATTTTAGCCTCTAGGTTACTGTTTAAAAATAATTCTCATCATATCAGGCTTGCATTTTAAAGATACAGCAATAATGCCATTCAACATAATCACAATCACATACAGTAAACGTTCAGCTCTTCTATGAATGTGTAACTCAAATCTTTCGCACATTTGTCATGTTTTTAACGTGTTTATTTGATATTAAATGTTCTTTGTGTTATACATTTACTGTTGCCTCCGTTTACATAAATCAACATGATGTCTTTTAAAATAAATGTGTACATTTGGAAGTAGATTTTTTTTTGCCTCTTTTTACAAGATGTAAAATAAGTCTCTGGTGTCCCTAGAGTGTGTATGTGCAGTTTAAGCACAAAATACCACACTCATGATGTTTTATAAATCTCTGAAATGGCTCCATTTGGGCTTTGATACAAATTGTGGCATTTTAGTGACTGTCACTTTAAATTTAAATGAGATAAAGCTCTTTTTAAAAGAGGGTGGAGCTACAAATGCCTGTGTGTCAGCATAGTGGCAGATTCAAAAACAAGACCTGCGTTGCGCCCCAGTTCATACACTTATACTACGCTCTAAAAGTATGTACTGTTTTTGTAAATGAAAAGTTTATACTTATGAGTGTGCAACCAAAGAGTATGCAATAGTGATGCGCAGATGGCGGTTAAATCCGCGGGCACTGCGGATAATCTTTGGGTCAGGTAATAAAAAAATACCTTATGATTAATTGCAGGTGGGTTGTGGGTGGATGTAGCGGGACATGGTAGGGGACCAGAGAAAAAGCAGAGAGTGGGCTTTGCAGAAAGGGAAGATGAGATGTCCAAAATAATGGATGAAGTGCAAGAGTAGCCTATACTGTTTAAAGTTTGAGGGCCTACTCACACTATGCTATCCGAATCGTGCCCAGGCCCGTTTTATGGATCGTTTGTGAAGTGTGAGAGCACTGAATCAGGCTCAAGCACGATTCATTTGGCCAGCCCTGGCCCGGTTGGAAGAGGTGGGCCTAAGCGCGGTTCACTTGGGGTTTGGCGCGGTATGCTTTAGTGTGACTGAAAACACTTTGGACAACGCTTGAACCACATTAAAGACCTCGTAAAAACGCGATCAAGGGCCTTTTAAGTTCCTTAATTTTATCATAATTGATCAACTTTTAATACTTTTTAAGACCCCGTGGATACCCTGGGCATACTACTTCCTCGTTAACAGATCGGTATGTTGCTTAGTTATGTCCCCTGTCAATCATCTCGACACATCATCCAGATTTCTTTCATATTTAATTAAGTTACCAACCTTACTGGAGAAAAAGCAGCAGGTTAATCTGCCATTCGCGAGCCTTTCATGCAGACAAATCTTCTCAGCTCTTTTGGGTCTTTCTGCAATTAGAAGTTAATGTCCAAACATATTGTGATTTAAGTTCACATTTATGTCGCAGATGAAATTTAAAACGGAAAATGTGATTTAAATATTTTCCAGTTGGCTAGATATTGTTTAACAGTCATTCAAACAACTTTACCGAAGCCTCTCTACCTGAAGGTTGGTCTTATGCGTACATCATGTTTGTAGTTTGTTTATACTTTTTGCTCGAGTTTGTAGTTCTAATCGAATTCACATCCAACATGCAATGTATTGTGGGCAATATTAGCAGTTAGAGTATGGCCGCTTCTACACTTTGAATTTTTACCGGAAATAGTAGAGCATACGGGAACTTCTGACATACTCTTTTCAACATGGTTTGGGACATACTCGTATTATTTTTTAATACTATTTAGGATGGATAGTGTGCGAATTGGGACACAGCATAACTTTTTATGCTAATGAAAGAGAGAGAGATCGTCACTAGTGGGCGGGGCTTTCCCCCACTGATGACACGTACAACAGGAGAATGTCAATCAATGAATTAATGAATCCATTTTGACTATTAGAAGCTGGTTATATTCACAGACTGTTGCTACACAACTGTGATTGAACCCCTTATAAAAGTGATTTTTGCATAACAGGACCCCTTTAAATAATAAAGAATCACTTAATTATGTTTACATTTATTGGCATATAGATTATAGAACAATTTTCAAGACAAAAAAAGGGAAAAAATCAAGAGCACATGTAAAAATGACTAACAACAACAACAAAACATTAACATACCTCACATATTCTCTGATTGCACTGCCTCATTTTTAAACACAAGTGCATATTTGTGCAATTTACAAGGCCTTCCTTTAAGAAAACAAGAACAAGGATTGTCATAATAATAACCAATACTACATCAAAACTAAATCACATATGAAAAAAACTTGTGTGTGTGTGTGTGTGTGTGTGCGCGTGTGATTAACACATTATAACAAACAAAACCAACACAAACATTGATTTAGCTCACACTTACTTGTGATTTGTCATTCCAATATAAAAATCAATATAAAACCGTGTAAAACATACTTGTGTCACATTTCAACCCCAATTTAACACCTTAAAAATCGGATTAAATAACAGTTCAATTATCCTTTTTTACTGTTTAACATACATATGAGCAATAAAGGACATCGCAGTATGAATGTCAACCCCAAAAAAGTACAACTACAGATGTCTCTTCAAGTTTCAACTGGCCTGAGGGTCAGAAGTACATATGTATACCAATACATATGGTCATCTTAAATACGTAAGATTCCCAATTACAAACAAACACACGCATCATTAGCTCAGTGTTTCTCAACCACATACCTTGTGGAGCACCAACACTGCATGTTTTGGATCTCTCCTTTGTCTATCACATCCATTTCAGACCTTTCAGTCTCTGCTAATGAGCTTATGATCAGAATCAGACAAGGAAAATGTGCAAAGCAGATGGTCCTCCAGAAACGTGGTTGAGAAACACTGTGTTAGCCTATTAAAGAGACGCAGCCATTCAAATTGGCATACAGAAGCGCAATATTACGTTCGCAAGCGCAGTTTTAATCAAGCGTAAAACATCCTCCCTCCTGAAAAAGCAACAGCACGTCTTAGGAAAAGAAAAACCCTTTTTAGGGAGGCAGAAGGGAGGTATTTTATTGTACATTCCTGACAGTGGTATTAAAAAATGCTGTATTAAATTAAGAACTATTTTACAAGTTTCCAGTGTGTGTGTGTGTGTGTGTGTGTGAGGAAAACACAAGCTCAGAGATATAGACAACAGTCCTTAGTGGTAACAAAAATGCCCAAAGTTTTTTTTTAAATAACTAATAATAACTTTATATGTGTGTGTGTGTGTGTGTGTGTGTGTGTGTGTGTGTGTGTGTGTGTGTGTGTGTGTGTGTGTGTGTGTGTGTGTGTGTTTGTGTGAGAGAGAGAGAGTTTTGGTTACTGTAGGAGAAATCACTCTCAAACACAGACCTATAAAGTGTGTGATGTATTTATAAATATAACAAACTAATACACTAGTGTTAAATAAAAGATTATTTTATCTTAAAATTGAAAATTAATCTGTTTTTCTAGACAGAAATCTATCCCGTTTTTGGATTCAAATGATTCACAAGGCTGAATAAACTAGTAAATCAGTAGTGTTTTTTTTTTTTTTCCTCTAAAGAAGATAACATGACTTTTTGTCCTCAAAAAATTCTAGTGTAATTCACATACTTAATTTCACTAATTATAAACTAAATATCAGCTAAAGTGCGTAATAAAGACATTCATTACAATTCTCTTTGACTATTGTTAATTGACTCATTGTCAGTGTTCTCTGTGAATTTGTTTATTTAAACATTAGTTATAACGTGTAAAGGAATCATGTTTAAAGCAATATTTTACTCAGACATGACAATTTTGGCATTCTGTCATTCAAAACAGTACACAGTAAGAGTGTGTGACATTTATCTCAAGAATTATGTTGGATTTATGTGTGTGAGATTATTTTTTAAAGTGTGTTTATATGACATGATACCTTTTCTGGTTTTAGGTCTTTCATGGATACATGAAACAAATGAGTTACTAAAATCAGTAGGGTTCATCAAGTCGCTGTCATTATGGATTATTCATTGAATCATTAATTTAAAACAGCTGCTTCATTTAGAAACAAAGCAGGAGACTGTCTATGATCGAATAATTACATTGCTGATTCAAGTGATTAGTTCAAAACACAGATTCATTCAGAAATGAAACATAAAACATTGCTCAAAGAATGTACAAATGTTCTGCTAAATTGGTAATATTGTGTATAAATTGTAACTTCCTCAAAATGAACCTCTAGTTTGTTTAATTGTTTATTTAGATAAAAGGGATTGTTCACATAAAAAAATTATAATTCTGTCATCATTTACTCTTCTTTTACATGTTTTAGATCTTTAGGAATATGTTGAACGCTAAAGAAGATGTTTTGAAGAATGCTAAAAATCTGTAATAAACAACTTCCATGGTATGTGTTTTTCCTACTATGGGAATCAATGGTTACAGGTTTTTAACATTGTTCAGTTTTACATAGCCACAGCCATATCACCCTGCAGCCCAGAACCGGTTACTCACTGAAGCTAAGCCGGGCTGAGCCTGGTCAGTTTCTGGATGGGAGACCACATGGGAAAACTAGGTTGCTTTTGGAAGTAGTGTTAGTGAGGCCAACAGAGGGCGCTCAACCTGTGGTCTCTGTGAGACCTGATGCTCCAGTAAAAGTTAAGGGGACACCATATTGTCAGTGAGCGCCATGTTTTTGGATGAGATGTTTAACCGAGGTCCTGACTCTCTGTGGTCATTACAAATCCCATGGCACTTCTCGTAAAAGAATAGGGGTGTAACCCCGGGCCAATTCCCTCCCTTGGCCCTTACCCATCATGACCTCCCAATCATCCCCACCCACCGAATTGGCTCTATCCCTGTCTCTCCACTCCGTCTATAGTAGGCTGCCATCGCATCATCCAAGTGGATGCTACACACTTGTGGTGGTGTGGAGAGACATGACTGTGAAGCACTTTGGGTGTATGGCCAAACACATATATAAATACACATTACATTACACATTCTTCAAAATATCTTCTTTTGCGTTCAACAGACGAAGAGTCTCATAAAGCTATGGAACCACTTGAGGGAGAGTAAACAGTGAGTCAGTTTTCATTTTTGCGTGAACTGTCCCTTTAATATCATATTGTGAGCACTCTCAAGCACTAATATTCATGAAAAGTCACTCTTGTGTTTTGTCAAATAAGTCAACTATCAAGCTTGTAAATCCTTAATCTAGTTCAGGGGTGGCCAACCCTGTTCCTGGAGAGCCACTTTACTGCAGACTTCAGTTGCAACCCATATCAAACACACCTGCCAGTAATTATCACGTGGTTTTCAGGTCCTAAATAATTGGTTCAGGTGTGTTTGATATGGGTAGCAACTGAAATCTGCAGGAACAGGGTTGGCCACCACTAATCTAGTTACTTTTGTAGACAACAAATATCACACACCTCTAGCATGCAGGTATTTTTTTTCTCTCTGAAACACAAAAGAGAAGTGTTCATTCTTTAAAAAAGCACCATCAAAGTGGCCTAAATGATTTATAAATGGTCAGTATTTCTAAAAAAAATCTCCTGTTTTAGTTTATGGGTTTGAATAGACCAAAAAATGAATTCTGCATAAACTATTCCTAGAAGTATTTGTGAACTTACATGTAACTCATACTGGTGAATGTAAAGCTTGATCGTGATACTTAAAGCTAGTTGCTTGGTTTTGTAAAACGGTACAAATTGCACATGAATCTCCACATCAATATCAACAGCAGTGTGTTTAGGTGACAGTGTAAAGCTGCACTTTCTCATTTTTGCACCTGCTGTAGCTGCAGATTTTGTTGGTCCAGCCCCAAGGGGGGACGTGCTTCTCTCGTGGCGGGAGGAGGAAGACCACGCTTGTGGCCACCATGACATGCCATATGGAGTGTGTGTAGTAGTAGTTGCTGTCGGTCTGAGCGAAGACGTACACACATACTCCAATCAGAGCGGATACGATGCCTGGCAGCAGGAACAAAACCCAGCGGCGCCATAATGGAGGGTAGCACTGATGGCGTTTGACACCTCGATAAACCTGGCGGGGGACAAGAGGACAAGAAATATTTCAAAACTACTTTGACAGGTGAACTGAGGATTTTAGTGAAACAATTGAATTGAGATAAAAATATTAAAATGATCTTAAAATATTAAAATGTTAAGATCTTAAAATGCAATAAAATACTTGATTTAACAATAATAAACAAACAGACAAAGAGAAAACAAACACTCAATGATTACATAATGTTTTGGAGTAACGAAAAAAGTCAAACTCACCCAAGAAGTGACCATAATGACTAAAGCAAACAGGACGGGACCCAGAAGGTTCCATAGACCCCTCCGGTCCAACTGCATCGCCATGGAAATGACCAGAGTGCCCATCATAAACAACAGCTGGAATACAAGAATACAAGCTCTTAAAACTGACATGCAACACAATTTTGTGCATTGGCATGCTTAAGTAGTCTAACCCCTTTTTAAAAGGGTTCTATTAGGTCCTTTTCAAAAGATGTAAGTCTCAATTGTCCTTAAAAGGCATTTGTGAGGTTTCCATTAAAAAAAGCAAGGATTATTTACTAAACCATGTACTAAAAGTAAGGCTGGGCGATTAATAAAGTGTTTGAAATTCAGAACCTAAAATTGCTCAAATTTTTCCAGGTCATTTTTTTCGATCACTTTCCTTATTGTGTGTGGAGTCACATGACCCCACTCTGTTACTTTGCACTACATTTATGATGATTGGAAGCTGCGTCAGAGATGCTTTGAGACAGCATATTTTCTATTGCATTAAAATGGTTATTTACATTAAACTATGTTTACAGATGACACACCGTTTAAAATATTAGTTACAGGATATGCAAGAGTTACTGTTTTCAGAAAAGATGCTGCTTTTTTCTACTTTCAATTTGAAAAACATTGAAAATAATAATTTTGTTTCCAAAAGTGCAAGTTATTTATTTTTTTAAACTATTACCTGTTCATTTTAGGCAATGTGTGTTTTATTTAAGTTGTTCTTCAATAAATAATCAGAGATAGTAGATAGTGTGTGTTTCCTTCAGTTATTTTACAATCAAGTAATTCACCCTTCATTCAGAAATGAACCCTGAATTGAATTATGATTTTAAAATAATAATAAACTAATTAAATAATTGTTCATTAATCATAATAGAGTTCAAATGTTCAATTAATCAAGATTTTGATTTTAAGCCAAATCGCCCAGGCCTCACTAAATGTGTCTTTTGCAATAGCTTTTAGTCCAAATACAAATTCTTAAATCAAGCAGCATTTTCTAGACAAGCAAAAAATATTGTCTTAGTTTTTAGAAATAACAAGTCAAAATGAATCCATTTTTACTTTATAAAAGACAAATAATCTGCCCATGGGGCAGATTATTAATAATAATCTTCTTTTCTATGAAATGTAATTATTTTCCTTACCCCAATGGCGACTATTTATCTTGTTTTAAAGAAAAAATAAATTGGTACATGTTATTTCTAAAAACAAGACTTAGGCTCTATTTTAATGATCTAGGCGCATAGTCAAAAGTGCAGGGTGCAAAGTCATTAAGGGTATGTCTGAATCCACTTTTGCTATTTTAAGGACGGAAAAATACAGTTTGCGCTGTGGCAAAAAGTCTAACAGGGTTGTGCTTATTCTCTTAATGAGTTATAGTTGGTTTAAATATAACGTACAATAAACCAATCAGAGTCTTATCTTACATTCCCTTTAATAGTCAGTTGTGTCACACCATGGCGTATTTGCTATTTACATGGCGACTTTGTAAGTGGAAAAAACGAACGCTTCACTAGCGAGAAAACAGACAGACCATCTGCAGCACAAGGATAAAGAACAAGCCTCTTTCATTCAGCCTCTTCACTTTCTCTCTTCTTTAATTTCCATCAAAGAAATAAATAGAGTTATATCCAAACACATGTATTATTCTTATGGCCCAAATGGTGATGCATATGTCTTTTAGACATGCATAGTCGCATAACTAACACACTCTGCGCTGGACTTTAGAGCAGCTTTTAGTTGGTCAATGGCGCAGTCTTTCTCAAAATAGCAACAAGCCAACAATGCACCTTAACACACCTTCTTTATAGACTGCCACAACTATAAGTTCACAAAGTGGAGTAAATGAATTTGCCATTTAAACAACGTGTTGCAAAATGTGAAAATTAGGGTTACGCTGGTCTAAAAATAGCAACAAATCACACCAAACATGTCTTGCGCCTTATTGTGCCAGATGTATAATAGAGCCCAATATTTTTTTGCTTGTCTAGAAAAAGCTGCTTTATTAAATTATTTTTTAGATATTTGGATCAGAAACAACACAAACTTTAAGTAATAAAAGCATTTTGTGCAGTGTGGGTGAAAGCAAAAAAAAAAAAAAAACATTTTAAAGCATTGTCAGTTTAAACTCTGTTAAATGCACACAATTTGATATCAAAACCACACAAGTTCACATAATGTTTGTTGTTTGCAGTTGTCTCTTAGACATGAAGACAACATAATACTAATGCACTCAACCAGGCCTTTTCCCCTTTGGGTGGAATTATCTAAATTTAGGACACTGCAACGACAAAAGAAAACGCCAAGGTATTTGAAAGAGCAGAAACAGTGCTTACTGGCCCAAAAAGATAATCTACTCAAACAAAATTGCAGAAACTTAAGAACAGAAAGAGAAACCTGGGAGCAGTAATAATGGATGACATACATTTTTTTCACTGAAAGAATCTCTTTTGTTTTCTCAAAGTATAAAAGTATTCATTCACACAGCATTTCTTCTAAAGAACAGGTAGGTCCAGTTTAACATGTTGTGCTATTTAAAGCCATCTCACTTGTTCAATTGTGCTTTAAAGGGCAATTCAGGTTGTACTTGTCACATTTCAACTAGTTTTGTTATAAAAGCCTATTTATTTATTTATAAGACACCTACACATAAATAAAAAAATAAATAATACTGGTTATAAAACAGTCAGTGTCTACTTATTTAAGATTCTGTAAAACACAAACAACAAGATTTCAACATATCAATGCCTTCAACCATGAGTTAAATTCAAAAGTGTTGCCATGGTGTCCATTATGGATTATTAGGATGTTTATTCCTGAGGATTTGTGCATTGTTATGCAACATTGGCATCTTGCAATTTAAACAAAACTATTATTTATTAATTCATCAATATTTCTTCTGCTTAATCTCTTATTTATCAGCAAAACGATCACCAACTATTCAGCATATGTTTTATGCAGGGAATGCCCTTCCAACCACAACCCAGTACTGGGAAACACACATGTCCTCTGTCATTCACACACACTTACACTACGGTCAATTTTGTTTACCAATTTAGCTGTACAGTATGTGTTGGACTGTGGAGAAAAGCAGATCACTCAAAGGAAACCCACACGAACACGGGTAGAACATGCAAATTTCACACAGAAATGCCACCTGACCCAGCCAGGATTCGAACCCGCAACCTTTTTGTTGCGAGGCGACAGTGTTAATTAAGCCACCATGCCGCCCCATGTTTAAAAATGTATTCATTCATTTTCTTGTCGGCTTAGTCCCTTTATCAATCCGGGGTTGCCACAACAGAATCAACCGCCAACTTATTCAGCACGTTTTTACGCAGCGGACGCCCTTCCAGCCACAACCCATCTCTGGGAAACATCTACACACACTACAGACAATTTAGCATACCCAATTTACCTGTACCGCATGTCTTTGGACTGTGGGGGAAACCGGAGCACCCGGAGGAAACCCACACGAACACAAGGAGAACCGGCAAACTCCACACAGAAACGCCAACTTAGCCAATGTTCAAATCAGCGACCCAGCGACCTTCTTGCTGTGAGGCGACAGCACTACCTAATGCGCCACTGCGTGGCCCATGTTTAAAAATGCTAAATGATATTTAATCAAGAGTGAGTCTTTGATTTTCTGTTTTTCTTTTCATATTAAAAGCAAAAACCCCATCAGGTACTGTATCTTACGCTGATGTCATTTTAATACTCTGATCTAACATGCAGCTTCTTTTCCAGCAGTTCGCAATCTTAGACATAACCGACTGTGTTTATGTATGTTTCTGATATAACTATTTGTGTATTTGACAGTTTATGTGCAGTAAGAAGATTTAAGGCCCGGTTTACACTAGTGCGTTTTAGTTTGAAAACGCATAAGTTTTGCTACGGTTACGCCAACCGTCCACACTACGCCGGAGTTCTCGAGCGCCGAAAACGGAGCGTTTCGAAAACGCTGGAGACGCCGTTTTCATTCTGAAACGCTGCTGCTCCGTCTCAGTGTGGATGATGGAAAACGGAGACATCTGAAAACGGAGGCGGGGCTGCTGACATTCACCTCTCTGATTGGGGCTTTTCCTGAATATTAAGTAGCCTAACACACACAGTTCAGTCCTGCATTTTCTCCTTGTAAGTTCAGACTTCGCAAGTTTGATCAAGGCTGCAGTCTCTTCTTCTCAGTTTGATATTGAAAACAGACTATACCGAGGACACGGGTAAATCTTCAAAGGGAACAGTGTACTTTATAACTTCATTCACATCACCCTGGCTACGTTGTTTCACTTTCTCAACAATAAAATGTAAACATGATTTAAGGAACTGCCTATTTTCATTTTAATATTAACAACTTAACAGACAGCAGAAATGTTGAGGCGTCGTGCTGCATATATGAGCGTCATCTTCACTGTGTGGATATTTATAACAAAACGGAGCCGATAACAACTATCTCCTTTCAATTTCAGTGAAAATACGAAACACACCCTCTCTTTTGCTGAATATCAGTTTTAATAATCGATAATGGCCATTATAAAAGTATAACATACAATAAGTTTATACATTAATGGAAATAAAGGCAAGCGATCAGTCAATATACAGAATAGGCTACGTGGTTTCATTAATCATTAACTTATCTTTGCGCTCAGCCAAAACACGTTACCTGAGAAAAAGTAAGATTCAAAGTCAGGGAATATGTCGTTAGATAAAGACAACAAGATGAATGAAATATCCTGTTTAATAAATATAGTGAGATTAGATCCAGCGGGAGATGCTTGATGAGAAGTCCGACTAGCAGAGGTCTCATCTGGGTTGATAGGCTGCAGCGCTTGCCAGAGAGTGTCTGTGTGGTCACGTGATGTGCGTTTTCAGCGTTTTGGTGTGGACGGAGAGCTGTTCAGAAACGCTGGGTAAAACGCAAGTGTGGACGCGGATCGTTTTCATTCTAAAACGCCGTTTTAAAACTAAAACGCACTAGTGTAAACGGGGCCTAAATCTTCACTTTCGCCAATTGATGAAGTTTTTTCCTTGCCGCTGTCGCCACTAGCTTGCATGGTTCTAGATCTGTAGAGCTGCGCATCAATGGATTTGCTCTTCAGTGTTTGGACTCTCAGTAGTGATTATTAAACCACACTGAACTGAGCTAAACTGAACTGAACTTAAACTCTAAATAACTGAATTGACAATGATTCGATTTACAATGATGTTTTATGTGAAGCTGCTTTGACACAATCTACATTGTAAAAGCGCTATACAAATAAAGCTGAATTGAAGATTAAAACTTCATTTAATTTAATCCCCACAGGACGTACTGCATCTGACAGCTCTACATCAGGAGTTTAATTAACAAAACTTTAAAAATGAATGCAGATAATAGACTTTATGATGATGAATTGAAATGTCACGTAAATGCAGCAGACATGATAAAAGTATCCAGAGAGTATCCAGGCTGAATAGGCTGCGCCTTATTGCAAGGAGACACACACAAAAAAAGTGTGTTTTTGCCTCTACTCAAAACTGGACATCAAGAAGTATAACTAATAATAATAATAAAATTGAGCTGAAACCTTACAGACACATTGTGGCAATAAAAGAGGCATAATAGGTCGGGTTTAAAACCAAGCCATGCATACTATTAGGGTTGAAGTATATATCGTTTGAGCATTCATATAGCAATGTGTGTATCCACAATAGTCACATCGCAGGATTAGACTATTTATTAAAGATATTATTAAATATTACTTTTATATTATTTCATAAAATTATTTGATGACCATGTTATTTTATGTTTGATTGTTCAATTTTTGTATTTGAATACTGATAGACTCCCCAGAAAACCATAAAGCATGATTTATTTCATTTTTACTTTTACTCTGTCATATTTATTTATGCTTGTAATTTATTACATTTTATGCAAATGCACTGCAGAGAAAAAGACTTGATCACCCCAGATAATCTAAATTTATGAAATCTTTCCGAATACAGTACTATTTAAATCTTCAAGTGAAATAATGTTCACATTGCAGCAAAACAAAATATTACAATGTCAGATTTTTCCAATGTTGTGCAACCCTGCATACTATAGTACTTACGTATTTTATTGGCTCCTGCAGCCGTGCCATGCAGACAATGGTCACCCAGACGGACACGACAGATCCCAAGAAATCACAGAACTGGAGAGTGTCGTAGTCCATGATACACATCACAGTCACACCGGGCTGATCACACGCATGGTAAAACTGCAAAACACACAATCATTATGAGTACAAAAAAATGTGTATATTATTGATTAAACAGACAGATGAAGAGTTGAAAGCAAAATTATTATCCCTCCTGTGAAATTTAAAATTTTTAATTCTCTTTCAAATATCTCCCAAATGATGTTTAAAAAAAAAAAAAAAAACATTTTCACAGTATTTCCTCTAATATGTTTCTTCTGGAGAAAGTCTTTTTTTCTTTAGTATCTGCTGGAATAAATACAATTTTTAAAATTATTTTTGAGGTCAATATTATTATAAATGTATTTTAAATTAATATTTCAATTTATTTAGTTTTTTAAGGCATTTCAGTAGCATTATTGATTAATATGAAAATGCTCATATGATTTATTTACAATACAGTCTTTTAGTAGATATATTTAGTAGATATATTATATAAGAGACTAGCTTTGTTTACCAAATATAGGGTCTGATTGGATTTGCATTGTTAACATTAAATAAAAGTTAAAAATGTGTAATTTTTTTATTTAATATATTAAGTTTTTATTTATGATACTCTCAAAATAATTCTGCATAAATGCAGATTTTTTTGTACAAAATTCTCAGCAAGATAGCAAAAAATGTCCGCAGATTCTATCTGGCCCTAATTATTACTTATTAGAATTATTGTGAAAATTATACACATTTTTTAATTATAATATAAAATGGGAGCTTGAGAGAATAAAAACAAATTAAAATTTCAGAGGATGGCTAATACAGTGGTTCCCAAAGTGGGATTCGCAGGACAATGACAGGGGGTCGCTTGGTGAGTTCCAAAAGTGATAAATCAATTAGAATGACCATATTTTATCCATAACCCATAGAAGATAAAAATAGTGGTCAATAGTTACATAAAAAAGCAACAACACGCAAATTAAAACCCATCAGTCTTTTAAAACTTTTCATAGGATTGTGTGTTATATAAGATTAACAACACAGCAATAGCGTCAGCTGCAGCAGATTGATTTTATAGCACCAGGTTTAACTTTCTGACACCTTTATGGCAATCGAATACATTAAAAATTAATACAGGAGGCCACAACTGAATATTGAGGTTGATCTCTGAGTGGCGGTCTCCAAAATTAAACCAAGAATATACTTGTGCTAAAAACACCACCAGTCTAATTATGTGAGGTTAATATTAAATTAAACAAATTAATAAATCATTTGTAATCAAAAGAATTACACATGATTACAAACTTGAGTCGTGTGTCACTGGCATTGTTATTTTGGGGGTCGCAGGCTGAAAAGAATGGGAACCCCTGCCTTTAACAGTGGATAAACAGAAAGATAAACAGAAAGCTGTAAAGTTAAAACACACCGTGGAAAAAAACATGGTAAATAAGTAGATGGCAGCCTCGATGAGGTATCCTCTGTAAAGTGCTACGATGATGGGTGGGATGAAGAAAAAGTTACTGAGGGTGAGAAGCAGAGCTGCAGTCATCTGTCGAGAGTACGAGAGCGCAGACACTCCATCCGTACAACCCCATCCCTGCCATCCTGTCATTGATCAAAAGCACACAAACAAACAACCAAATGCACATCTCAGCATCAATTATGTTTCTGTCCATTGGTTGGTGAGTTTATGTAGGTTTACCTGCTTTGCACACACAAGCACCGTAAAGGTAGTTGTATGTGCGCAGAAGTCTGCACTCTCCGTACGGCCCGCACTCATCAATGCAGGCGCTAACACTCACAGATGCACTCACTGTAGCCGATGCATTCGTGCAGTCAACACTGGAAAGACAATACAAGTGTAAGTAATGCTCATAAGCTGCTTTAATGCAGACCATGGTTCTTACACCTTTTTCAAAATCAAATTTAAGCTCTTTTCAAGCACTTCTAGGTGCAGTTTTAGACTTGTTAAACACTTTGAAAGTATTCTAACATCTGGTTCTAACAGATTGAAAGCAGTGACTGCAGACTGAATGGTTGCCCTTTTAGTCTGTACCTTCCAGTTGAGTACTAATTTTGAATTTATTTTATTTAACAGGGACAATGCTCATTAATAAACAGTAAAACTGTAAGTTTTAGCCAGAGTTAGCCACAAGGGCTAATATTTATCTGTTGCCCCCTGCCAGATTTTAAAAGGGAACCTAAAATAAAAAAACACATCATCACACATACAAAAACAGTAAAGTTACATATGACAAAAGGCATAAAAACATGTAATAAGTATTTCTTAAAATGCTAGACAAAAGAATTACACATGATTACAAACTTGACTTGCTTTTAGCCTTTTCTTTAACTTGTATTTAAAAGTTGAAGAATTTGTAACACGCCCTAAGTCAATCAGAAGTGTGTTCCAAAAATGACTGGCTCTAACTGAGAAGGCTGATCGTGCAAAAGCTGTACGTCTGCACAGCACAGTCTCCCCTGGTAACAGATCGTGTTGCTTGACCGTTATTGTTCTTGTGTGTCACAAACTCACATAATGGAGGTGGAGCATATCCATTTAAAATTTAAAAAATCATACAAGCATCAGCCAAATATTTCACACTATCGAAGTTTAAAAAATAATGTTTTTGTATTATATTACAGTGATGATACCTAATAGACGTCTGATTAAATACTTTAAGTGCCTGTTTATAAAGTGATTTAACTGATTTTAAATGTGTTACACTAGCGTGTGACCAACTAGTAAGACAATATGCAATATGAGAAAAAATCATGGAGTGCAAAAAAAGTTTTGCTGCTTCATTAATCAAATAAGGTCGTATATGCCTGAAGTTGGCCAGATTAAATTTAACAATTTTAATAAACTTCTTGGCATGCTTTGGGAATGTTAATTGTGAATCTAAAATTTAACCTAAATATTTAAAATCAGAGACAACCCTGAGCTTTTCTCCTTTAACAAACACATCAGGATGATGGGTAACTGTCAATGATTGTGAGAGAAACATACAAACCGTTTTACTTGTATTCAAATTAAGATATGATTCACACAAACAATCAGATACTAGTGCTAATATAGCACAAGCATACAACCATTTCTTGAAGTAAAACCACAAGTTTGAAGAACTTAGCCTTTACTGACTTTAATATATTTTCCCTTTTCTCTCTCTCTCTCTCTCTCTCTCTCTCTCACATTTTTCTTTTTTATTATCATGTATTTGATTTAATACACCATGCTGTCAACCTCCACTTTCAATACTGACTTGTTTATATGCTTAATTTGTCATATTACTTATGCACATCATACAGTGCATCCGGAAAGTATTCATAGCGCTTCACTTTTTCCACATTTTTATGGTACAGTCTTATTCCAAAATAAATTAAATTCACATATTTCCTTAAAGATCTACAGACAATACCCCATAATGATTCTGTGAAAATTGTTGCAAATGTATAAAAAATAAAAACCTGAAAAATCACATGTACAAAAGCATTCAGAGCCGTTGCTCAATACTTTGAAATTGATAGAACGGTTGTCACACAACTGACCTGTCATTGCACACGGTCTGAAGGCTGAGGTACCAATTTTCTGCATCTGGGAAGGGAATCCTCAAGAGTGCATTTGATTCACTGCTGCTCACATTCAGAGTGTAACCCTGGGCAAATCCTACATGCACATAAAAACACGAAACACAAATTCAAATATGGCATGTAAGACAATAGTAAGTGTGTGTAGCACAAATGTGAATGCATCACAAACCTGTAGCACAAGTCTGGCTGCGGTTGAGTTGAAGCACAGGAGCAGAAGGTGTGAGACATGCTTTCACACGAGCAAATCCACCAATCAGAGAACTCTTTGCCACAAACAGATGAAAATGTAAAAACATTAAGCATATATTTCAATAATGATGCAAAAAAAACATACCAAATCCAGTATATACTTAGAATGATTGGGAGATAGATACAAAGTAAACCACATGAATAGATCCATTTCTATCTATATTTGAAGAGTTCAGATGCAAAAACCTCCAAGTGCCATCTGGATTTATCTTCTAAAATGAGCATATTTCTCAGGCTTCTGTGTCTAGAATCAGTGATTGCACTTATATGGCCAAGAATAGATTACTATTATCGCTTTAAGCATGAAATAGCTGAACATAAACATAAGTGGCTGAGAAAAATGCTTGTTGTAGAAGACAATTCCAGATGGCACTTTTAGTAGAAAATTTTGCATCTGAACTCTTCATTTTATCCAAAAGTTTTGGTAGCATATCATAAGTTATGATTCATTCCGTTTTGTAACAAAGGAAATTTTAATGCCCGTTTCATATTTCATTCAAAATAAAATAAATAATAAATAAAATTAAATAATATAATAAATTACATTAATAAAACAAAATATTTAATGAAATAAAAATAAATTAAAGTAATAAATAAAATAAAATGAAATAAAATAAAATTAATAAAATAAAAAAATAATAAAATACTAAATAAAATAAAATCAAATAAAATTAACTAAATAAAATAATAAATAAAATAAAATGAAATAAAATTAATAAAATTAAAAATTTTAAAATTTTAAATAAATTAATAAAATTATAAATGAAATAAAATGAAATAATAAATAACATAAAATAAAATAAATAAAAAAGAATAATAATAAATAAAAAATAATAATAAATACAAAATTAAATAAAATCACTAAAATAAAATATTGAATAAAACTAAATAAAATGTATAAAAAATAAATAATAAATAAAATAAATAAAATAAAATAATAAATTAAATCAAATTTAATAATAAATAAAAGTGATTTAATTAAATTAAACTATTGATTATTTAACTATTTATTATACTACCAAACGATTAGGATCAGTCAATTATTTATAAAATAAAATTACAGTTTTAGTGAGCAAGAATTCATTACATGAATATTTATAATGTTACAACAGACTTATTGATATGTTCAATAGGTACTAACAGTTCATTTTTTACAATAATATATGAAGAAGCAGAAATGTTATTACACTTACAGTATTAAGCTGGAGCTGTACAACAAGTGTGCCTCCACTGTCTCCAGGTGAGTGTTCGAGTGCGAGCACAGTTGGAAGGTCAGAGGTCACAGTGAGGTTGTTGCCGGACACAATGTATCGAAAAGAAAGTACGTCCTGCTCATCTCTGAACACTGACGGGCTTCTCATGCACATTGGCTCAGAGCTGTTAGAACGAAGGCCTGACTGGTTCTTTGCTGAAGTAGACGAGTTACCGAAAACACCTGAGCTGTTGCTTTGTGGAGCAATGATGGTACGAATGAAGGCTGCAGCATTGAAATCTGAAGAGGAGCTCAGGGGTTTACAACCAACTATGTGTTTGAAGAAAAAGAGAGAGAAAGACATTTAAAAGTCGAGTAAAAACTGGGGAAAAAAGCATTCAGTGTTACCAATCTTTCATAAAGAGTCAATTCAAGAACTTTTTAAAGCACTGTTAATTTCAAATCAAGCACCTTTGTAATTCACACCTCAGCATACAGTTGGGGAAATAAGTATTGAACACATTATGCTTATTCCTGGAAATAACATTTCTAAAGGAGCTATTGATATGCCATTGAACCAGATTTTGGTAAAAACCCAAACAATACAATTATAAAAATAAACAAAACAAAACAGAAAAAAACATCTGAAAAATGACTTATGTATAATAACAACGGAATGACACAAGGAGAAAGTACTGAACTACTGAAATGTATTTAATATTTCATTTAAAAGGCTTTTTTTTGGTGATGGCAGCTTAAAGACACCTCTCATACAGAGTCACTTGCATTGCTCAGATCCAAAAACGGTTCTGTGGGTCTTGTATATCAAATCTGATCTTTATTTTGCATTCTCTATTGGATTCGAGTCAGGTGATTTGCTGGGCCATTCTACATTTGAGAGCTTCCTTGGCTGTGTTTTGGATCATTGTGTTGCTGAAATGTCCGTCCTGGTTTCATCATAGATGTTGGTCTGAAGCAGCTGATATTTATTTACAATGAGGAAGGGCAGAGCGTTGCTGAATAAATACTAAGAGATTTCAGCTGCTGTCTGGGCTTTCGCTGCCTTTACACCTCCCTTTCTTCATGTGTTCAAGACTTTTTCCTTGCATCATTTCATTTTATTACACATAACTTTATTTGTAAAAGAATTAGGTTTGTTTTCTTTGCATATATAGATTTTTTTAGAGTTTTTTAGAGCATATTTAGAGTTTTTAACATTGGGTGAAAACTTGTCAGCAGCACCTTTAGAAATATGTTTTCTGAGAAAAATAGTGTTCAATACTTATTTCCCCCGCTCTATGTAGTGCCATGAAAGTCCTTACTGTACTTAAGATTTTACTTACACTTAATATTTACATTAAAAATGTCTGAAAAATGATGTAATATTCTGGTGATATATATTATAAAACTGGTTTCTGAATTTTTTATAAAACAAATATGCTTTATTTGTCATAGTTCTTGTACAAGATTGCAATTTAAGATTTTTAAATTAAGATTTTTTGTATTTTCATTCTGTTTTTGACAGTGGCATGACAATTGTTGAAATAACACGAAAAACTAATTTCATTTCAAATTTAATTCAACCATTTTAAGGACCTGTGTTTGTTTTTAAGTACTTTCCAAAACTTGAATCCATATTTTCTGAAATTCAAGAAGTGTGGGAGTGTAGTAAAGTTAAAACAGACCTGTGACATTGGCAGCGATGTAGAAAGGTACTGAGGTGTTTGGTTGATTGGTCTCAACGGTAACCAGTAACCAGGTGTTCCATGGGGGAATGAGAACAGATGCGTGGCAGATCTTTAAGCCTGAACAGTTCTGTTTCACCTCTGAACCCTGCCGCAAAGTGCTGGAGCCAACAGTGATCGAGAGCCCGCAATCATTTCCCACATTTGCAGAACAATTTGAGATGAAAACATCCAAACTGGAGGAAAATTCGGGAACAAAAACCCTACAAACCAAATCAAAATACTTTAGAATTTATATGAGAAGACATTTAGCATTTTTCCTTTTGTAATCCAATTTCTGAGGGATCATGTGATGCTATAAACTGGAATAATTTATGTATGCCATAACATAAATACATTTTTTAATATGTAAATATTAAAGTTGTTAGCCCTCCTCTGAAATGTGCATTCTTTTTCAAATATTTCTCAGGTGATATTTGAACATTTTGACAGTATTTTCAATAATATTTTTTTTTTTCTGGAAAAAGTCTTATTTGTTTTATTCTTGCTGGAATAAAAGCAGTTTCATCATTTTTTACAAAACATTTTAAGGCCAATTATATTAGCCCCCTTAAGCTAATTTTTTTGTTCAATTGTCATTCTATGACTTGCCTAATTACCTTAACTCGCCTAGTTAACCTATGCAACCTAGTTAAGCCTTAAATTGCACTTTAAGCTGAATACTACTATCTTGAAAAATATCTAGTAAAAATATTATGTACTGTCATCATGGCAAAGATAAAATAAATCAGTTATTAGAAATTAGTTATAATAACTGTTGTGTTTACAAATGTGTTGAAAAAGTCTTCTCTCCGTTAAACAGAACTTGTAGAAAAAATATAAAAGAATTCAAATTTAACAGGAGGGCTAATAATTCTGACTTCTATATTAAAACAGACATTGGTAATTGTAATAATAGAAGAATTCTAGAAATGTTACTGATCCACAAACAGACAGCATACTTAAAAAGAGCTGGAGATGCAGTAAGTGTTTGAGAGAGAGGAATGTTGTACTGCAGGATTGGCAGGTCAGAGGCTCTTCTTGAAAACATCTGCGCCTGGAATAAGTACGAGCAAGACGGCAGTCCCTAAAACAGAAAGCAACATGTAATCCCTTCATTTACTAACATTCCTTTTGTATGAGGAAAAAAAAATCGCTACATATTATATTAATATTTTATATTAAATAATATGGGTGGCACGGTGGCTCAGTGGTTAGCATTGTTTCCTCACAGCAATAAGGTCGCTGGTTCGAGTCCTGGCTGGGTCAGTTGCCATTTCTGTGTGGAGTTTGCATGTTCTCCTCATGTTTAGGTTTCCTCCGGTTTCCCCGACAAGTCAAAAGACATGAGGTATAAGTGAACTGACTAAACAAAAATTGGCCTTAGTGTATGTGTGTGTGGGTGTGAATGCGAGTGTTTCCTAATAGTGGGTTGCAGCTGGAAGGGCATCCACTGCGTAAAACATATGCTGGAATAGTTGGCGGTTCATTCGGCTGTGGTGACCCCTGAAAAATAAGTGACTAAGCTGAAGCAAAATGAATGAATGAATATAATAAGTAATATAATATTTGTTTTATTCTGTAAAGGTTTGGTAACATTTTTTACAAATTACTAATTAAAATATTTTCATTTGAAGCTTTTGTTTTCTCAGAAAAAGACAATTCTATGTTCTGTGTTTATTACGGTTGTGATAATATTATATGGCTGTGTGAAAAATTAAATCTATTTTTAGTGACACGCATTTGGGTTTTGCATACATAAGTTGTTTATCCAAATTTGACCAATCAGACAGGGCCATACTATTTTTATACATTACCTGCCTCGCAAGTACGTGCTGTTATGCTATTGGCTAGCCCGAGGCCAAAGGTGAACCAAGTTCTTCAGAACAAAGAGTAAATACTAAATATAAATACTAATGACAAGAGTAAACAAGTGAGTAAAATGACAGCAGAGCATAAAAAATTAAATATCTGCCTTGGTTTTCAGTCATTCGTAGTTTTTAAGAGCTAAATCTTTGCAGTTTTTTTTTTAAACTGATTTACACTTAATTAGATCAGGAAAAAATATTTTTGTATGATCATTACATAAATATATGACAGAAAAATTATTTTTTTTAAGTGAAATGTTATATCACATCAATAATGTGAGAACAGTGATTACATCAATATTACATATCACATATTGTTTTATTACATAAATCAATAAGTAACACATTAAAATCCACGTAATCCTAAATCAATTTTTAAGTACCTAAATGTGTTACCTTTTAAGTAACGTGAAAGTATGTTATTTTTGCATTTTTTAAGTAAGATATATATTTTTTAACCCAACACCAATGATATTATTTTAAATATATATATTTTTAATATTCTATATGTATATATGCTCTTTGTGCATAAAAACCATTGCAATCAAATTAAATTAAATCAAATTTGATGTGGACTTTAAAACAAGACAATGGCTGTTTCTCAGTATGTGTTCTTCAGAGATCTTGCGTCCTTGTGTAACGTCATCATCGACCGTCGAAGTTCAGTTCCAAAACTCAAAACTGCAAGAACGGAGGACGTGTGAAACTTCCTCGATATCAAGAACACATGCGGGATGCATTAATGCCGACTGGAGTACTGAACTCGCTCGAGAAGTCCCAGAAGTCATTGTGTCTGAATAAAGGAGGTGGGAAGCGGAGCATTTTATACCTCTTTATTATCTCAGGAGTTTCCCTAAATGAGACGGTGAAAGTAAACATTCACAATATAAAACTTAATAAGGGCATAAACACATTAAGGTGTTTATTTGCTGACATTAGTAATAAACATTTTTTTTATTTTCTATTGCGCAAAGTATATTCGTAGGGTTTTTGTGCATGTTAAATATATATTTTGCAAAAGGGAAAAACAAAAAATCATTGTATGAATGCTGTAAAGTTGAAATAATTTTCTGTCAAAAATGCGTGAAGGTCATGTGATTATCAGGGAAAATGCAGCATCTCATTTCTCGAAGGACATGTTCTGTTTTCTTGCGGTCTTCCTAGTTTGTTCTTCCGAGTTAACCTGGCAAGACCACTCTCCACGAGAACGCAAGTCCGTTCTCTGCATTCTTGGAATTGAGAAACAGCCAATGTGTCATCAAAAACAGAGCGATAAAAATAAAATAAATAATTTAATGACAAGAAATAACACTTATTTTTACAAAGCATGTCGTTTTTAACCGAGAAAAATCAAACAAACACTATTAACAGGCATAAGACACCAAAAACATACCTGCTGCTCAATCTTGCCGTCGTCCTTAGGCAGGTGTGCAGCGAGGAACCAGTCTCCTGGTTTGGGGTGCGTCACATTGAACAGTGTCACATTAGAACTTTGTCCACTGGGAACAATCAGCGTCAAATTATGAGCAAGAGAAGCTGATGTAGAGTTCGGAAAGGCTGTTTGAATAGGGTTAATTACTGGGGGCGCTCCTGCCCTAAAGTGCCTGTTAATGGAAGCAAGATGAACAAATGTCAATGTGAAGCCAAGCAATTATAAAGAAATCACTACTTGGCTATTTATTTGCATGCTTTTATCTACTTTTACAGTATAACAATCTGCAGTATAATGAAAAAGTCCATCTGGGGTGACTTGGGGTTAAAGAACCAGTAAAATAGTTTGATGAACTATTTGTTTATGTGTTTTAGTCTCCTGGTATTGACACAGTAGACAATAATCTTGGGCTTTCTCAAGAGAATGAACAGAATCTTCTGTATTCAGTAGTCTCCTAGCAGAGATCTCTAATAACAGCCTCCAAGGAGATCATAACAAAAGGGCACATTAAATTATCAATGTTGTAATACAATATTGTGTCAAAAAGATGATGAAATATTTACAAACTATTGGAAACTTTAGTGACTTTTTAAAACCAACAACATTCCCTGCTTTCAGAGTAGCATACTGTAATTTCTGACCAAAAAAAAAAAAGTTTTAATCACAACTAAAAACTAATCATAATATATTTATATTTTCCTTTCTAAAAATCTTACGGCGTACCATATCAATTTCATTTGGATTACATTAATAAAATAGAATAGCCAGGTAAAATTCACATAATCTAATTAGGGATCCATGTTTCTGAATCTGTGGCCAACTTCTAAAAAAATTTGACCGTGTATGAAACTAATAACTATGTACGCTATTAACCACTGGTGATAAATAGTAACTAATAGGTCCTAAAATGGGTGAGGCAGTGGCGCAGTAGGTAGTGCTGTCACCTCACAGCAAGAAGGTCGCTGGTTCGAACCTCGGCTCAGTTGGCATTTCAGTGTGGAGTTTGCATGTTTTCCCTGCCTTCGCGTGGGTTTCTTCCGGGTGCTCCGGTTTCCCCCACAGCTCAAAGACATGTGGTACAGGTGAATTGGGTAGGCTAAATTGTCCGTAGTGTATGACTGTGTGTGTGAAGATGTGTGTGTGGAAGTTTCCCAGAGATGGGTTACGGCTGGAAGGGCATCCGCTGCGTAAAAACTTGCTGGATAACTTGGCGGTTCATTCTGCTGTGGCGACCCCGGATCAAGAAAATGAATGAAGGAATAAGTCCTAAAATCCTGTGTTATTTATTAACTGTTTATGCCAATTTTTAATACCACTTTACAGTTACTCTTGTATGGATTACATGACTACATATATTCCACTCGCATGATTTTAATTATTTTCTCACTTATTAAAATCCTACAGCGTGCCGTATTGTTTTCAATCTGGACTACGTAAAATAGAATGACCACGTAAAAGTTGTGTACATTAATTAGGGATTTATGTTTCTAATTTTGTGGGAACATAACTTCTCAAGCAATTTGACTGTATGAAACTAATAATTATGATATTGTGATATTAAGCAACTGTTAACCCCCTAAAGGTTTTTTCATCCAAACCTCTTTAAAAATATTAGGTAATAACACATTCATATTTTTACACTCCTAATATTAGGTAATGGTTACACTGACATGCAGGTAAGCAAATAAAATACTATTCATTTAATTATAACCTTTTTTATGCCAGCTCAGAGAATGTCCTGCTTTAAGGGTTATGAATGCAATATTTATATATTCAAATTGAGTGACCAAGATTACGTAAACAACCATTTTTATCCAGTGTAAACAGTAATACAACTGATGTTACAATTTGTAAGTATTTCACCCAGCAATGCTTATGGATTTTTTCAAAGATGCATGTTTGTTGCCGTACATTCAGCATACATTCACAGTGAGGTTTTCAGGGTTCATACACATTTTTACAACTCAAATTCATAACTTTTTTAAGACTTTCGTGCAATGTCTACATATGCATCGTAAAAAGAAAAACAATGTCTGTTCAAATTTATTAAAGCATCTCATGAAACGCAAAATAATCGATTTAATTTAAATGTATATTAAAATGTATGTCAAATTAATTTAGATAATGCTTTCACCGCACTAATAAAGTAAGAGTATGTGATTGGCCAAAAACAGAAAAGTAGTACAGACAACTAAACCTATATTCAAGTATTTAAATATCTGTTTTACATGACTTTTCCAAAACTTTATGGGTTTTTCTGATTTTCCAAAACTTTTCCAGGCCAGGAAAATGCCATGTCGAAATTTCATGACTTTTCCAGGTTTTCCATGACTGTATGAACCCTGTTTTTTTTATTAATACAGTACATTTATTGCTTAAAGTCTAAACAGATTTGATAAACCCCAACCTAAAAGCAATCCAAAATGCAAATAGAGTGACATAGATTATGTTAACACTAACAACCATTTTGTATCCAGTGTAAATAGTAATAAAACTAATGTTACAATTTGTAAGTATTCCACCCAGCACTGTTTATGTATTATTTAAAGATGTACACTACCTGACAAAGGTCTTGTTGCCTATCCAAGTTTTAGGAACAACAAATAATAACTTGACTTCTAATGGATCATTTGGTATCAGAAGTGGATTTTATGAAGGGCAAAGGCCTCTAGATTATGCTTATTTTACCAAAATAAAATATGAACATGCTTTGATTTTTAATTATTTAATTAGGACAGCAAGGTCTGACTTTGCTTAGACACAAATCTTCAAGTCATGGTGCTGTGGAAAAAGAATTAATATTGTGTATGACTCCCATGAGCTTGGAGGACTGCATCCATACATCTCTGCAATGACTCAAATAACTTATTAATAAAGTCATCTGGAATGGCAAAGAAAGTGTTCTTGCATGACTCCCAGAGTTTATCGAGATTCTTTGCATTCATCTTCAATGCCTCCTCCTTCATTTTACCCCAGACATGCTCAATAATGTTCATATCTGGTTACTGGGCTGGCCAATCATGGAGCACCTTGACCTTCTTTGCTTTCAGGAACTTTGATGTGGAGGCTGAAGTATGAGAAGGAGCGCTATCCTGCAATCTTCTGTAGTTTGTAAGAAAACGGGCAGCACAAATGTCTTAATACCTCAGTCTGTTGATGTTGCCATCCACTCTGCAGATCTCTTGCACGCCCCATACTAAATTTAACCCCCAACCATGACTTTTCCTTCACCAAACTTGACTGATTTCTCTGAGAATCTTGGGTCCAAACGGGTTCCAATAAGTCTTCTGCAGTATTTGTGATGATTGGGATGCAGTTCAACAGATAATTCATCAGTAAAATCTATCTTTTGCCACATTTCCAAATGATCAGCTAGAAGTCAAGTTATTTATTGCTCTTACAACTAGGATTGACGACAAGATTTGTCAGGTAGTTTGTTGTCATGAATTCAGCAGCATATACATACACAGTGATGTTTTGGTTGCCACAGTTGAGTCCGGATCCCCGTGAGACCGTGAGCAGCCACCGCACGAGCACCGCATCCTCCGGTACCCTGAAGTGATGGAGCCGAACATTCCCGAACCAGCTGTATTTGGACAACCTCTGAGGCGTTTTGGAGTAAAACCCGTTCAAGTAAGTGAGGTCTAGGAAGAGAGCGTGACGTCACGGTTGCGTCAGATGTAAACAACCCCAAATGGCTTGATAATCTCCTAATTCATGTATGACTAGTATATTTACTGACATTTTATAACGTAAACATGATAACGTATATCACAATTAACGACATACAACCCAGCAGAGTAAATATGTGTAACTTACTAAACTTATGCTGTATGTTGTAACACTGAATGAGATAAGCTTGCTAGTTTAGTATAATGCAAATAAATTAAAGCGATTTAATTAAATGCCTGAAAAAAGACTAGCATGGTCAAATCGCATTCATTTGTCGACATACATCATATTAAATGCTTAAATATATAACGTTAACCCCAAGAGACGCCTATCACTTCAGAGACTCACCGTCAGCAAAACAGCCAGCGGTAGCATACAGTAAAAGGCACAGTACAAAATACTTCTCCATTTTTTTGTTTAGATTCTCCTCAGTCAGCCCATTGTTGTGTTCTCCAAATGTCTACGGACTGTTGTTAGACGTTACTTCCTGGTTCAAGGTAAAAATACGGACGTCGGCCTCGTACGTATACATGACCTCCTCTACGCCGACTTGGGTCATAAATATTAACGTACTCCGTGTCGCTCCAAGAGTCCTATTGGATGGTTCTTCTTGTTAATTAATATTCATAAGCAACTGCCACCCTAATATTCATAAGAACGCTTGAGAAAGGTTACCAAGCAAAGCCAGCAGGAGCTGATTATTATTCATGATGCAACCCGTCGCCATAGTGGGATAAAGAGATTAGTCAATTTACGAAAACAACTGGATCAGGCAAAACATGCAAAGCATTAGTCCCATCTTGTTATATTCTGATAGATAAAAAAGTAAATTTTATTTAGCCTCATTGTTATAATACATGCGGGGCGTTTACCAAGTGATAATCAGTAGCTCATTAATATTCATAAGCCAACCAATCGAAGATGAACGCTAAAGTCGTATTTTGCAATAAACAATAACCCAGTTTCTTTATTTTCTTAAAAAAATATTTGTACATTTATATTTTAAAGTATTTAAAAAACATTCAACGATTGGCTCACTCTGATACAGCAACAAATAAACCACATTTTTAAATGTGTAAAATAATAATAAATGCGCAAAGATGTTTAACATACATTTCAGTCAATAGTGCAGCAGCTATCTATTTTTTCTGGAAGGTTTTTTTTTTGTTATCTGTTCCACCAGATAAAGAACACTGAGAAGTTATGGGAAATGCAACAGTGCTATCTGCTGGACAAATACGTTATGAGGAAAGGGCAAAGTCAAAGGGTTTATTTAAAAAGTAACATTCATTCATTCGTTTATTTTGTTTTAGGCTTAGCCTTCTTATTAAACTGGGGTAGCCACAGCAGAATGAACCGCCAACTTATCAAGTAAATGTTTTGCACAGCAGATGCCCTTCCAGCTCCAACCCATCACTGGAAAACATCCGTACACACTCATTCATACAGACAATCTAGCTTACCCAATTCACCTATACCACGTTTTTGGACTGTGGGGGAAACCGGAGCACCCGGAGGAAACCCCAAGAACTCCAGGGAGAACATGCAAACTTCACACGGAAACACAAACTGACCCAGCGAAGGCTCGAACCAGTGACCTTCTTGCTGTGAGACGAACGTGCTACCTACCGATCGCCAAACATTCTTTATATTAAATTTGGTTAACAACATAACTTCATACACACTCTTAAATGTAAAGGTTTGATGGCACTGCTGGCACCACAAACAACATTAAACATCCATGAAACATTTTCATTCCACAAAAAAGGGATTTACAGTGGAAAAAAATTCTATATGGAAATGTTCTTCACACTACACTGTTAAACCTTGAAAACAGCCAAATTTACCAAATGATATAAGTTCATTGTATCATTGAATTTACTGTATAAATAAAATAAGTTAATTGTATAAGTTAATGTCTATCACTCTCAGAAATAAAGGTATGCAAGCTGTCACTGGGGTGATGTCACTTCCTTTTCAAAAGGTACAAATTTGTACCTAAAAGGTCCATATTAATACCTCAAGGGTACATATTAGTAAAAAGTTCTAAAGTGTTCCTCTTAAAATTTGTAGGTACTAACATGCTTTTGAGGTACCAATATGGACCCTAAGATAATTAAGGTACCACCCCAGTGACAGATGGTGTAACATATGGCATTAAAAAAAAGTAATTTTCTCATTAAATTAAGTGGAACTTAAACGAAATGAGTTACAGCAAATTTCTAGATCCCATCATCCTTTGCTGTTTTTCAAAGGAGAATAAACGTTTACAGTGTGAAAAAAAAATATTTGAATAAATGTTCATTAATAGACTTTTAAGGATTAGCACTGTCGCTTTACAGCAAGAAAGTCGTTGGTTCGAGTCCTATCTGGTCCAGTTGGCATTTCTGTGTGGAGTTTGCATGTTCTCTCCATGTTCACTTGGGTTTGCTCTAGTTTCCCTCACAGTCCAAACACATGCATAAGTTGATTGAATATTGGCCTAGTGCATGAGTGTGCTTGTGAATGAGTGTGTATGGGTGTTTCTCAGTACTCGGTTGCAGTTAAAAGGGCATCCCCTGTGTAAAACATATGCTTGAATAGTTGGTGGTTCACTCCACTGTGGCGACCTTTGAAACGGAGACTAAGCCAAAGCAAAATAAATGAATAATAGGTTTTTAAGGGAATTAAAAAGGTTCTTCTGTGGCATCTCCCCTGTTTTTGTTCATCCTGACACCGTTATATTGAAGAGAGCAAATCCAAATGACAAAGAATAGAATGTGTCTCAATATAGTTGTCTTTAGTGCAATATAAAATGTTTAAAGTTATAGCTAACTGCATGTTTTTCATTTACATTTGTTGTATAAATTAACTCAGCGTTCATTAATTGAACAAATCATGATATTTCATGAAGTCATTCATACACAAACAACACAGTGATCTTCTTATAATAATGTAAAAAATATTAGCGTTTTTGCATCAGGTCTATATAATAGCAGCAGCAGCACCCTTGTAAATCTTGTCATGGCGTGTAATGTGCATGTGTGTGTGAGACGGATGGTTGAATCATTACTGCTGTGTGTGTGTCTGAGCTGAACCTGCTCCTGTTCTCTGACATCTGTTGGTCCAGATGCTGTGCTCTCACTGCTGCTCATTAGCCCTTCTATTGCTCTGCGTCCGGCTCATATTCACTCATGCTGAGCACACACACACACACACACTTTCTCTCTCTTTCTCTCTGACACAGACACAGTCACACACGCACATGCACTGAAAAAACGATATTTAAACTAAAACACTGAAAAAATCCTCAAAATGTACTTTAACATTGCAAAAGTTTACAATTTAATTTGCTCTAAATCAAAAATATTTGCTGTGATCAAGAAAAAAATTTAATATACACATAGTAAAAAATGTTGTTTAATATGGAGACCACTAATAATTAATTTTTACTTTTTTACAGTTTAAAAAAACATCTCTTTATCCTTACATTAAAGTAAAATTTTGCTTTGGATCAACCTAAAAAAGACAAATTTTCACTCATTTTCTTTTCGGCTTAGTCCCTTTATTAATCTTGAGTTGGCACAATGGAATGAACCACCAACTTATCCAACATATGTTTTACCTTATAGCTGCAACCCATCACTGGGAAACATCCATACACTCTCGTTCACAACGGACAATTTATCATCAGTCTTTGGACTTATAGGGGAAACCGGAGTACCCGGAGGACACGAACACAGGGAGAACATGCAAACTCCACACAGAAATGCCAGCTGATCCAGCCAAGGCTCGAACAAGCAACCCTCTTGCTGTGGGTCAATCGTGCTACTAACTGCGCCACCGTGACACCCATGACTCATTTTGTTACAGCTAAATTTATTTAATTTATTAATTTAAATTAAATTTAATATTAAGCAAAATATTTATTCTGTACAAGTAAAAACTTGCATCCACCGAAAGGTAAAATATATTGTTTGTTTTTATAGACAAATAAAAAAAAAATACATGTTTTAAATACAACAGCAACAAAAATACAATACTAATTTAATACAAAATAGTTTAGTTCAACTTACATACTTCATTCATTCATTTACTTTTCAGCTTAGTTCCTTTATTCATCACAGTGGAATGAACCGTCAACTTATCCAACATATGTTTTATGCAGCAGATGGCCTTCCAGCCGCAACCCATCAGTGGGAAACACCCATACAAACTCTTTCACGCTCAACTTGCATATTTATTTTGTAAAATAACTATTTTTAACTAAAAATACAAAGTAAAGTACTTTGGACAAAACTGCACTCAAAAATAAATATTTTTTTGCTGATTACTATTTATTTAAAATGAACTGAATCAACACAAATGTCAAAGTTTTGGGGGGAACAACTTAATTATTTTATGTTCAATCCACTGAAATGTGTAAAAGCATTCATTCATTCATTTTCCTTTGGCTCTTTATATAACAGGGGTCGCCACAGTGGAATGAACCGCCAACTTATCCTGCATATGTTTTACACAGCAGATGCTTTTACAGCTGCAACCCATGCTGGGATCCATACACACTCATTCACACACACACACACACACACGCGCACACACACACACACACACACACACACACACACACACACACACACACACACACACACACACACACACACACACACACACACACACACACACACGTTGCAACTCCGGCTCATTCTGAAAACGTATACCTCTATATACATTTCTGGAGACCGCCAAATATGTCCTGGGAGCTATGTTTTTTTTTAATTTATTTTTTTTTTTTTGAGAATCTACGAGAGGCACTGTGCACGCTGTGGGTGATGCTGATGCAATAACTCTGATTCTTCCTCCCACCTCAGATTTTCCCCCTGCCTCTGAACAAAGCATTTCTTTCAATCACACACGTTGTTTATTTTGAAGTCTGACATTTAACACATTTTCTAATGTTCCTTTTCTGTAAGTAGACAAACCTGAAAGACCTGTTTCCTTGTGACCATAAAGAAGTGAATTATGAAATGTTATTGGTTGTCTCTTTGTCTATTGCTAATGGAATAAATAGATCTCATATATTTTATATTTCATAATTTTTTATAAGTGTTATGATCTATTGGTTTAAGGCTGTTTACTCCAGTAGAAATTGACATAAATTGTAAAATTTGACTTCCAGTTTCATAATAACATTGATTAGTCTTTGTGACATTAACAAGCTTAAGGTCTTCTTGTAATTTTCAGCCTTTTTCTCTGCAGCTTTTTAAAATAGGCTGAATACAAAAACACAAACTCAAACAAATCAAAACTATTTGCCAATAATTGTGCATACAATTAATATAGCCTACACATGGCAGTAATTACTGCCTTGATTGAATTAAGCAATTGACATTTTATTTTCAATATCATTTGCAAGTTCCAACACACTTGTAGCACTTCTGTTTGAATTAGTCTGTATTACTCTCAGAAATAAAAAAAAAACATATTCATAATATAAAAAACATTATTTTGCCAATAATTTCTGCTGAATGACATTTGCTAAATAAAATGTTTGTATTTTTTTATTTCTTGTACATTTATATTTCTAAACATATATTAATAAATATGACAATAACCATAATTTATTTGCCGTCAATAACTGTGCATTTAATTAATAACAAAATACGTATATTTACACAGTCAATATTTGAAATAGAAAGTTGAAAGTTGTCCAAAAACTGTTGAATACCCATTCTTGACTTGGGACAATTTTAAAAAACCTTTTTTAACCACTTCAAATGTTGACCAGTGTATTTAGGCTTTAATTTTAAGGTAAAAAAAATACCTTCCTTTCTTTCTTTGTGTTTGTTGACTAAATCAACATTATAAGTTCAAACACACCCATAGCACGTTTTTTCTGATTTAGTCAGCTTTCCTCAGAAAACAGCACTTTGTTTCTGAATGTGGTGCATATGCTAAATAAAATGTTTATAGCTACATGATTTAAAAGGTCAAACACTAACATCATAATGAATGAGCTTCATTAGACTTGCTTGCCTTTTTAATGGGGTTTTATAAGGGGCCTCATTCAAAAGTCAAAACGGCGTAAGATGCGATTTCACGCCTTTTTAGCTTCACCCTTAAGTGTCCCCAGTCCGCGATAACAGCTGTGTGTCAGCCGGTGTGTCCGTGTGCGCAGAGCGGCCGGACACTTGAGCGTCCCCCGGCAAACCCTGCGCTCAGCGGCCACAGAGCGCGCCAGTTTCCGCTCGTCTCTCCGGTTGCTGGGCGCCAAAACAAACTCACGCTCTGTTTGAGCAGAACACAATTACAGACGCGAGGGTAAATATTTGCTCAGAAAACACAGATCCACACGAGCGGAGGCTATAAATGAGCAAACCGCTAATTATCCATAACGAGAAACGGACAGCACGACTTCATGAGCCACATCCATCCAGCAGTGCACGGTAAGAGACTCGACACTAAATTTTTTTCTTATAAATATAATTTTTGATACATTTATATATAATTTTTCCCAGAGATGGGTTGCGGATGGAAGGGCATCCGCTGCGTAAAAACTTGCTGGACAAGGTGGCGGTTCATTCCGCTGTGGCGACCTCGGATTAATAAAGGGACTATGCCGACAAGAAAATGAATTAATGAATGAACATTCTTTCTTTTCTTTAAAACTAAAAAGAGTTGTTTATACCTATCTTACCACAACCAGGGGCGAATTTAGTGATTTTGTGGTCTTAAGCAATTCCAGCCATGGGCTCCTAAAGTTCTAAAATGCACCTTTTGTACTTTTGTTTTTCATTATTATTATTTTGCTTTTATATCATTCCATCTCCTTTTCTACATTTTATCTTAATGCAAAATAATAATAACAACATGTAAAGCACCTTGTAAAACTTTGGAAACGATTTGTTTTCTTAATGAATTCACAACTAAAAATAATAAATACCTATTTCGTTTTTAATACTAAATCTTTACTGATTCCACTGCTGGACTGATCCATGATTGAAGGTGTGGGACACATTTGTACAGATGTAATAATTAAATTAAAAAAATTAACATTTTTTAGACCCTCATCATACAAAATATGATAGAAAACAATGTTGTATATAATTCATAGTATTTTTATAGGTTTATTTAGGGGCCCTTAGATTTCCTGGGGCCCTAAGCTGCCCCTTACCTTGCTTATGGTTATAACACAACTTATTACAATGTCAAACAATTTTTAAAAAATGTTCTCAAATAGCCAATTGCCCAGTATAACATTAATATAATATAATATAATATAATATAATATAATATAATATAATATAATATAATATAATATAATATAATATAATATAATATAATATAATATAATATCAGTTAATTCCACTGTCTATGCACAGAAGTACATCAAAACAAAATAGTTAAATAAATGTTTATTAAATAAATGCATGCATGCTTGCATATATATAAATGCATACAATTATTATTACATTTACAAAACAACTGAAGTTAAATTAAAATAAAATAAATTAAAACTTTTATTACTAAAATAATACAGAAATATAGCCTATAGTTTAAAGTCAAAGTCTGCACTATATGGTAACCCACATTTGACACGGCAGAAGCCTCTGTAAAATAATGCAAAATTACTCACTAATTCATTCCTCCCTGTGTCAATCTTGTGCAAAAGCACACAATAGCAATTTCAACACACTAATTTTCCTTGTCTGACATAAAATCATGCAGAATGCCTCTTCGCAATCAGTGTTAAGAGCTGCTTTGAGTTCTAGCAACTTGTTTTTACACTCAAAAAATTATGTTTGCTGCTTACTTATTTAAAACAAGCTGAATCGACAAAATTCTTGAGTTTTTTGGGAGGACAACTGAATTGATTTATGTTTAATCTACTTAAATTTGTTTAAAAAATTAGGTTAACTTAATTGATTCGAGTTGGGACAAAATGAAGAAATTGTGTGGAACCCAACATTTTTAACAGTGTAAATATAATGAAAGTTTTACAAATATTTGAGTGAAGTAAACTGATTTCTTTTAATTAATTTCACTATTCGGGTCTGACATTTTCTATGATCGATGGCAGCAAAAGTGTGATTAGGAATCTAAGTAATCTGGGTTTGATGAAGCCCTTGCCTCTGTAAATCCCCTGAATAACACAAAACTACTGACTAGATTATTTATCCCCATGTTTATCTTGTGCAAAAACACACACAATAACAATTTTAACACTTGTTTTCCTTGTCTGACACACACTCAAAAATATATATTTTTTACTTGTTTAAACTACTTAATTAAAATGAGCTGAAACAACACAATTTGTGATAATTAATTGGGATTCTGCACACAATTAATTAAAGTTCCACACAATTAATTCAAGTTGTCCCAACACAAATTTATTAAGTTAACTTACTTGTTTTTTTAAATGTAAGTGAATTGAACATAGAACAATTAAGTTGTCTCAAAAACAAACTCCAGAATTGTGTTGATTCAGCTCAATTTAAATAAGTAGGTTGAACAAGCTGCATGAGCAAGCAGAGACTCTTGGCAAAGAGTTGCTTTAAGTTCAAGAAATTTGTTTCTTTTTTTATAATATTTTATGTAACATTTATAAGATGTATAAGATGCCCCCCTGAATTATTAGCCCCCCCTGTTTATTTTCCCCAAATTTCTGTTTAACGAAGAGCAGATTTTTTCAACACATTTCTAAACATAATAGTTTCAATAACTCATCTCTAATAACTGATTTATTTTATCTTTGCTATATTGTCAGTAAATAATATTTTTCTATATATTTTTCAAGACACTTCTATACAGTTTAAAGTGAAATTTAAAGAATTAACTAGGGTAATTAGGTTAACTAGGCAGGTTAGGATAATTAGGCAAGTTGGTTGGTTCTGTAGACAGTCGAAAAAAGAATTAGCTTAAAGCGGCTAATAATTTTGACCTTAAAATGATTTTTAAAAAAATGAAAAGCTGCTTTTATTCAAGCTGAAATAAAACAAATAAAAGAAAAAATATTATCAGACATACTGTGAAAATTTCCTTGCTCTATTAAACCTCATCTGGGAAATATAAAAAAAAAAATTCAAAGGGGGGCTGATATTTCTGACTTCAACTGTATGTAGATTTAAGAATATAAGATAAATTTACAATTTACATATAAGATATTTAACAAAACAATAAATACCAATAAAGAGAAGATAAAATAATATAGAATAATTGACAATAACACCCCGCACACACCAATGTATACCAAATAAATTTATCAAATATACACACACACACACACACACACACACGTATGCTAAACATATAAACAAGAGATGTGAGGCCAACAAAAGGCCCTTAGTGTGCTTAGTGCATATTGGTGAATCAAATACACGAACAAAGCTTGAAGCAAAAAAGTACAATGAACTTTACAATGAAAAATTCAAGTGTAGTGAACTCATTTCTTTTAATTAATGTCACTGTTTTGGTTTGACAGTTTACAGGATGGCAGCAGGTGTGATCAGAAATCTAAGTAATCTGGGTTTGGCGAAGCCCTTCCCTCCCTGCTTCTTTCTGGCTGAGGATGAAGAGGAGACTGAGGAAGAGTATGAAGAGGACCTGAGAGAGGACAGTCTGGAGGATGATGATGATGATGAAGGAGGAGCCAATCATGATGAAGAATCCCAGAGTTTTGATTCCTCCTCAAATAACAGTGAAACGACCACCCAGCTCCTGCGCTTCGCTGAGCTTATCAGTAGCGACGTCCAGCGATACTTCGGCCGGAGCACAGATCCCGACGCCTGTGACATTTACGCAGAGAGACCTTGTCCCAAAGTCAGCGGCCGCCAGCGCTACTATGCAGACTTCATAAAGGTGGCATCTTCAGGGCCGCCGGAGCAGCCGGAGCCACTGGGGCCCCTTGCGGAGCTCTTCCAGGAGGCTCAGAAGAAAGGCCGGGGGTTACCGATGAATCAGCGCCGCCTTCCTGTCAGCTTCTGGACGGAGCCTGTGGCACAGCAGCTCCATGGGTTAAGCGAAAACTGTAATTCAGACATGCAGGAGCCCTCGCTTGGCCTGATCCACAACACTGAGGGCTCCATTGGCATGTTCAGCACCGGCATGAGCAGCTCCAGCCTCTCCGGGACGCTCAGCAGCTCCAGCACTCCAGACTTCAGTGATTTACTTGCTCACTGGGCCACAGACAGAGACAATCCTGCTGAGTTCAGCTGCGACTACCAGATATCATAACCAATGCACAAAGAAGATCACATGCTTAAAGAGATTCACCCAAAAATGAACATTTACTCACTATTCACATACAATCAGTGGTTTCAAACCTTTATGAGTTTCTTTCTTTTGTTCAAGGCAAAAGAAGATTGTTTGAAGAAAGCTGAAAACCTGTAATTGACTGACTTCCATAGTACACTGTTAACAATTTCCTGTAGAATCTACAAGAACTTACTTGCAGCAGTTCACCAGTAACTTACTGCAAATCAATTACAGCCAAAATGCAAAAGCATTTACATCTTGCTGTATATATATTTTATGTAATGCAAGATAATGCAACTTTAAAATATAGTAACACACTGCATAACTGTCATACAGTAAAATACAGTTCATATTACAGTTAGATACTGTATCATTTACAAAAATCCTTAATAGGAAAAACAAATGCAAGTTAATAATTAGGCCACGGGATTGCAACATTTTTAAAATTTTCTTCTTTTGTGGTTAACAGAAAAAAGTTGTTCATAAAGCTTATGACAGAATTGAAATGTTTAAGTGAACTATCCCTGTAATTACCCTGCAGGTACAGGATGTCAACATTATGTCATATTGACGCTGTACACCAACATCGTGGGGATGTTGAATTTTGTTTGGAAATGAAAATCAGGTTGATGTCAGAACCCAATGTCAGGCCAACGACAATGTTCAACCTAAAATCAACATAAAATCAACCAACGTTGTGTGGACGTTACCACTTTGACGTCTATCAGACTTTGAATTTTGGTCACTTTCCAACACAACCTAAAATCAACCAAATATCAACGTAATTTGAGGTCATTATTGAATGTCACACTAACTTTGTCTTTAGACGCTGACTAGACATTGAATTGTGGTCACTTGGATTCATGAGTTAAATCTAACCTAATATTAACGTCTTATGATGTTGCGTGCCTGCTCGGTAGCTTTTTGTTCTGTTGTTATTATTAATAGTGCATGTCTGGTCAAATATTGAAACCACAAAACTGCAGAGAATGTTGTGACTTTTTATTATTTCAGTGGTTTTCAAATGTTGTATGCCAACCCTGTTTAACACAGCTACAATGTGATGTTTTTATAAAAATATATATTTTGCCCAAGAGAATCTGTATTTATTAATTTGTGTAAGAATACTGATAAGAATGTCATGCTCAGTTCTCAGATGTTTAAACTTTTATTGACAATGTACAACACAATCTTGTGGAAATCTCATCTCAAATCCATCTGATTTAGTGGCTAATTCGTATGAATTGGAATAATCTCATTCACTGTATAATTTGCTAATCTTCAATGATGATAGGAGTTAGGGTTAGGGGGCACACCTTTTTTCATTTTTATTTATTAATTTATTTTTGTAATTTTTTTGTACAACTGAAATTGTATAAATTTGCCAATTTTCTGCCAATTAGTAAAATAGTTAAGTTTCTTGGTAAGATCAACCTGAAATTTACCCAAAGACCAGATATAATGAACAATAACCAGGAGTCAGAGCTACAATAATAATAAACGCTGAAGTTACTGGAGCAGAAGCCATGCTTCAACACTCACAAGGTGTTTGTTGGCTGCTCTGCTTCTTTCTCAGAAGATCACCGATTCGTGTGTTATGCCTTAAGGTAGAATCTGGTTGGTTGGAACATAAACTTAGACAACATAAAATTCAAAGCATACCTTTCAAAGACTATTTAGGCGAAAAAGCAAAAATACGTCAAACATAACAGGTCCTGTCCACAGATGTGCAATTCAGCTTCAGTCTTCTAGTCTACCCCTAAGGAATGCTTATCTACTTCAAGGTTGTCTAGTTCTAGCAAGTATCTTATCCTTATGTCACATTACACACACTCTATGCGAGCAGGAGCTTACAGAGTACAATGAAATACAAAAACTAAAACAGAACCTATTTTCTAATATGCAGTTATATCAATGTTGCAGTGGTCACTCATCAACAGTCCAGTCTTCCGGGCTATTGCCAAAGTCTCTTTTAGGCATTCTTATTAAGGGCATTTATTTAGGGCATTCTGTTTAAATGGGGAAACATCAAATTTTCCAAAAATACTTGCCAAGCTTATGATTAAATTCCATATTACGAATAACCAAAAAAATAAACAACAACAGTCTATTTAGTTTAATTTCTAAATGTTAGTATCACACAAAATCTGCAGTAACTCATGTCTGGTCCAAGCCCCTCCCTTGGAAAATTGTCATTCTATGGCGATCGCTGATTGGTTCATGTACTAAAAGGCAGGCTTTATTGACCATATAGCGATCGCTGATTGGCTCCTGTACTAGAAGGCGGGGCTTCACTTGCCATATTGACAGTTATGCTTTTCCCCAAAAAAATACAAGTAACATGTCTTGTGTATTCAATAGTCTTTGACCCAGACAAAACCCACGCAAAGACAGGGAGAACATGCAAAATCCACACAGGAATGCCAACTGATCCAGTCGAGGCTTAAACCAGCGACCTTCTTGCTGTGAGGCGACAGCGATACCCACTGTGCCACCGTGCCACCTAGGAACTTAAAATGTAAAAACAAAATCTAACTCAAAATCTGAACTCAAAACATACAATGCTTACAGTCCTTTCAACAGAGAAGCATATTTCTGATCACAACCAAATACTCTGGAAAGCCATGCACTTGCGACATTCGCATTCATAACACTTGTTCGGTTGAACGGAAGAATGTTTAAAAACACAAAAAGATGACACATGGTCAACTGGTTTCAACATTTCCTTAAGATAACCAACACAATGTCTCAATGCCTTGTCATGCTAAGCAATACACTGTACACAATACAAACTAATCAGCCTGTCTGCATAAGTCAGGCTGAAGCACTGACAAATGCATTAAACATGATAAAGTGAGTACAGAATCCCTTTAATCAATGCAGTGAGTGTGTTTGCATGTGCAAGAAAAAAACTAGTTCTATATTTTATAATGTGTGCGAGTTACGCATGTGTGTATTTGGTCTTTTATGGAGTGAGTGCTTACGTGTATGATCAGGAGGAGCTCACTAGTGAACGTGGCACATGAGCAGATATGAACACGTGGTTTGGTCACTGCTAATTCACACACTGGCAGTCAGAATGCAAAGTCCCCATACTGCTCGTTTTGTCAGTTGTTGTTTTGCGGATAAGTTGGTGGTTCATTCCGCTGTGGCGACCCCAGATTAATAAACGGAATTAAGCCGAAAAGAAAACGAATGAAATATATTGAAACATAAGCAAAATATAGGAACAAAAAAAAAAAAGACAGCTATTTTAATATATATCAGTGTCAACTTCTTAATTTGTATGTTTAGAGGCAGTGATGTCATGCTTAAACTGTAGAGTTGATTTTGCAACATGAAAAAAATGGACAGCGCAGAGAACAACATCCCATAATGCAATTCACAACTGTAAATAAACACAAAACACGGAAACTTTTAATGAACAGATATTTTTTTACAGTGTACTTCTTTTACTGTAATGTTTGCATATAGGCTATTAGCAAAAATGTATAAAATTAATATACTAAAAACCTTTTCATCCTAAAGTGAATCTAAGCAGTAAGGTGAAGCCCTCACAAGCAAGAATTTTTTCAAGATGCTAAACGACACAAATTTAAGAAACGGAATAATAATAATTTGCCTGTAATCTGCAGCTCATTTTCCTCTCTCCAACGGTCTCAGACCAGTAGATTTGCACCACGCAGCTTTCGAATGATTCGTCAGCGTCAGTGTTTCTCTTATCAGCAGCACAAGAGCAGACAGCAGCCTTTTACAGCTCACTTCAGCAACATCCTCCTCAACTGATCCACCATGAGGTTTCTACACATCCTGGCTCTCGGCCTCCTCGTCTGCGGCCTGTGTGCGAGAGCTGATGAGGAAAACACAGAGGAGAAATCTGAGGAGAAAGTTGAGGACAACTCTGAAGAAGACACAGAGCCAGAGAAGCCAGAAAAGACAGACGAAATTACAGAAGACAAAGACGTTTTAATTCTTCACAGCGTCAACTTTGACAGAGCTCTCAGTGAGAACAAATACCTGCTGGTGGAGTTTTGTAAGTACTTGATAATGACTTTACAGTTAAAGTCAGAATTATTAGCCCTTTCCTCCTGAATATAGTTTAGCCAAACCAATTTTTGTTTAACAGAAAGAAGAATTTTTTAACACATTTCTAAACCTGGTTTGTTTTGTAGTCAAAACAAACTAAAAATTGGGGGAAAACGGGGGCTCCATTGCAAACGGGGGAAAAAATTGCTTAAGAGGGCTAATAATATTGTGTTAATGTTTAAAATGTTTACAATTGATTTTATTCTAGCCGAAATAAAACAAATAAGACTTTCTCCAGAAGAAAAAATATTATAGGAAATACTGTGAAAAATACTTTAATCTGTTAAACAGCATTTGGGAAATATTTTAAAAAAGAAAAGAAAAATTCACAGGGGGCCAATAATTTTGACTTCAACTGTACCTTGTTATTTGTACATTTATTTGTATTCCTTCCCAAAATTAACCATGGTTTTATTACAGCCCTGAAGTAAAAGTGTATTAACTTTTTAACCAGCCTATAAGCACAGATTTACACTGCTAAAATATTGTCAAGTATTGCAAATGGTTAAATTGTAGTTACCAAAAAGCTATGTTAATGAGCTTTTTTTTTTTTTTTGCTAAGTAAAACCATGGTTCATTTTAATAAGGCATGGTACGATTATTGTGCTTACAAAAGGTCAATCTGATCTTTAAAATAGGAAATACAGGGCCGTAAATGAAGAAATGGTTTAAATTAGTGTCAGTTTAGTTGCATATTTAGTAACCAAATGGCTACATTAATCAGTTTTATTGGTAGTAAAAACCATGGTTCATTTTCATAAGGGATAAATATGATTATTCTGCTTACAGATGGTTAATCCAGTCTTTAAAATAGAAATTACAGGGTCATGAATGAAGCAATGTTTTAAATGTAGCAGTAAAAAGTGCAGTTTAGTTGCATGCAAACTATTCTGTCCAAGGGCGAGTGGCACAAAAAAAGCTCAAGGATGTCTGACACATCGTCTGTTAGCAGCACACCTGCTAGTTTTCTCACACTTGAAATGGAGGCCAGTAATTCAAAAAGAATTTACAACAGTGTTATGTGTATTGAACTAATGCCACTGCAGCAAAATGGTAAAGCAGAAAGGTGATACATTTATGACTGTCACCAACATTACCAGAACCAAATTTTGCATCTATGCAAAATGCAACTAAACTGGCACGATGAAATAAGTATAGGTTCTATTCATCAAACTGTGTACTGTTGTAATAATTATATATATAAATATATGTTTTAATGTGTTGGATTACTTGAGCGAGTCAGGTAAGTTAAGGACATACCAAAACATTGGTAAAAAAAAAATGTCATTCAAAACAATAAAAAAATATTGGGTTAGTTCATATCATCCAAATTTGCATATTATTTATATTAATTGCATACAGTGTGTTTTTTTTTCTTTTAAAGCACATTTAAAACCTTTTTATCCTTTTTTAAAATGTAAAAAGTCTATTCAAATGAGTCCAACCTTGTCAACCTTATACTCATGTCCATCCTTACATCTGATAAAAATTGGAAACTGCATTAAAATTATTAAAACATAATTAAATGTCATTCTTTGTTACTGACTATGCTAAAAATTACAGTTTATTCATATTAAGCTCACGAAATTGCACTTTGGAATATGCAGTTGCTAAAACAAAAAACTATAAAAAATGCTGTGGTATTTCAGCCCAATCTCACGATCAATTCCTACAAATTCATAAGATTTCATACATTCATCCATTCATTTTCCTTTGATTTAGTCCCTTCGTTCTTCAGGGGTCGTCACAGCGCAATTAACCACCAACTTATCCAACATATGTTTTACACAGCGAATGCCCTTCCAGCTGCAACTCAGTACTGGGAAACACCCATGCACACTCATTCACACAATACTCTACGGACAATTTAGTTAATTTAATTAACCTTTACAGCATGTCTTTGAACTGTGGGGGAAGCACCCGGAAGAAACCCACATAAACACTGGGAGAACATGCAAACTCCACACAGAAGTGATAACTAATCCAGCCGGGACTCGAAACAGCGACCTTCTGGCTGTGGGGTGACAGTGCTAACTACTGAGCCACCATGTCGCCCTCATATGTTTTCATTCAAACAAAAATGTACAAATTTTGAAAAGAGGCGTGTCCATAAACCCCACCCCTAACCCATCATTGGAGGATCAGTAAATTGTAAAATGTATTAATGAGTTCAAACAAATTCATATGAATTAACCACTAAATCAAAACTTATAAGTTGCTTGATTGTGTAGGTTAACTCAAATTGGGTCAAATACAGACAAACCCAAACTTTGGGTCAAATTCAGGCCTGTGAATTTAATACAAAAAAAAAAAAAAAAAAACAGTGCAAGGTTTTGCCGATATTTTAACCAAAATTAAGTTAAAAATAACACATTTTTTGAAAATGTATTATGACCTCAAAAACTTGTTAGTTTTATGCCAGGTAGCAAAGAATTCTGGCCCAGATTTGGCATAAATCTGGCACAGCAGGCATTCATCCGGCAATGTCATACAGCATGTGGGCCAAACATGGCCCTGGTTTGGCAGAGGTGGCATCTATCTTGACCCACATTTAAAATACATTTTTATTATTTTCAAATAAAGATAAAAAAATTCTGCCAATCAGGTCCCTTTGAGAAAAAGCATGCCCATAGCACACCTAAAGCACAATATTTCATTGGTTTATCAATTTTTATTGCATTAGTGACACACTAACATATCTGGCCCAGTTCAGGCTCAGTAATGGCTAATCAACTTGGCTGAGACTTGACCCAGATATGGTCCATGTTTGTGTCTTGTCTGGAAGCCAGACTTGGTTGAGTTTTGATTCATGTACTGTGATTCACTACAGCATGTGGGCCAAAAAAAAAATGAAAAATGCATCATCTGAAGTACGACTGGCCAAAGTAGACGCGATAGAAGAGAAAGAGCTTGCCTCAGAGTTCAGTGTGGACAGTTTTCCCAAAAAATGGTTTGGCAGAGGTGGCATCATCTTTAGGGTGGCACAGAATACTTGGGCCTGATGTAAAATGTAGTATTTGGCCCAGATGTTAATAATTGATTTGTGGGCCATGTAAGTTTGGCCTATCTTGACCCACATTTAAAATACATTTTTATTATTTTCAAATAAAGATAAAAAAATTCTGCCAATCAGGTCCCTTTGAGAAAAAGCATGCCCATAGCACGCCTAAAGCACAATATTTCATTGGTTTATCAATTTTTATTGCATTAGTGACACACTAACATATCTGGCCCAGTTCAGGCTCAGTAATGGCTAATCAACTTGGCTGAGACTTGACCCAGATATGGTCCATGTTTGTGTCTTGTCTGGAAGCCAGACTTGGTTGAGTTTTGATTCATGTACTGTGATTCACTACAGCATGTGGGCCAAAAAGCTAATTGTGTGGGCCAGAGATTTTTTGCTATGAGGGATATATCCTAGATCTTTGTCTGTTAGCCTTTAATACACATGAAATGTTTTTCTGAACATTGCACTTTTCTTTTAACCCTAAAAAGATGCTCCATGGTGTGGACACTGTCGCAGTCTGGAGCCCATTTATGCTGAAGTGGCTGGACAGCTGAAAAATGCATCATCTGAAGTACGACTGGCCAAAGTAGACGCGATAGAAGAGAAAGAGCTTGCCTCAGAGTTCAGTGTGGACAGTTTTCCCACTCTCAAATTCTTCAAAGAAGGAAACAGACAAAATGCCACTACTTTCTTTGGTAAAGTGTCTATTTGTGTGATGCTGTCGAATGTGTGGTGTCCCTTTAATAAAGTGATACAATCTATAGGCTTAATTCTTTGATTTGAACAGGAAAGCGAACTCTGAAAGGGATCAAAAGGTGGCTGGAGAAGCACACAGCGCCCAGCGCTACTGTCCTCAATGATGTGAAGAGCGCAGAGGCTCTGCTGGAGGCCAATGAAGTGCTTGTGGTCGGATTCTTCAAGGTAAATCATATGTATTTGCATGAAGTAACTAACGTTAAAGAGTCAACACTGCCTTGTTCTAATATATAGCATGCAATAAAAAAAATAAAATAATGACAAACTATTTCAGATTCACTAATTGTTGCAAAATAATTTTTTCCATCCACTCAGAATTAGTCATTGAAAAACTAATGGTTTATAGTCTGAATAGCACATAAGTCTATGCTACAGTCACAGAAACAAATAAGTATACAGAATCTGTCACTGTACACTAAAATGTACACTTTTGCAATTATTAGGTACCAATATGTAAGCTTTAGGTACTAGTATGTCAGCAGGAAATCAAAATTGCAGTGTTTATTTTGCTAGCGAACATTGTTAGCCTTTTGTTTATTCCACTGAAATAAAAGTGTTGGTTTTTGGTAATGTTCAATCAAAATCTAACCGTTTGTTTCCACTGTTTAATGGCAGTCAGTCTATGATGATGTCACTTTGATGTCTTGGGCAAAATATGCTTAGCCACGCCCCTTCAATCGTTAGTTTGATGCAAGTAAAACCCACCTATTAATATTCATAATATTTCAGTTGAAAATACTTTATCATATTGAATTAAAAGTGTGCAATGTCCAATTCAAGCAATCTGGATCTTTTTGTACAAATATGTACCTCTGAATCTGAGAGTGATCAAAATACAGTAGCTTAAATCACCTTTTGAAAGTAACTTCACAAGTCAAATGAAAATTGTATCAGTTGCATCATTAAGCCAGTAGGTGGCGACAAGTAGCTACATTAAAAATGCATAATGAATCTTACCCGATCGATTCAAGAATCAATTTAGAATTTCTCTCAAATCTCAACTGATCCAGAATCATGCAGTAGTTGAGTTCAATTTAATTATCTCCCTCTGCCCCAGGATTTGGAAGGAGAAAAGGCGAAGACATTCTATGATGTAACTTTAATTGCAGTGGACGTTAACTTTGGCATCACAAGCGACCCAGAGCTCTTCAAGAAGTATGAAGTGAAGACTGATTCGCTGGTGCTCTTCAAAAAGGTAACTCAAAGCTTCATTTTAACTGTATTAATCATATTTCATTTTTAACCTTAAAGGAATAATACACCAAAATATGAAATTCACTTGTCACAAACAGTGCCTTGTGAAGTGCCTTTTCTCTATTCAACACAAAAGAAGATATTTTGAGGAATGCTGAAAACCAGCAACTAATGGCATCCATAGTGAAAAGTTTGAGGAAACATAACTATTTTGATTTTAGTAACTAGTTTAGAGGCTAGTTCATATGTATTCAGTCGTGTGAAAATGTATGATTTAAAAAAAAAATGTGTGGCACCAAACCCGACCCCTAACCCCAACCGTCATTAGGGGATGAGCAAATCATACTAAATTGTATGAATCATATAAATTCATGCGAATTAGCCACTCAATTAAAAGGCTATGAATTAACATGAGATAACGTTTTTAAAGTCAGTGGCTACCATTTGCAACATTTTTCAAAATGTCATCTGTTTTTGATGAACTGATGTTCATCAAAAAAAAAAAAAGCTCTGGAAAAACATGAGCCCCTTTTAAAATTATTGGGCTCCATATTTGTACTATGATCAACATAGGCTAATCCTGGAAATGTAGCCCTATATCGGTTTCTGGAGATCGCGGATTATGTAACCAGGACTACATATGGCTGCATTTCATCTTTAAAATGAAGGCTATGGGGCGGTGGGCCGTCTCTTTTCGTACTTACCAGCTGACTGATTACCATATGGACGGCTTTATCGCTGTTACCAGTTTGTCGGGTGGCTCGACACTTACATTAGCAGACTTGAGAGGCAGAGAGGAAGTAAAAAGCAGGGGGCTTTTCTTTTTCTGCATAGCTTTTGAAAATACTGAGGTTGGGTTTAGGGAAGGGGGTGGACGGGTCAATCAATGCTTTTTGAAATGCTATTGGTTGGGTTTAGGGAAGGAGGAGGGTGGGGGGATTGGTCGGTTGGTCAGTCAGAAAGTCAGTCAGTCGACAGCGGCCTCTGGTGGATTTACACAAGAAGAGCAGGCACAAATGGCACTAGCAAGAGCGTACACAGCGGCCTCTGGTGGATTCACAAAAACAAAAATTGCAAAAAACGTTGCTCCTGGGATTTATTTGGCGCTTTCCAGAAATGTATATAGCAGTATAGGTTGACTGAAAGTTGACTGAGAAACATACAGTAGGTTTCTTCACAAACCAAACATTTCTTCTAGAAACTTTCCTGTTTGCTCAACAATGTTTCCTTCACAATCCTATACTGCATGTCCTCCTTTTCTGTATGTCTTAGTTTGACGAAAGGCGGGCAGACATGCCACTCTCTGATGAAACCAAGCTGGACAAAGGAGAGATGATTTCATTCATCCATTCCAACAGTATGAGACTGGTCGTTCCATTCAACGAGGAGGTAACACAACAAAAATAAACTAACCAATAAACAGTCACCTGCTAAAACAATCTTACTTTAAAAATATGCATGCATAAAAAATGAGTTTGACAACCACTTCGTTAATAATCTTTTTTTAATTAACATTTATTTTGCAGAATGCCGAACAAATTTTCAACTCCAAGGTCCGTAAGCATTTGCTTCTATTTCTTAATACAACAGTGGATTCCCAGAATGCATTAGTAGAGGAGTTTAGAGAGGTTGCCAGTGAGTTTAAGGAGAAGGTAAGTTAAGTAACACATTGAAGCGAGTCATATTGGTAAAGCCCACTGGACAGTTCTCATGCTCACAGTCTGTATGTATATGTGTTTAGGTGATCTTCATCACAGTAGACGTTACGGCCGAAAAAGTAAATCACGTGCTGAAGTATTTCAGTATCTCGGAAGACGATGTTCCAACTATTCGTCTGATCAACACTGAGGATGTGGTCACATATGCAATGGATGGATCAACTATCAACAAAGACACACTGAGAACGTTTTGCCAGGGTGTTTTTGATGGTACCGTGAAGGTGCGTAATGCAGGAGTTTTGAAAAATACTGAAGAACTTTCTGAATCTGCCAACTAAATCTAATATCTGCACTCCAATCTAGCCCTATTTAAAGAGTCAAGAAATTCCAGAGGACTGGGACAAGAATCCGGTTAAAGTCCTTGTGGGGAAGAACTTCAATGAAGTGGCTTTTGATGAGTCTAAGAACGTCTTTGTGGAATTTTGTAAGATAACATTTTACCCATTCATCAAGTAAATAATGAATGCTACTTTTCTAATTACCACAATTAATATTTTATAGTTACAAATTATCACAATCACAATTATTTGGATTAATCTCTATCATTTGGTTGCTTGAGTAATTATGCATTCTCTCACATCATATTACACGCATAAGAGTGATGGGCCGATGATAAAGAAATTTTTCTTTCACAGAGGTAATCTGTCATCAAACTATGATGTCAAACTGAGACAAAATGTAAAACAAACCAGTTTTGCAGCTCACCTTCCATAAATAGCAGATGTTTTGAGTGACTTGCAGACATTTTAATTAGTGAACTCCTTACAGCAATAGATGAAAACAAATTTGTCTTCACACACTTTTAACATTTATGTTTCTCACAGATGCTCCATGGTGTGGTCACTGTCAACAACTTGCTCCTGTGTGGGATGAGCTAGGCGAGAAGTACAAAGACCAAGAGAATATAATCATTGCCAAAATGGACGCCACAGAAAATGATGTGGAAGATCTGACAATACAGGGATTTCCCACAATTAAATACTTTCCTGCTGGGACCGAAAAAAAGGTTTGCAATAACACACTTAGCCTAACCTAAACTTAATCCAAACCCACATACAAATACAAAGACACAGGTATCTTTAAGGTGACTTCTCATAGACGTATTGATTTTTATACTGTTCAAACTGTATCTACCCCCCTACCCCAACCCTAGCCCTAAACCTTATCCTCAGAAAAACAATCTCTATTTTTTTCATTTTCAAAATTCATTCTGTGTGATTTATGATTCATTTTCCTCATGGGGACCAAAATAATAAATATATTCCACACAAGGCAAAAATATGCTGGTATTGCTATACTTGTAGGGACATTTATTTAGAATACAACATACAAACACACACACAAGGTACACAAAAACACATACACAATATTAAATTTATAAATGTATGTTGCAACCCAGGCTCATTATGAGTACGTACCCCTGTATACATTTCTAGAGAGCGCAAAATACATCCCAGGAGGTACATTTTTTGCAGAGTCCATCAGAGACTGCTGTGTATGCTTTTTGACAAGTCCACTGAGCCATGGGGCAAACTGGTTACAGTATAGGGGCGTATTCACTCTATGCTATCCAAACCGTGCCCAGGCCCGTTTCCCAGATCGTTTGAGAAGTGGGAGTGCTCTAAATCGGGCCCAGGCACGGTTTACTTGGCTGGCCCTGGCCCGGTTGGAAGAGGTGTGCCTGAGCGTGGTTCACTTGGGCTTTGGCGCGGTACACTTGTAGTGTGAGTGCAAAACGTGCCCGAACTGAAAGCGAGACGTGACTTTTACAGGACTGCAAGCGTGCTTTGACCCGGTTCAAGGCAACTGTACATAGTGTGAGTACGCTCTAAAAAGCTGTCCAAATGGAGGTAAGCAGTCAGCTGGTGTGCGTGAAAAGGAATGGCATCATACCGCCCTGTAGCATTAGTTTTAAAGGTGCTGTATGTAAGTTTCTGACTCTTACTAAATATAAAAATACCATAATAAGTTTGCAGATATTTCAGAAACATGATAAGTGAACATACTTGCTGAAAAACAACGCTAAAGTGAAATATTCTGCTTTGAAAATACGAGTTACGTGCCGGAACGTCTGTCTTTGTTTTAGTTCTTTTAACCCGCCCAATGCCAGTTTAGCTGATTATATTTCAGCACACAGGTTGCCTTGGTGGAACACATCGTATTTGATTCATTCAGTCAGTCAGGAAAGCTCTCAAAGCATGTGTCCCTGACTGATATGCGACCTCCGGTGGACGGTAGCAGCCTCCAAAATGAGACTCAGATTCAGAGTTCCACATTGGGTGGTAATTAATTAGTAAATAATATAAATATTATGAACTTAAACATTAGGTGTGCAGGTTACATTGTAACTCTGTGTCCTAACAATACGCTACATGATGAGATTTGCAGTAATAAGCAGTTTGGCTTTTTGCACCAGAAATTTAAATACAGCCATTCAGAAGCACAGAATAGTGCACTTACTGCACTTCAACAGAAGGGTAAGACTTATAATCTAATTAATACATATTAAACCCCTTTAGCTTTATGAAATGTACATGCTGAATCAATGATATGTAATGTCATCAATCTGGCAACCTGCACTCGCGTGTGTTTTAACCAGGCGTGCAATACTTAGTTCAACCACTGGGTGTCAAACTTACATAATGCAACTTTAAAGACGAAATGCAGCCCTATGAGCCTCTGACTACATAATTCACAATCGGCAGAAATGTATATAGGGGTACACATTCACAATGAGCCAGTGTTGGTATTTTAGGTAGGTTTAGGTTTCGAAATAATGATTTTTTTTTAAAACAGATTGTTGACTATGATGGAAATAGAGATTTGGAGACTTTCTCAAAGTTCCTGGATAATGGAGGAGTTTTACCAAAAGAAGAGAGTAAAGAAGATGAAGATGATGATGATGACGACAATGATGATGATGATGAAGATAAGGTCAGTCAAAAGCCAACCGGTCAAAAGCCAGTTATTCACTTGATTATTTAGCCTCTTATTAGTAATTAACTACTTATTAATATTTATTGAGTTGATTAAATCAGCTTTTGTGTTTCTTTCTAATTTTTTAGCCAACAGACGAATCAAAAGAAGAGTCACCAAAAGCCACCAATGAAACCGACAAGGATGAGCTGTAAAAACAAGGCTTAAATCAAGCGATCAATGTGATGTTTTTATGCAACATGAGCAAGATTGATGTCATTTTCTCTGCACTAGACAATTTGTATAAACTACAAACCTGACAAAATATAATAAAAAAACACAAGTTTATTTATATCTCTGGTGCATTGCTTTAATGACATGTTAAACATTAGTGATGACTAATTTGATTGATAAAGTATAAACAGCTCAATCATTTTGAGCTATTTTGCAAATAATATTTTCAATTATGCACACATTCGCTCTTATTTGTATGTCTAACAGGAAGATTTTTAAATGTCCTCATATTCAGTTGGGAATTGCATTTATCACATAGCTTATGCCATATTTTAGTTGTTTTTGATTACTGGATATTATTATTGTTATCTTTGTAATTTATAAAATGTTTTCTGTTTCACTGAAGTCATGATTAAGTCAAAACTGACACTATTTTGTTAGACCACATTGCTTTTCTTGAGGTGAACAATTATTCTGTGGAAGTTAATCCAAAAAAATGAATGTTTGTCTTGTTATTCTTAAATTAAAGTCCAGTATTTTGGCTTTATAAAATGATGACTGAATCACAAAAAAATGATAAAATTAGTCTAGATTGAAGTCTAAATGATTAGTACTTGATTTGTATGTTGTTTCCCTACATCAAGGGTCACCGACCTTGAAACTGAGAGCTACTTTTTGGGTAAAATTAATGTGAAGGGCTACCAGTTTGATACACACTTCACAAATAACAAATTTGCTTAATTTACTTTTAATTATATGTTATTGTTAATCATCTGGTACATTGGACATTTATACTCTGATTTTAATATGATTAAGACAATACTCTGATTAAGAGTCTACCATGTAAACAACGTTTTTTGATTACCTTAAAGGCCAACAGACACTTGCGTCATGAAATACAAAGATTTTTTCTTTTCATTTGGCGTGCGCTGTCAAATTCCATTAAAGCAACACTCTTCCACCAGTCCTTATATAATTTTTAAACTGCAGTTCAACTCGAAATTACATGAAACTCTGGAAGATATGCTGGATAGCCTGATGATGTGACATTAATTGTTTTATACTGAAACTAGGGATATAGGGAAGCGGGCAATGTGTTGGTGACCCCTGCTCTACATCATGGTGACACATTTAAAATTTAAAAATCAAAAAGGTACATACACATAAAACAAATCTCACTTTTATTGCAGTTTTTTTCAATCTGCAGTATTATCATGACAGAATGTAAGTTGTTTAAGGAAGTATAAAAAGGAAAAATGTGAAATAGCCTACTCAAATGTAATTTTCATCCAGTTTTGTCGCTATAAAATTAACCTGAACAAGCAACTTTTAAAATTTTACCCATTGAGTGTTTGCCAGTGTTTTAATGCATTTGATGATGCCAGAGTTTTTATTTTTACAGTAACTGAAGATGATGATCAGTTCATTCATTAATCTCCTTTAGCCGCACATTTATAATACAACATACCAATTTAAGTTTCTTCTCACAACCAACAAAGCCACAGCATACACTCTTTTCCATGATAGTAAATAAAGTAACGACGGATTAATTAAAACTTAAATCACAATAGAGCTTAATATATACATGACAGTGTGTAGTACTTATTTTTCCTCACCCTAAGGCATGCAAACTATGTATCTTAAGGTCACATTCCACTTCATGGCAACAGAAAGCAGCGTTCATAAAGATAAACAGGTAGAGTGAGTCTTGACTTCTGTCATTTAGGTTTTACCGATTGGGAGAATCAACACACAGGTAAGAATAATTTAGATAACAACACCTGTTTAAATTCTTTTTCACTCTTATTTTGTGATGACAAAAGCATGGCAAAAGCCTATTTTAAGTAAGGCGAAACCAATATTGCATTAAAATGGTTTAATGATTAAATTAAATCTGCATTACATTTATTTAAGGGTAATTCAGTAGTTCAAATAAACAGATATTAAATAATTTGCCAAACAGAAGGCTACCCAATCTTTACATACATGTGAGAAATTTTGGTGGATACACAGTGTATGTTTTGTCTGAATGTCTGTCGAATAGTTTCAGTTTTAGCTCACGATCACAACTGAGACTTCAGTGCAGGTTTCAAAATCAAATAATTCATGTGGAGTATTTTATCACAGTAGATGATTAATACATATTTTGGATTTGTAAAATAAAATTTTGCCTATAATTATAATTAGAAAAACCTTTTTTTAAGGTTTTGACAGATTTGTTCTTTCTTTCGTTCATTTCATTCCTAACATACTTGCAACACAATGAAGCATTGAAAAGAGGCCATTGTCATTTAAACTTAGACACAACAATAATATGCATGTATTTTTGTTATTAAAAATTATGGATGATTTACAATGTAGGGTTAATCATTTCTATGGTTATAAATACACATGAAGAATGCTCAATATAGTTGACCAATATGACCTACACTCATCGGCCACTTTATTAGGTACACCTTACTAGTACCGGGTTGGACCTACTATTGCTTTCAGAACTGCCTTAATCCTTCGTGGCATAGATTCAATAAGGTACTAGAAATATTCCTCAGAGATTTTGATTCATATTGACATGATAGCACCACGCAGTTGCTGCAGATTTGTTGGCTGCACATCCATGATGCAAATCTCCTGTTCCACCACATCCCAAAGGTGCTCTATTGGTTTGAGATCTGGTGACTGTGGAGGCCATTTGAGTACAGTGAACTCATTGTCATGTTCCAGAAACCAGTCTGAGATGATTCAAATTCTGACCCTATACCATCCGAAAGTTGCAGCAGAAATCAAGACTCATCAGACCAGGCAACGTTTTTCCAATCTTCTATTGTCCAATTTTGGTGAGCCTGTACGAATTGTAGCCTCAGTTTCCTTTTCTTAGCTGACAGGAGTGACACCCGGTGCGGTCTTCTGCTGCTGTAGCCCATCTGCTTCAAGGTTCAATGTGTTGTAGCGAGAGGTTATTTGAGTTACTGTTGCCTTTCTTTCAGCTTGAACCAGTCTGGCCATTCTCCTCTGACATCTGGCATCAACAAGGCATTTGCACCCGCATAACTACATGGTTGTGTGTGAAAATCCCAGTAGATCAGCAGTTTCTGAAATACTCAGACCAAGCTGTCTGGCACCAACAGCCATGCCTCGTTCAAAGTTACTTAAATCACCTTTCTTCCTCATTCTGATGCTCAGTTTGAACTGCAGCAGATCATCTTGACCAGGGCTGCGTCCGAAACCGCATACTTCCATACTACATAGTACGCTAAAATCAGTATACGAGCCGAGTAGTATGTCCGAATTCATAGAATTCGAAAAACAGTATGCGAGAAGATGACTTACTACTTCCGGCGAGATTCTAAAGTGCGCATCCCATGCACGCTGCGCTATCCCATGATGCCCGGCGAGAGAATTCATGAATGGGAGAAAAGTGACGCAATTGACGCATGTAGGTCACGTGACCATGACAAAATGGCAGATGTAGTAAGTATGAATTCCATTCATACTTTTCACGTTCATACTGTATAGAACGTACTTTTCTAACGACCAAGTAGTGCGTTTAAATTTAAATGCAGTACCTACTGAGTAGTAGGCGGTTTCGGACGCAGCCCATGTCTGTCACGTTAGCAAGATCAAACGGGAACAAAAAGGTGCGGATCCAAGTGCAGTTTGTTTACAATGTGCATCAAACAGAAAAACAAGGTGTTTAAGGTACAAAGTAACAAATAAACGACAAAACCAGAAACTAAATCAGAGACGAGGCTCAGGAAAAACAAACTCAAACAATTAAACTTAACTAGAAAACAGACGAGACAAATAACACACGAACTAGACTATAGCCAGATACGGGAACAAGATCAAGAACAACAACTCAGAATAACAGACTTACTGGAACTGGAGACAAGAAAGACAAACAACGCAGTGACAACAGAGGTGGAATGGTCGTATAAATAGTCCAGGAAATTAACAGAAAACATGAACAGCTGTGAGCCAATCAGTGTACGTGGAGCGGGTGTAATGTGCGTGGTATGTATGGACTTGTAGTCTTTTGGGCGCTGGAGTTAATTCTCAAAGTCCGTGAACTACAGCGCCCTCAGGTGGTCACTGACAGTCATGACAATGTCTACATGCCTAAATGCATTGAGTTGGATAATTAGACATTTGCATTAACGAGCAGTTGGACAGGTGTACCTAATAAAGTGACCGGCAAATCAGGTTAAACAATTAATATGACATGTCAAAATACAAACAAAAAGTACCTAATTTTATTTGACTAGTTATTATAAAAGTAGTAGTAACATTATTTTTTTAATAATCTACAAATAAATAATGCATATAAAACATCATACGCATTGTTTATACATAGGTGGTAAAAAAGAAAGAATTTGTATTGTCAAATATATTCAATATCATACATTTAGTCACATATTATTTTGTCAGATTCAGAATCAGATGGCTTGCTCTGATGAATCTGGCTCCAAATCCCCACCACCTTCATACAGTAACATGGATGAGATTCCTCTTTATGACGAGATAATCCCTCCACCGCCAACCATCAAAACTCCTGCCACACCACCGCCTGCCTACAATGAGCCCAGTAAGAGCTGCAGCTGCTGAGGTCCAAGCTTATGTCTGGTTTACGTCAAAATTAATTGCTTATATTAATATATTTTGTATATTTATAGACATTCCTCAAGGGATTCCATTAAACACATGTACAGGGGGACCAAACCCTTATCCCATCCTAAACCAGCCCACTCAAATAGCAGCGGTGACACAACAACAACAAGGTGGGTGCAGTTCAATCAATGATTAATTGATTAACTCAGAACATAATATATATGAATTGTATATTTATACATGTGTAAAAGAATGCAAATTAGTGTAGTGATAATTGGATTTATCACATATATTAACATCAATATTTTTGTATTGATATTAATATTGATATATTATACTCTCATGTGAGGCTAAAATATCAGTATTAATACTACTTTTTTAATACTATATTTTTAAAATATTGATGTTAATATTTGTGATAAATCCAATTATTACTACATATAAGTACTGTGCACAGTACTGTATATGTACATTTTACTGTGTCTTTGCATGAAATACACCCGAATGACATATTCCAACAATGCATAAACCATATTTTGGATTTTTGTACATTAGGCTTATACGACAACATAATAACCTTCTATTTTAATGGTTGTTATAGTTTTAACAGATTTGTTTTTCATTCCTAACATACTTCGGTGGTAACGCAATATTATAAAACCTAAACATTGTATATAATGCATTGTTCACCGTTTGTAGAGAATTAGGGCTGAGTTTTTAATTTGTTTTCGCATTACTTAAGTTAATACATATACATATAACAAAAATGGCTACTACTCACTGTAAAAAAGTCAAAACTTAAACATACTTTAACAGTTTTCAGTAATTCAATTAAAACAACATAATATTTTTAGGTTGATATTTTTAGTCCTCTAGAAATCCTGAATTCTTTCAAATGGGTTGAAACCATTGAATTAACTTACAATTATTTGAAACAAAAATTCGATCCCATGTTTGTCTCTTTTTGACCCAAGATAGTCGATTAAAACAGATTGTATTAATCAGGAGAAGTTTCACTTTCATGTTAATATTGTGTATTACCAAACTCTTTGTGTAACTCCAAAATGGGACTCTGGGCCAACCAGCTGATAGGACTAGAATCTAAAATCAGAGACAGCACGCTCCACAAGATGGCAGCAACTGACTGTTTCTTTAGATTTGTTGAGATCATAGGTTCAGAAACACTGCTGTTTGTAGTTTGATATTGTAATTATGTATTTAACCCCTTTGAAATATTTCGTTGCACAAACACACTGGCAAAGTTCCAGAGCTTTAAATGGCCAGTGCCGTCAAAATTGTCACTCACCCTCAAGATACAAGTTTCTTTCTAGCCAAACAAACAGCCTACTGGTAGACTTTATTTTGTTAAAATAATAATAATAATATTATACAATATTTAAAATTAACAATTCAACTTAATCTACTATGATTATATAAATGCAGGCTACTTACAAGTTTCTTTTGGAAATGAAAACACGTGCATGTTAGATGGTGCTTTACCGGCATTTAATTTAGTATGTCATTGCGCATGCGTGCTTATGTCTTCATGCCTGGCATAAATCCTGGCAATATTGCACTTACAAATATATATATATATATATATATATATATATATATATATATATATATATATATATATATATATATATATATATATATATATATATAGTGAAAGTAACCACATAAACAATTTTTTTTTAGATGTGCTGACAACCGTTTGCATAATGACATGTTTGATCCTCTTTAACCATAGGTATAAACACTAAATATCGCATACGGATCCTGAGCATGTGTCAATACCGCCACTATATGTGTACAATGCAGTGCTCCCAGGACAAATGTCATTCAATTGTACTTAGTCAATACCAAAGCCAATCTGAAGATGCTGGATTTTTGCGCTGAGTAAGGATGTAGTAAACAAAGAAAACAAAGCATAAAGGCATAACATTTCATAGGTAAGATTTTACGATGTTACAAACTTTTGTGCTCAACAAGTTGGGTTACTGATGATAATAGTCACTTACTGCACTGACCATAAGGCAAAGTAGCACCAACTTGCACTAAATTCTAGGCTTATTCTAGTTTTGTTGAATAAAATCAGCAAACAATGTAAATGAAACATGACAACAATGCTGCGGTGCCAGAAACTTGTATTATTGTTGGCTAAGTTAAGAAACAGCCAGTTTTTGAAGTAACCAAAAAGGGTGCCTGATAACATAACAGTGCCTGCTCCTCAATGTGCATAGTGTCCACCCTAAATTATTAAATGCAATACAATACAATTACAAATCTTATATCATTTCGATCAGAAAGTTGGATGTGCACATTGTACACACGCGTCAATCAATCAATCAAGCCTTTATTTGCACTCATTCACAAACGAATCGCTTTTTGCATTAGAATGAAAAGTAAAAGCAGAAGGGTGTGTATGTGTGTGGGACATGTATTAGATCAAATTTAACAGGGAGGGAGGATAATACATTTCCATTCACTCAAACACATGCTCTTTAATGACAATGCCGTGCAGCCATGTATCGATCGATGTAGAAAAGTGATTTAAAATTATAATTTTCAAAGTTTAAAAAAATATATGCATACTGAACACACTGAAAAAAATGATTCATTGGATTTACTTAATTTTTTTAAGGCAAGCTGTTGCAAATAATTGAATTGGGTTAAGTTTAAGCAAACAATTTTAGTTGGATTTACTCAATTTATATGTGTTGGATTTAAACAATCAAATTAGGTTGGATTTACTCAATTTATATGTGTTGGATTTAAACAATCAAATTAGGTTGGATTTACTCAATTTATATGTGTTGGATTTAAACAATCAAATTAGGTTGGATTTAATCAATTTTATTTAGTTACATTTATCCAATGAAATTCATTTAGTTCACTATAATTTATATATGTAATTCCTACTTACATCTATTTATTTTTGATGTCTAAAATGAACATTAAACTGCTTGCAAATACACTTTGAAATGACATTTGACCACATTTGTTTTGAATTCATTTTAATGACTTTTTAAGATGCATTTTTTAACAAAACATAAATCACTGCCTATAAATGCTTTAGCAGCACACCATAAAACAATAAACAGTTTGTACAGCACATTTAATTTAAACCAACACATTAAAGAAAACTATATGAAGTCTTAGAGCAAACTGCAATCCTTATGATACACACACCCCAATACACAAAATAATCAACTAATTAACTTAAAAAATTAACTCAACATATTGAGCAAGTACAAGTTGTATGAAATGGAATAAATACAAAGTTTATAGAATGCACATGCTCTCTCTCTCTCTCTCTCTCTCTCTCTCACACACACACACACACACACACACACACACACGCGCGCACGCACGCACGCACGCACACACACGCGCACACACGCGCACACACACACACACCATTTAAAACAAGTTCCTACAGCTAATTAATTTTGCACACAAAGAAAACTGAATTCACTTATTAAACAATTCCTACACTAAACTGCAATTTGTATATGATATACATTTGGTTGTTGAGCATTTATCAACACTTCAATGCTTAAAATTACAGTATCACACTGTTTTCCAGTATGAGAACCTTTGAGGAGAGCTTGTCAGAGTTCATTTGCACAAGTACTTTTTGGGCAAACTCCAAATAGTATTTGAGTTCTTTTGGGTAGGCCAAATCAAGCACATAAATTGCCCCCAACATCAGTGCACAGGCTTGTGCAACAGATTTTATCTGTTCAATAATCACTGTTCCATCCACAACGATGCCAATGTCCTCATAATCTCCTCTTTCCTTTTTGATGACACATATGGCCATGGTGGTGTTTGTCAGGTCCTTCAAAAATTCTTCTTTTTGGTTGCTCTATATTTAAATAAAAAGAAACCATTATTAGACATTGTTTTTGAAACATATTTTGTAAAAAGTCAGAAGAAATCAAATGTAAATAAAACCAAAACCTTAACGGCCCTCCCCACACCCACATTGATACCTGTGAAATATTATAACCAATCATTTATGATTGCATATTGGCGAACATATATTTGAGCATGATCTGCAAGTACGACTTCTTCACAATTATTTACAGGGTTTATTCAGGTTTTATCAAGGTAAATTTAAGATCTTTTAAGACTAACTAAAAAGAATTTTGGAAAAAATAATTGAAAGGCAAACAATACAGTAATATGTTGAAAACCAAATATAATGTCAAGGAAGCATTATTGCATTATTATTTAAATAATATTACCCAAGATTTAAGGCTTGAAAACCACAGATTTGGCCACTTGAATGTGGAAATACCTTCTGATCAGACCCACTGTATATCAATATACCTGGTCATAATTGTTCACCTTAACCCTTCTGTATTATTTAAATTTACTACCCTTTCCTTATGTTAGTTGCTGGTTTTTTTGCCCCATTGACTTCCATTATAACATTTTTTGGATGCAAATCCATGACAGCATGTAATCACGCATTGTTGATGGTTTTCTTCCCTTTTCGGTAGATGTATATTTTGTCATTTTTACTGTTGATGGTTTTTACTTACACACACACACACACACACACACACACACACACACACACACACACACACACACACACACACACACACACACACACACACACACACACACACACACACACACACACACACACACACACAAACAATACTCCGTATAACTCTATATAAAAACCACAAACCTTTGCAATGTTTTGCTCTGCAACTGATGATCAACTATAAAAATGACAAATTTTACCTTTTCCTAACAAGAAAAACCAATAGAGATCGAAAATATTCAATATACTGTCATGACCTTGCAATTAAAGAATATTGTTATAATGGAAGTCAATGAGGCAAAATCAGCCACAAACATAACAAAAGAGTAATACATTTGCCCAGAGTGTATTGTTGAGGTTTTTAAAAATTTAAAAGCATTTTCCCAAAATATGAGTAAAAATAACATGTCACCAAAAATCATTTCATGCGCTCAAACAAAGAAATCTGTCGCAAAATTAATATCCTCAACAGCACACAAGGCTTAAGAATAATTATGCACAAGTAAAATAAACATCAGCGAATGAAATTCAGTAGAAATGTCACACCTTGATGCAAAATTTAAGACTTTTTATGACCTTAAATTGTAAACATCTAATTTAATACTTAAGACTTTTCAAAGACCCACAGGACCTCTGCAAATAATAAAAAAAAAGTACAATAATAAAACAAATTTAATTGGACAAATTAATAGACATGTATATTTATTTAATTAGTATTTTTACGTGTCATTAATTAAACCAAAATAATTCAAATATATTAAGTATATTTTAAATTTATAAGTAAATATACAAATTTAAAACTTGAATTCATACTTTAAAAAAAACGTCATGTTTCATTATTAGATTAAACATTTTTGAAGAATTATTCAGCGATACATTTTTGATTGTTAGTACGGCCACCCATTGACCTAAAAATGTAATTCAAGTCAAGTTGCTTTTAAACAGTAATTTTAATCTTAACATAAACATAAATTTTCTCTTTTTTGGAAAAAAGTGGTTTACTTGTAATTCTGTGACTATTTGTTAGAAATAATAATACTGTTTAGAAAGACTAAAACAGGGGTGTCCAAACTCCTTCTTGGAGGGCCAGTGTTCTGCCGATTTTAGCTCATCCTTGCAGGTGTGTTGAGGCAAGATAGTTTATAGATCACCAGGTAAGAGCTTGATTAGCTAGCATAGGTGTGTCTAATTGGAATTGGAACTAAACTTAGCAGGACACAGGCCCTCCAGGACCAAGCTTGGACACCCCTGGGCTAAACAATGAATATTTCTGGGGTCAAACACAGATCTGAACCCAATGCTGAGAACGTCAAAGGATTAAGAAACATATGCAACTTTTAATCATTTAGTATTTTTAGGCATACTAATATTAGGCACATATATTGCGATTTTCAAAAAGTATTTCATCGCTTTGTAAATGTTTATTATTACCATTTGTTGAGTCTCCCAATACTATTTGATATAGTCAAGCGATGTGATGTCACACTCAACAAGCTGATAGTTTTCTCACGGTTCAATAACAGTGTGTATTACCATTACAATGCAAGAGTTTGAGGCAAAAGATAATAGGTTGCTCTTACGCGTGTAGTGACCAATGGCATTTTTTTTAACTTCATGTACAAATATATGGAAATAGAAAGCATTTGAAAAAAGAAAAAAGCCATTGACATACAGTGAAAACACTATTTTCAAATTCTTTAAAATTATTAATTTTGTTTTTGAGATATTAAAATATTTTGTTCATTGTTCTATTCATACTTTTGCATTGAATTAGTATGCAACTTACTTGCACGAATCTAGCAAGTGTTTGTGCAGCGCAATGTGATTTGAATAGACCATAATGTGTTCAACATTAGGTTCACCTATTAATTCAAATATGGCACTCAAAAAAGTTTGTTTGTCTCATTGGCCACTGTAACCCCACCCTCAGTTCTTTCTTATAGCCCAGGTGCAAGCACTAGTACTATGATGCACTCACCATGTATTCTTTCACCAGGCATGCCTCATCCTCACCAAGGTAAGTAAAGAGAGCTTAAAGAATAGACGCTCTTTTGACATGGACATCGGTTGTCTGTAAATAATACAAATTTGATTAGTTAAATACATAAATGACAAATTGGAAAACGTTAAGAAATGTATTAGATTAGATTAAACTTTATTGTCATTACACATGTACAAGTACAATGCAATGAAAATCAGTTTATAAAGTGCAGATATAGAAAAACTTTAGTGATATTTACAGATGGATGTACTATCAACATTATATACAGGTTGTATTAGCTATGAACAGAGATTTAAAATAAATTATTATATGTACAGGTTGCTATTAATAATCAGAAGTGTACAGATAGATAAACAATTACAAGTGTACAGTATATGTATAGTTCAAATGAATGAATCAGTCTAATATAGTGCAATGAATGTGTAATTTTTAAATGTGCAAATGTTAAATAGTGCAATGATAATGAAGAGTACAAGTTATGAGGACAGTGGGGGTGTATTAGGAGGGCAAAATAATTAGTGGGGGATAGAGTTAAAAAAGGTACAGCTCTGAGGAAAGTGCTGTTCCTTAAGGCTGATTTATACTTCTGCGTCAAACGCACGCCAATGCTACGGCGCTGATGCATAGCCCTTCGCCGTGGCCGTCGGCGTCGCTGACGTGTACCTCTCAAAAAATGTAACTACACATCGAAACGACGCGTAGCGCAAGCTCTGTGATTGGTCGGCTTGGTAGTGGCCAAGTGGACAGATGATGTATCTCCTCCCTGTAGGGCGTCTCATCATTATTGCTGATTAGACCAATCACTGTGGTGTCATCTGCAAATTTGATGATGTTGGATCTATTCACAGGCCTACAGTTGATAGTAAAAAAAGAAGTAGAGGAAGAGGCTCAGCACACAGCCCTGTGGTACACCAGGGTTAAGTGTGAAGATGGTGGAGCAGATGTGGCCTGATCTAACATTCTGAGGCCTTTTAGTCAGAAAGTACATAATCCAGTTGCAGAGAGACGTGTCGATATCCAGGTCTCTAAGTTTAATCATTAACTAATGCCGAGTTCAGACTGCATGATTTTGAAAGTAGTCGTTGCTGCTTTATTTTCACTGCAAGATGGATCGGCGACAGGGACTTGAACATTGCATGACTTTACAATAGGAAGAATCGCCGACAACTTCGTCTAAACTACGTCTCACAACCCAAAAACCATCTGTTTGACCAGGCCGTGGATTAATGCTAATATTGCAAATAATGTTAAATTTCTTACACAGACCAATCATTTCACTTTACAGGACCTTCATCAGGAGCCATGGCTTTAGATTTGGACTTTATTCTTAAACTGAAAAACCCATCCTCATTCGCTGCCATTATTTGAATCACCATGTACCACGGATTCAGCTAAAAATCATCAGCAGTGTTATATTAACATTAAGTTAAATAAATACTAATTTATTTTCTTCTCGGCTTAATCCCTTTATTAATCTGGGGTCGCCACAGCGAAATGAACCGCCAACTTATCCAGCATGTTTTACACAGCGGATGCCCTTCCAGCTGCAAACCATCACTGGGAAACATCCATACACTTTCATTTACACACATACACTACGACAATTTAACTTACCCAATTCCCCTATACCGCATGTCTTTGGACTTGTGGGGGAAACCGGAGCACCCGGAGGAAACCCATGCGAACGCTGGGAGAACATGCAGACTCCACACAGAAATGCCAACAGATCCAGTCGAGAATCGAACTAGCGATCTTCTTGCTGTGAGGTGAGAGCACTTCCCACTGTGCCACCTGTTAAATAAATATATTTTTAAAAATAAAAAGAATTAATAACTGAAACCAGCTCAAATGTTATCGATTATTTATGTCATATGCCATGTCCGGAATAAAACACGTTACCGTAATGTACAATTGTTAGTCATTTGAGACTCCTTTATTACAGCACTCCCACAAGTTTCTCTCTTGCTTTCACAAATAAAATTATACATATTTAATGTATATCCATTATTAATAGCCTATCTAAGTTTTGCCCAGCTAGCGAAACCTGCAGGTAAAGGTAGCCTATAAGCATATTTTTTTCAGTGCATGCATTGACTGCATCGTCAAATACATAGAATATAAGTATGTTTGTGGCATGATAAGCATAGACATGAGCATTATTCAGAACATAGCCTATATATTTATTTTTAAAATGTTATATTTAGAAATTAAAACTATATTAAATTTCAACTTGCAGTAATAATCTAAACATTAAACTTTGCCTCGATGTTGTGCACTTATCCTTTAACACACCTAAATCTGACGATTGTCCCTTACATGTATATTACATTTATAATGATACTCAAATTTATTTAATCAACTGACTGTTTACTTGTGAATAGTTTGTTTAGTTACACTACATTTAAAGTGATTTCTTTTTTTGACTACCTTGTAATTTACCATGCTCAGCCAAGATAAAGACATGTAAAGGCTGATTTATACTTCTGCATCAAATGCACGTGTATGGTGCGGCGCAGCCTGCGCGCAGTCGAATAGCCCTTGCCGTGGCGCATCTCTCCAAAAATGTAACTACACATCGCAACAACACGTAGCGCACGCTCTATTAGTGGGCTTGGTAGCGCTTACATGTGTGGGCGGGGTTGAGAGCCACGCCAACCCATTGGAGCGAGTGTTTACAAGTGTAGAGTCCCATGAAATAGCTCCAGGTGGAAACTGTTGCTTTGTGTTTACCTTATGATTAAAGTTGTTGCATGACTGCCGGCTCCCGCCTCAGAATGAGCGAGTTTTATCTTCTTGTTCATTAAGGTAGTGTTCAGAAAAAACAAAACCCAAGCGAAGAAACTCCATACAGAGGGAACATATAAACCTACTGCTTTTGTAAGTGTTATTGTAGAACAACACAAACAGCGCGCACAAGTATAAGTGCTCAGCTGCACGCAGGGCAGGCGCCGTAGGTCACGCCAATCACTCAACGCAGAAGTACAAACCAGGCTTAAGGCCGAATGTGCATTGTGCAATTTTGAGCCAAATTCTGATGCGACTCTTCTTTGAATCAAATTAAATTTCAACTTTGATATTTGCTGTGCTGTGTTGATGCAATGTACAGGAGGAAAAAAAAAGGTGAATAACCTCTCTTGGTCGGCAGATAGTCGAATCATTTTATGGCAGGTCAAACATTTTGGTCGGCTCTCTTGAGAAAATCACGGAGTTGAATCAAAGTTGAACTCTGTGTTTGTGCTCTTACTGCACCCTAGTACTGTGAAAACTAGGGAAGCAACAATAACATTTAGTCATTCTTCACTTGTCACAAATCTGTTTGAGTTTCTTTGTTCTGATAAACACAACATAAGATCATTTGAAAAATGATGAAAACCGGTAACCATTGACTTCCATAATATGTTTTTCCTACTATGAATGTCAATGATTACTGGTTTCTAACACTCTTCAAAATATTTTGTCTTGTGTTCAACAGATAAAAGAAACTCAAAGGTTTGGAACCATGGAAACATGGTGAGTGAATAGTGAGTAAATTTCCTTTTTTGGGACTATTTAGATTTTTCAGAGCAACATATTCAGTTAAGAAACTATTTACTGTAATGTGTAGTAATAAATGTTTTGCAGTTACTTACCATAAAAATGTTGATGGAAAATTCCAACTGCAGTACTGGACAGAAAATGTGTTTAACCCCTGACCAAGGAACTCAGCAAAGGAAACTTGTTGTACAGTACCTCAAATGAAAGGAAGCACATGATTATAATTTAGGTTCAAAATTCAGCACAAGTAACAACACAACCAACTTCTTAATGAACATATTGTTTACCGATTAATTACATTAGGAAACATTAAGATAAATTACTTATTGAACAAATTGCTGAACGTGATTAATATGATTAAGATAATCGTCACTGCCTGATTGATACGATATAAAGTGGGTCTCAGACCAGACAAAGCACTGCATTAAATTCCATTCTTCAACGCCATGTCTTAAAAATATGTCAATTTATTTTAACCACAATATTTTCCATGAAGTTTTAACGTAGCACTCGTCTGCATGTGTTTTACGTTTGAACAACTAAAGGATTGCTTCAGCTTATTTAAAGAATATTATTTTAGTTAAATTACATTATCGTTGATGTAAAAGGCACTTTATGAATATGGAAAAAGTCACATTAAGTTAACCTTGCGCTGGACGTTTATCGGTGGCTGATAAACACTTGCTGTGAATATAAGTTAGCCCATTAAGAGCATTATAACCCAAAGACATAATTACAGCATCTCACGTAAAAAAAAAATACAGAACTGTATAAATGGACGCCCTTTACGTTAAAAGTTAATGTTACGCCAGTATGGGCACACATTCGACAACCTCCTAAGACAGTCAGTAGTGCCCTAACGCCAGACCAAATCGTTCTATAACAAAATCAGTATGGTACTGTCCGTTCACAACTATCTAAACGCATGTTTAATGTTAACCATAGTAAAAGCCACGGTAAATTCACAAAGGACTGAGCTAACGTTAGCAACGAAGCTTTTTTCGTTTGGAATGGCGGATCACGGACACTGTCGTCACACCAAAGAAAATGCTTATTCTCTTGAAAATAGCCATTCACTTCATTAAAAATATTATATATCAAGTCTACATAACTACATTCTTGCTAAAAAGAATCTTTAATATATTCTGCGACATAAAAGCGAGATTTGTCAAACCGTGTGTAACGTTAACTGTTAGCTTAACTTGCGAGCGCGCTCGACGGCTGGTCGCCGTGAAATTTAAAAACGACCAAAATAGACAGTCCGAACGAGAGACCATTTTATGCGTCTATGTTACCCACAAAGTTTTTTATGTAATAAACAGTCTGGTACAATATAAAATGTGACTTACTGTGCAAATGGATGTACAAAACTCCGGCTCTGGCGTCTTGCTTCAATCTGACTGGATTCTGTAAAACTTCCTTTGGGCTTTGGCGCCGAGGCAACGGAACATAATGCGCATGCGCACAAAGCTAACATAATTTTTTCTAATAGACTTTAATTAATTAATATAGATTGGTTTAAAACACATCTAATTCACTTAAAACCGATTAAAAATAATTTAATAAAATCAACAACTAAATTAAATTGTTTAAAATAAACTAAATTGAATTATGTTTGATTTAATAGAGGGCTAAATCATTTTTTTCAGTGCACCGGGAAAACTAGATATACGTATATGTGTATATATTTATGGCTCTGGATGACCAGGGCTTTACTGCACCTTGGTCCCACGTTTATTTCAAAGGAGCGCTACTCTGTACTAAAATGGAAGCTCTAATGAGGCATTCCTTAAAAATAAACAATAATAGCGTAGGCGATATATCTAATGTAAATATCTATATGCTCTTGAACCATGAACAAAAAGTAAAAAGGTTTCACTCTTTTTAAACTATTTTCTAAAGCTTGCATTTTCACGCCACCAAAAATTAAATGTAAATTTGTAGATTTTATTGTAAGCATTGTGAAAGTTCCCCCCAAACCCACAACAAAAAGTGAACTTTAAATAATGATGCATTCAATTAACTGAAAATAACAGTGAGTCACGTTGGTATCTGCATGTTAATGCAGTCAAATAACTTTTTAAGTGTTTTTTAAAGATTACCAAATGTCTTATACTTGGGACTGACATGTGGGTAATGAAATTCTGAAATAATTTTGAGGTCACCTTACCCTTTTATTTTCTACTGAATGACTGTAAAATCAGAAGTACTGCAAACTGTGTGTGTTGTGTCAACTGATTCTTGTTTTTCTCCCCTGAAGTGTTTGTGCAGCAGTCGGTGAATCCTGTAGCCCCGCAGGTGATCGTGGTTCAGCCACAACAAAGCACTACTTTAGATGACACACCAGCATCCATTGTGTGCAGGTATTGCCATCAGAGCATCGTCACTCATGTGGAGTATAAACCTGGTGTAATTTCATGGCTCATGTGCGTCGTAATAAGTTTCCTTGGGTAAGTGAAGCATTAGTTAAAACGCTCAAATCAATTCACGGCTCTTTTTTTATCTGCCATTTCTTACTGCGTACTGTAAGTCTTCATTCCATTGTTTTACAGGGGCATTTGCGGATGTTGTGTCATCCCATTTTTTGTCAGAGGATTTCTGGACGCCCATCACTCCTGTCCTTTATGCAAAAGGCACATAGGAATTTACACTCGCAAATGACTCTCCAAACTCTTGCAGACACAAATACAAAATATAAAACATCATACTTGCATTAACCAAAATCATTATAGATATCTAATTAACTTTCAAGCAACACTGTATTAAAACAATTATGATGCAAACATATTTGGATTTATTTACAAGTCATAAACCCAGTATGTAAGTTCATTTTAATGTATTCATTTTATTTTTCATTATTTTACAGTCCAGTTCAGCATGTAAATACTGAATAATTATAATTATAGTAACTGTGATAACATCTTATGTAAACTTAACCAATGAGTTACATTATTTACCTAGTAATTTTGTTATAACTACACTGTAAATACATGCTGTAAAATAAAATGCAGCACATTTAATAGCTTATTTTAATCTTGTTCACTGTCACACTGTACAATGTACTTCAATGAAAGCATCAGTGGTGTAAAGTAACAAATTACAAACGCTCAAATTACAGTAATAATCTCAGGAATTGTAAGTAGTTTCTTAAAAAATTACTTTTACTTTTACTTGAGTACATTTTTAGTGCTGTATTCATACTTTTACTCCACTATTTGCTTTTAACCCGCAATCAGTACTTAATTTTTTCTGGTCTACGAGGATTGGCTAAGTAGAAAAATCAGTTCTGTGATTCTTGTCCAATCAAATAGCACACAGTAAGTAAATCACATCATACTGAACAAGCTCAAGACAATAACGCTTCATACATGTAACAAACTGTTTGGAAGTGTCTAAGAAGATGTCCAAAATCCTAAATGAAATTAAATTGTAAATGGCTTTAAACAATCACTAAATGCACTACAGAATATTACGTTTTCACACACATGCACAAATCGCATGCATACACACATATTCATACTCACAACAGATACATTTACTCTACTTGCCCTGCATTTTTGGGCAAGTAATGGTACTTTTACTTGAGTATGATTTTTCTATACTCTTTCCATTGCTGGTAAGCATTAAGGCTATTCCTTAATATAAGAAAATTGTACTAATATTTGTATAAATAAAACTATAATTTCACTTTTTAAACTTTCACTTTACTTTTCACTTTCAAAATGTTTGATGCACCAATGCATTGGACAATAATTGGTATCGGCTGATTAAAGTGATAATCATTGGTTTAAAAACAAATAATTATTAGAGCCAATCATATCCTGACAATCAAAAATCCAGGCTTATTCTTTAGAATGTACCACTATATACATTTTTTGAGAGCGCCTAATAGATCCAAGAAGGTACGATTGACCCGCCCATCCCCTTCCCTAAACCCAATCAACAGTTTTAAAAGGCAATCCAGAAAAAGATTATTGTGTTGTATTGTTTATTTAGTTTTTTTGCTCCTATTTTTGTATTACCTGCTTTCTGGAACCATTCTTCGCTGGACTTGAAGGCTGTCATTGAGGTCAACTCCTCTCTACATCTCTAGGCTGCCAACATACATGGTGTGTTAACTGGATATACTGGTAATAGCAAGAAAGCCATCCATACGGAGGTAATCAGTCAGTTGGTAAGTATGAAAAGGAACAGTGTCAAACCACCACGTAGTGTTCATTTTAAAGACGAAATGCAGCCATATGTACTCCTGGCTACATAATTTGTGATCTCCAGAAATGTATTTAGGAGTTCATTTTTAGAATGAGCCAATGTTGCAACAAAAACATCTCATGTGGAATTAATTTGCATAAACACAGACTTACAGCTCTGCAATATAAAATTAGTAGGCATATTTTAATTTTGACTTTTGAACTTTTAAGTTACCTTTATTTTAAGTTAACTTTAACTTTTGAACTTTACCACATTTATTTAATGTAAAGACTTTCAAAAGATATTTTGCAAGGATTGTCAAAAATGTTCGCATTACATAATACATATAGGCCCAGTTTCACAAACAGGGCTTAGATTAAGCCAGGACTAGGCCTTAGTTAAATAAGTCTATTTAAGCCAAATTTATAAAAATGGCCTTAGAAGAATATATTACTGGTGTGCACCTGGAGAACAATAATGACACTCATGTATTTTAAGACATCTCACCTGCAAGTTATTTTGAGTTGAGACAGTTTAAACATGCAATTTAATCTTGACTAGCCTTAAACCTTGTTTGTGAAACTGGGGGATAATGTATTTCAAAAACAACGTATAAAATAAAACGTGTGCAAGAAATCAGTCTAGTAAATCTGACAGTAATAGAAGCATAGTTGTCACCATCTTATTATTTTGGATATATTATTTATTCAAATGAGAATGCAAAGAGCAACAAACAATTTAAATTTCTCTAAACCATTATCAACAGAATATACCTCAAACATCACTGAAAAAACTTTAACACACATCTTTACTGATATTAGCAGAGAGATGAAGAGCGCAAAGAAGCTTTTTTTAAACACACATTGCAATATATGTCATTATCACTAAATTATTATTAAATCAACACTTAAATTCCTTAATTTTTCTTACTGAATAATGAGAGCAGACAGATATAAAATATCACAGTAACACTTTACAATAACAGTACATCAATAATGATGTGTTTGTATATAACCTAAACATTACTTCATTATGAATAAATGACGAGTTAAGGCATGCGCTAATCATGAACTAACTTTACCTACAACATGAGCCACATGAGTTCATGTCTGAACTACCTTAATTACTTGTTAGTACATGATTGTTCCTTAATCTATTAATTACCACATTTGTTTATGCCTAATTTAACCATCATGAACTCATGAGCTGTTAATATATAATTATATCATGACTTTACTTAAAGGATCACATTATCATTAACCCATTCTGAACTACTCATGAACTCTTTTTGCACGTTCGTCTGGTGCAATTACTCTGAATAACAATTGAAGCGTGTTCTGTCAACATCAACATGAGTTTAAACACAGGAGTTGATGAATAGTTAAGGATGAGTTAATGGTGATGTGCCCCTTCAAGTAAAGCCACGACACAATTATACAATAACAGCTCACAAGTTCCTGTTGCTTAAACTTAAACGTTAGTTAATACATTAATTAACAGCATGTACTAACAAGTAATTAAGATAGCCTATTCACACATGAACTCATGTGACTAATATTGTAGTTAAAGTTAGTTCATGATTAGCGCATGCATTAACTCATCATTTATTTATAATAAAGTAATGTTCAGTTTACATATTAATACACCATTATTGATGTACTGTTATTGTTAAGTGTTATCACTATAACTAACAAGAAACATAACTGAAACCCATCTGCAAACAACCTACACAGCCTAAGAACTCTGATTTCAGGAATCTTCTCCACTGACTAGTTTGTGCTCCACATGGTCATTAGCAAAGTTAACAATATTTTTCAGTGCATCCAGAATCAGAATATCCATAATGACATTTGTGGCATTTTCCTCATGGTAGTTTTTCACAGGAAAAATGCAGCTCACAGGAACTCCCAGCTTGACAGAACACTCCTCCATCTGCAAACAGCAATGCATATCATTTACTTTACATTTTACTATATTACTGGATGTAGCTACGGAGGAGGGACAAGAATTGGGGTGTGGTGCGTACCCCATTAAGGGCAGCTGCAGGCAGGGCCGGATTAATATAAGGGCTAGGTGGGGCTGAAGCCCCAGGGCCCACAGAAGAAGGGGGCCCTGTATTGGCTGAAGAATAATTTTTGCTATGACTCGGGAAACGCCTCTTTGCGTTATACTTTCTCTCGTCGATAATGTGAAGTATTCCTTTTGTTTTGCTGCTGTTCAAAAACAGTGATGCCGGTGCTAAACTGGGGCTCGGAGCCCAATCAGAATATTGGCACTACCGCGAGAACCATCCAGGCAAAGGTAGGCTAACCAAGCTGGTCGTAAAACAAAACTAAAATTCAAACAGTCATGTTGAATGAACTCATAACTGAAGCACAGTCTCGGCTGCGTGACGGTTACAGCCGGACTCAATAAACCAGTGTGAGCCCGCACAAATACACTCATTTATGTTTTACAGTAAGTCTAACTGACTAGTTAGAAAGAAAACTTTTTATGTGAATAAACTAGCCTGTTGTTAGCATGAATTTGGTATGAATTAGTATGTTTCTAGTATGGTTGTATGTCAGTATGTTTCCAGTATAGATTAGTATCATGCTATTAGGAACTGGAATGTTGTAGGTATGTCCAACGTAAAGTCAATCGCAGTCTATGGGACCGTTGCTAGGGTCCCGTAAGTGGTTGCTAGGATGTGGCTAGTAAGTTGAAAGGTCATCATTGATTGGCAGATTGGTAGCTTTTAAATGAGTTAAATGAGCCTGTATGACAGTCTGGCGCAACGTTCGACGCTCTAAAAATTCTTCTGCATGGACCAGAGGTCATAAAGTTTGGTTTAATGTTAAGTCAATGAGACTTTTCTGAATTTTCCATGTCCGTTTTTGGAAAACTGTAAGTCGAATCAGTTGGAAAAGGCATAGCAACCCGAGTCAGACCAGTTTGGTGGTTGTAGTATGAACTGTCTAGGAGGAGATGCGTATAGAAATTAGTCTCAGAAGAAGAAGAAGACGGAAGAATAATATGTTTATATAACAGTATTTGGCCTTCTCAAGCCACCATTATTTCAGTTGAACATATACAAAACAGGATTGAAGTTTACGGTGGTTTAGAAAAAATGAAAGCACAATACCTTTTGTTTTATTTTTTTGCTTGTGTAGATCTTCTGTAGATCACTTTTGACTAGTGGACATGCTTCATCCACTTTGGTCATGATTATGACTTGAGGAATGCCTGTAAAATAACGATCAATAAATACATATTCAATAATAAACAATTAAACCTATATTTAAATAATTTTTGCTGTTATATTTTTGGAATAAAAGTGTCCTTTACCCAAGTCTCTTGCCTTCTCCCGAACTTCTCTCATTTGCTTTAATATGTCATCATCTGTCATGGAAACAGTATTAGCAGGAAGAACAGCCACTAGACAGTGAATCCTGTCTTTTCGGTTGGGTTCCCTGTTATACTTTGGATCATCTTCAGTAATTGAACTTCTTGGGTTAAACTGAAGAGACAGAAGCACATAAGCCAGAAGAATGCACACTGTGAAAAAAACTATAGGTGGGCATATATTAATCTTTTAATCTAGATTTATCTTGGAATTAATCTAGATTAATCTATATTAAAATGGCTCATTTGAAGGCATTCAGAATAAGTGTGCAACACAAACAATAAATGTTTGAGAACGTGTTTCTCAAGCCAGGTGTCGCATTAGACCAGGGGCTCATCTCCTGTTTTCAAATGCATCAAAAACTGCTTGAGAAACTGTTCTACTATGATAATTGGTGATGAAAATAAATGATGTTCAATAAGATGTACTTGTGTTTACTGTTTATTCAGTTAAACATGAATGTTAAACTGTAGGCCTACATAAGCTCGAAACTTTTTGTTCAACTTAATCCGACTATAGTCATAACTGAACTAAACAGAAATGGAATTAAGACATGTGGAGTATGCAGATATTAGTGGCAAACACTGCAATCAAACTATTACTGTCATGTAGGACTTTGCCATTTTTTCCGACAAGATCCACACACGCGGCTGTCTGTAAAGGACTGCACACACACACGCACGCACGCACGCACGCACACACACACACACACACACACACACACACAAACACACACACACACACAAACACACAAACACACACATCGCAAAATGCTGAAGTTTTTTTCTTTCCATTTGGCGTGTGTTAGTAAATTCCATAACACTATCACCAGTCCTTACTTCTTATTTGTGTCTAATACCCCAGTTTGTCATGGCGGCATGAATGAAATCTTTATGAGTTAAAGTGAAACTGCCGAACTGCAGTTAAAGTCAGGCATCCAGCTGATTTGATTCAGAAGGGTACTTTTTTTTGTCAGACGGCTCACAAGTCAGGTATACATCTGCGCAAAAATAACAAGGTAAAAGTCGTCATAGCTTGCTTAGAATAGACCCAGCTCCCAACCCGACTTTGAGAATAGATTAACAGTGATATTTTTTTGCGCACGATTATAGTCTTGCGTTAATGCAGCATGTTAACACCGATAACGTCCCAGCACTAGAAAAAAATATACATTAATAAACATTTTCTGTATTTTTTTTATTTATATATATATATATATATATATATATATATATATATATATATATATATATATATATATATATATATATATATATATATATATATATATGTGTGAGTGATTTTTTTAATCAGATGTATTTAATGTTGTTACTTTTACTTTTGTAAAAATTTCCACAAGTACTTCTACTTTTACTTGAGTATAGATTTTGGATACTCTACCCACCTCTCTACACCCCTTTTTTTGCTTAATTTAAACATCTCAAATGAAAGTCTCTGTGGTGTAAAACACACTTACAGTATATCCACTGGTGATGTGACCACCTAATATTTTGATGATGTCACCAGTTCTTATTCCTCCTTCACTCTGCATCCCGGCAATGTCAGAGAAAGTCAGAGGATAGTAAGAGCCAAATTCGTCCTTTTTCAGTTTGTAGGTTTGGTACTGAAAATTAAACAGATTTAAAGCCTCTTGCATGTGAAAAATAAGGAAAGATACATTTAGCTAACATTAAGCTTACCTTGACAGTGAAACTTCGATCAGTTTGGACTGAATGTGCCAAGGCTCTGGTAGTGATGCGGCCCAGTAGAGCATTATCCAGAGAGTTGAAGAAGCTGGATTTTCCAGCACCAACTGGTCCATGCAAAAGAATTCTCAGAGTGTCGACCTCTGGGTTCCCAGGTTGGAAACTTTTAATTGTTGTCAGAAGTTTTTGTTTATCACTCCTATAAATAAAGCACAGCATACAGATTCACATTAAGTGCCTGTAAGATTATGTGATTAATCAATCAGAATCAAGTGAGAAAGAATCCAGAAAGTTGTGTAATATGCATGTTGTGTTCTGATAGGAATGAGAGTTTTCTGAACTTACTTCCAATCCATGGTCCTCCAGGCTGTCTCATTCTCTATTTAACCAAAACAAATACTAGGTAAATTTCAGTTTCTACTTTCAGTATGTTTATTTGGGCTATTTAAGTTTTATTTATATTATCTCTGCAGTATATGGTCTTTTTAGGCTATGTAATTTGCTTTGTGATCATTCAGTATGATATTGCCCAGTTTGTTATACTGAAAATTAAATATTACCTGGGGGTGGTGGTTGTTCAGGTTTTTTCTTAAATGGCCACATCCTAGCAACACCTTTGTGCATTCCTTGAAATAAAGATAAAATTGAATAAACTTAAGGTCACTGTAATCCTCAGAATCCAGCTTATTCAGCAACCTTCAGATTACTTCGCCACAGTAATTTGTACTGTTAATAAAATGTTCCTGTATATTATGATCTACTGTTTTTTCAGTGGTGGTAGAATTAAATGTCACTGAATTTAATTTTTACTTTGTAGATTTTTTTTGTCTATTTTTTAGGTTTCTGCCAGCTTGCCAAGTAAAAAAGAATACATGCAGCTTGTTTATTTTTTAATTAATAAACTGAGTGTATTTTTATGTTATGTTTGATTCTTTTGAACACTGTTGCTTTTCGTTTAACTGACTTTGAATAAAGGGATCTTGCCTCGCAGTCTGCTGTCTGTTCAAACGTAACAGGCTCCCAGCTACAGGAAAGGTGACAGAGAAATAGATTAATTTTATATACAATTCTGAAGCTGAAGGTGTAGTTGAATTGAACAAATAAAATTTGCTGTAACATACAGTTGTGAATGTGAGAGTGTATGGGTGTTTCCAAGTACTGGGTTGCAGATATAAGGGCATGCTCTGTGTAAAACATATGCTAGATAAGTTGGTAGCTCATTCCGCTGTGGTAACCCCTGATGAATAAAGGGACTAAGCCGAAGTAAACTGAATGAGTGAAATTGGCAGGAGTGTGTGTGTGTGTGAATGCAAGAGTGTATAGGTGACCGCTGCGTAAAAATATGCCAGAATAGTTGGTGGTTCATTCAGCTGTGGCGACCCCTGATAAATAAGGAACTAAGCAGAAAGACTATGAATGAATGGAATAATGAATGAATGCATGAATGAATGTTTGTTTGAAAACATTTTACATTGATAATGGCAGGCTGCAATGTCAAGCAATGATAAATGATATGCAACAGTTACACACGGATGATGGCATGATCTTAAATTTTGTCATTATAAAGGGGAAACAGCTTCACATATTCTTCTTTTACCCTGCTATTGAGATATTTAACCAAAGTAAGTCAAAAGATTTTCACAAAACCCTAAAAATTGATACCAACAATGTGGAAAATGGCCATCCAATTTCAACTTTAAGAGATTTAAAATTTGTAATCATTTATTTATAAAATTAGGGACAGTGCAGTATCTTCATGATTTAAAACTTAAGTAAACATAAATTTTTGGGCAGTAAATAAATAAGAATGCTCCATTTTAAATGTTTTAATACATCCAAACTGTACATCAATCAATCAAAATGTACACAACAAAATCTTTGCAAACTCTTACCAGTTTTGAGTGACTTTTAAAAAAAATTATTTTGTTAGAAAACTCTGTAACTCTTTTTATTCATTTAATCTACCACAGTGTGTGAGACAACCGGTAGACCTACAGGTAATACTACTGTAGACATATTAGCTCTACATTTATCTCTTTATTTACATTGAATTTGTTATTTAGGAGACAAGTCTTACCTTCAAGGCAGTCTAAGAGAGTGAGATGGTGTTGTTCTAGATTTCTCAAACCGCACTGACTGAATTTACTTTCAGTTTTGAAACTGACCTTATCAGAGGTTGTTTTCATAGAGTAAAAAAGAACATAAAACAATAAGCATGCAGCAACATGAAGGTTTAAAACATCCTAAAATGACGAGTATAATATTTTCTTAATACAAATGTATTAGTTAAGGTATTGGGCAGGTTTTACCACATACAAAAGAAGATAATGAAATAATAATAGCAATAAAAAAAAAGAAAATTTATGACTATATTTTGCATGCTAAAGTAAACATGCAACAACAATATGCATGGAAGAGCTTGTTGCCACAAGGACAATGTAATAAATCTAATTTAATGAATGAATTAATTTTCCTTCGGCTTTGTCCCTTTATTCATCAGGGGTCACCACAGCGGAATGAACCGCCAACTTTTCCAAAAAGGGAAACTTGGCTGGGAAATGTCAAATTATATTAAAGTGGGAAAAAGTAACAGTCCAAATGATGTAAAATTATCAATACTTAAAACAAAGATGCCGTCTTTAAAATCACAGTTATTATTCAGCATGTTTCCATTGTGATAATTAGCAGAAATACACCATCTTAAAAAATATTTGCACATAAAAAAATGTAACTGAATTGAAACTAAAATTTTGCTAAATCAAACAGTATGTCAAACAGGAAGCTCTTGTGAGAACGATGCAGATTCAAGATGCTGTATACAGAAACCACAATGTTTATCAAAGCTGAAACCTACAGGAAATAGCTTTGCTGCTAATACTGAGGCTGACAAACCAAAAGAGCTCCATTCTTTTTTTTTTTACCTTTTTTATAACAGTTTTCTAAAAGTGCAAAAAAATTATTACAGACTGTCCAAAAACATAAATTATAACCAAGAGAGAGAGAGAAAGAGAGAGAGAGAGAGAGAGAGAGAGAGAGAGAGAAATAACCAAATCTTCCAAAAATCCACCTTATACATTAAAATCATAAAGCTGTCCATGGTCAAACTTAAGACATAAAAATGGAGTAGGAAATTAAGAGTGTCCTTGATTTAAAAGTGCCCTACTTTAAACTTTTTAGTCTTTCAATTCTTTCTTCATAAAATAAACAAAAAGAGCAACCTTTTTTTATTCTTTTAGAAATACCAGCCCTAGCACAAACTATGTTATAAATAATTTGTAGGTCTCAAGCATTACTGACTAAGAGTTTTAAACCTTACCAGGTGGCCTCTCACAATCCATGCATTCAGTCGGATGAAGAGTTATTGATCCAAGATAGTGGTGGAGATTAACTTTCTGCTGTTAAAAAAAAAGAGGCCTCTCATTTCTACTGTCTATTGTGATTATGATGAAGCCTTTATTTATACACTTTTACATTCAGCGAAATTGGAGCCCCCCAACCATACACAAACATCACACATTTCAGGGGAAGACAGGTCAGAAAGATGAAATAAGATACATTTGGGAGGAGGGAGGTGAAAAAAACCCTTTCAGACTGTCCTTGAATTAGTGCAGTGTGAGATCAGGGGTGAGGGGGTGGGGGTGTGGGGGGGGGGGGGGGGGGGGGGACATAACATCGCAACAGGGGATGTGGATGAAAGAAGGTCCGATGAAGGTGACAGCCATCTGGTTCTGCAGCTAGAGAGCGCTGGTCACAGACCCACCTACACACACTGGTTGTGGGGCTCTGTAGTGATTGTCTATCTGTAGCTGTGAAAGTGTGTGTGTAAGCCTGTACAGTCTCAACAGGTGTCCTTGAGACAGGGAGCAGAAATTCAGAGCGTCTCCTTATCTTACTCTCTAGGGGAAGTTGTTTGTCAGGGAAGCCGAAAGAAAAGTTTTTCAAATTTAGGTAAATATGCCAGTTTCGCAGATATTTTAATGTCCATCACAGGTCTCCATGGTCTGACCAAATCTTGTTGCAATGCCGCTAGTTTCTTCCTGATGTTTTCCAATTTGCAGTCTAATGCATCAGTCTGGTTTGTAACAACCCTTACCACCGTTTCTGTATCTGACCATCACCTCTATATTTTTTCCTTTATTTGTTGCAAAAAATTAAACTGCATTTTTATTTTAAATTTCAGTTCCATCAAATGTTTCAAAAGCAATCCAAATATGCAAAATGTTAAAATTCTCTACAGTTTTTTTCTATATAAAACGTATGAATTAAAACACTGAAAACTCTAATGTGGAAGCGAAAATAAGCTATTAGCAGTGGGACATAAATAACAGTGTTACTTTTGTTTCCAGTACAGGAACTCCTGCCATTTAAACCTGATTTCATTTAAAACTCAGACATTCCAATATAAACAAATTGTAAACTGTAATGGAAACAAAGTAAACCAGAAACATTTGAAAATAAGACCCTATATTGCCCCTTGTACCCTATTCCCTACATTGGTCCACTAATATAGTGCACTTGAAAGAGTGAATGAGAATAAGTGAGTGAATTTGAGCCCTCACCAGAAAAGATGGTAGTGCTATTTTGTTTGTGCTTTGCTGGTTGATAAATCCCTCAGAATGGATTAGATTTCAAACTTCTTGGTCAGACACTGTGATGGTTATTAACCCCAAGCTGTCTATAAGTTATTAGTAATTATACAAAGTATTTTGGGGCGAGGCAGTGGCGCAGTAGGTAGTGCTGTCGCCTCACAGCAAGAAAGTCGCTGGGTTGCTGGTTCGAGCCTCGGAGTCGGCTCAGTTGGCGTTACAGTGTGGAGTTTGCATGTTCTCCCTGCGTTTCCTCCGGGTGCTCCGGTTTCCCCCACAGTCCAAAGACATGTGGTACAGGTGAATTGGGTTGGCTAAATTGTCCGTAGTGTATGAGTGTGTGTGTGAATGTGTGTGTGGATGTTTCCCAGAGATGGGTTGCGGCTGGAAGGGCATCCGCTGTGTAAAAACTTGCTGGATAAGTTGGCGGTTCATTCCGCTGTGGCAACCCAGGATTAATAAAGGGACTAAGCCGACAAGAAAATGAATGAATGAATGAATGCTTTTTCACTGTTTTCCATCTAGTGACCTATGTCTGGATTGTTTAGGTGCACTATTGAGTCTAGATTATCTTTGAGGGTTGTTTGGGCTTGCTTTTACCTTCCAAATTGTTGCTAAAAATGCTAGGTGAGATTTTCTTTCTTTTTTTAATGGTTGTCTTATTCCTGGAATGCAGTTGCATATGTAAGTTTATTTAAGCTTAAATTGGTGAGGCATTATTCTGCATTTTTGTCAGAGTCTTCTGTTATTGGGATTGAGATCTGGCAACAAGAAACTCTAAGCTTGTTTTAGGCTCACATCTTAGGTGACATCTTGGGTGTTACAGATAAAGCTAAAGATAATGTCAGAAATGCAAAATAATCATGACATTTTTAACTGTTAAATGTGGCAGATTGCACAATAATTCCAGTTTCATCTTTTTCTTGCTGCTATCATAGCACTCAATTTAGGTAACTTAATAGAAATATAAATGTAAAATTTATTATTTTTAATCTTTTTAGCAAAGATGATCAAACCATAAAAATTGATATGATGTGATATATATCATATAATAGTAATGTTGTAAAACTTTTAAATGAGCAACTGTAACATTGCAGGACTTTATTAACATTTGACCTTGGCTGCATTGACTCAGACTTAAAATATATTTTTTCTTTTCTTCAACCACAATCTAATTAAATAAATCTCATTTTTTTTGCTGGTTGTTAAATGTAATTTCTCTATTTAGACCTCAATGTTTATTGTTGATCATCTTCTAAAACATGACATGCAGTATATATGATAAACTAGTTTTCATGTCTATTAAAATGAGCACAATGAAATAATATTATCACAGAATTATCATATTATTGGTCATTTTTAGGTCAGTTTGCAGAAATCAACTTTGACAAGAATGTGACACTTAAAGCTATTGTGCAACAAAACGTACCATCATAC